TTTTTATGCAAAAGAAAAAATTTTTTATTGTAAAAATTAGTTGTATTTTAAGTGCAAATATTGATTATAGAATTAAGCAAATTGTAAAAAAAAATCCATTATTTATCTTTTTTTTTTGTATTCTACGATTTTAAAATATAGTGAATTTGTAATTATTTATGTAATTTCACGTATAGCAGCAGTGCTTCGAGCTTTAATTTATATACGAAAATCAGACAAACATTCAATCGATTACAACGAAAATGCTATTGGAAGAAAAATAATAATAGTAATAAGAATAAGTAATAAGTAATAATAGTAAAAGTGATAAAAATAACAATAATAGTGATAATGGTGATAATAAAGGAAAAGGAAAATAAATATGGAAAAGTTATAGAAAATATTAAAAAGAAGAAATTACAAAAATATAAATATTTTAAATAAATAAATATTTAACTCAGAAAAAAATTAATATAATAAAAAATATAAAAAGTTTTAAGAAAAAAGAAAAAATTAAAAGCAAAACAAAGAAAATAAATAAATAAATAATTAATAATTCGAAAATATTTATTAATAAAATTATTAAAATATTTAAATATTTAAAAATTAGAAATGAAAAAAAATAAAAAATATTTGAAAAAATTTTTTTAAACAATAAATTTTAAATTTTTAAAAATTTTTCTTAGAGAAAAAATGAAAAATTTAAAATAAAACAAAAATAAAATGAATAACCGTTAATTGAATTCCTTGTTGTTTTTCATTGAAATGAATAATTTTTATTATTTTCATTCGTTTTATTTTTTTACAAATTAGCAATAATGTTGTAATAATAATAATAATAAATGTTACGAAAATGAACCACATTTCTTGCAAATTTTTATTTAATTAACTGAAATAAAGAAAGAAATAAAGAAATAAAATAGTGAAAATAGAAATAAAAATATGAGAAATACTTCTTTACTTTACTTATTTATTTACCTATTTACTAGGTTACCCACTTACTTACTTACTTACTCGGTTACCCACTTACTTATTTGGTTATTCACCTATTCACTTACTTGGTTACTCGCTTATTTACTAACTGACTGACTGAACGACTAATTTACTTACTTACTTGCTTACTTCCTTATGTGCTTATATAAAATATCTCAATTTCAAACGTTCAATTTTATTTCAGCGCTGCAGAAAAGTACACGTTTGGTGTTGTTTTCATCATCATTCACCACAAATATCAATGGAAATAGGTCAACAAAGGAATAATAACGAAAATGCACCTCTCATATTTTTGAAATGTTTGGCCTGACCTTACTTGACCCCTCGCTTGATCCCTTATCTTTCTCTGCTTGACCTTCTTTAATTTTGCTTAATGAGCTATATCGATAATTGTACTATTTCTCGTTTTTCACTAATTCTTTTCTTTTCTATTCGATTTTTTTTAAATTTTATAATTTAAATAAGATTAAAATTATATTTCACTTTTAAAAATAAAGTAATAAAATATAAAAATAAAAATTTCATCTTTAAAATAAAATAATTTATGCAAAATAATAATTTAAAAAAAATAGAAAATAGAAAGTGCAAAAAATTCACTAAAGAAAATTGAAAATAAATAGAAAAAGAAGTGGAAATTTTAAATATATAAGTAGAAATTTTAAAAAATAAAAAAGTGAAAAATGAAATGCAAAAATAAAATAAAAAAATTTATAATAAATAAAAAATGAAAAAAATTAAAAAATTAAAAATCATTTGATCAATTGAACTTTCATCGAACAACGACAACTGTTCGCCCTTAACAGGCATCGAACAGATAGCCTAGCTCGAGGGCTCATTATCATTATTAAAGGAGGGCTTATCCTTTTGCCAGGCCTGTTTACGCATATTTATCGCATGTACCACCGGGCTGAGCGCGTCGAAGAGCGCGGACGCTTTGTTAAATTAACCAAAACCTTCTAACCAGAACCTTCTAACCAGAACCTTCTATCGTAGATTGACTAACTTGAACTTGAGGATAGAAGTTTTCAGATGGATCATGAAAAATTTACTGCTGTCAAAGAGAAACGAAAATGTTTTCTATACACAGTTTTAGGGCGATATCTTCAAAAATGCTAAGAAAACCTTTAGATGGTTTTTAAAGCGATAGTTAAGTCACTCACCAGCTGGTTGGGCTAGCTGCACTGACTGTCCGTCGAAAAGACAAAGAATCACACGAACCGTGGATAGCAAGCGACAGGTGAATTTTTTAATGAAAAATGTCTGTGTTTATGTGAAAAATGGTGATGCTTTCCAGGACATGCAAAATTAACGGTTCATGGGACCATTTGAAGATTTGGGAATTCAAAATTTGTTAGCGCGGTGTTGGAAAGATGGAAAGTAGGCAGAGGAGTAGGATGGTTTACTAAGAACAAAAGAAAAGTTGGTAACTTTTATATAGCATCTCGACGATAATTATATAGCTGACTAATAAAAAACCCTCCACTAAAACTACAAAAATAGACAGCAAAACTACAAAAAAAAGTATACAACGGCAGCTTAAACAAACAACTATGGCAAACCTAGTTTTAAGATCCTTTCTATCGGCGTGATAAATAATAACACTGGCAGATAACGAAGTCGCAGACCTGTAATTGGGCACAATGTTTCTTGCAAATAATGGAAAAGTGATAAAACATGAAATTGCAAGGAGATTCCTTAAGTAAATATTGTAGAATTTAAGGAATATTCCTAAGAAATGATATGTGAAAAAATTTGATGAGATTTTAGACGGTTAAAAAAAAGAAAACAAGTGATATTTGCTAAAGAATACAATGGAATTCAAGGATGTAAGGATGATAGGATGCTAAAGGAGTTAGATTAATGTAGTTTGAAGGAGATAAGATAAGAGGCGGTATGATTTCCTTTGAGTTTTTGGAGTGTTTGGATACAATGTAGCGAATTGTCAGACTAGTTTTTTTTCTAGTATTATATCCAATGTTTTCATGGCATATATTTATTGTAAACATTGTTCGTATTATATTATCGGGCCTGATAAATGATAAAGAATAATGGCAAAGATGATTCTACGAAAGTACCATCTCCGATACTTTTATTAGCGTTTATTTTGACGGATAAGATGCTAAATTTTACCTTAGGCAAATATCGATGCTGCCTCTTTTTTCGTTGGGTCTACTGAAAATAAGTTCCACGACCGAAAAAACGTACTATTTTTTTCTTTTTACATAAAATTAATAAATAATAAATAAATAATGTCGAAATAAATAAAAAATAAAGTTTGGAAATTGCAAAATATTCAAAATAGCATATTTTATAAAAATGCAAAAAAATAAAAAGAAACAATACTGAAACTTCAAAAATTTGAAAATAATTATTATAAATTATTTTAACATCGCAATAAAAAGGGCCTTTAGGCAGTGCCGACTAATCGCTTGGGGCACTCGTTTCAATTTTCCGTGAATAGTTAGAATGAATATCAAAATTTAACAAAGACATGGCCAATTCTTTTTCGATTTTTGGTCATCTAATTTTTATTTTTTTCTGTAAGAATGCTTAGAATTACTGATTAGGCTTTCTATGTTCGCTTGTCGAATTAAGCAAATTTTGCCAGGATGTCATTTAACGATAGAAGTACCAATGGAATTTCGGGCAGATTTTTGAAAGATAGGTTTACTTTTTGGGAATAGAACTCCATTTCGGCACTTTGAATCTTTATATTTTATATATATTTAATTTAAGTGGTAACATAAGTTAATTGTGAAAAAAACGCATATATAAACGCATATTAATAAATGTATAAACGTATATTTAAAACTTAATTGCACAAAAATACAAAACTGATAAATCAATGTTCTAACTGATAACTGATATCTTTCAGAATATTTTTATCACTGGAATTCTATTTTTTAAAGTGAAATTTTGAAAATTTATAAAAAATTTTTTGATAAACAAAACAAAGAATGTTTTCATTAAAACTGTTGGAGAACTATGATCAACATTTTACAGACAATATTGCTATGCTTTGCATTTTGTCGGTGAACTAAACTTTATTTTTGCAAAAAAGTCAGAAAGGTGACAATTAAAATATTACAATAATTTTAGCTTATCGCTGTGATTATCCGATGGTGCCAGTAAACCTGTCGTTGGCAAATTCGGGAGATGCTGCAAAGCCAGTAGGTACTTCTATCGTCAAATAAATCGCTGGGCAGAAATTTATTCGTAAAAATCTGATCAGTAATGCTTAGAGCAATCATTTTTACTATGCAATCCTTCTAAACCGTTTAAGAAACTCAATATTTGCTTAATATAAAGTTGGATTATGTAAAATTTCACTATCCTAAATGCAATTTGCATGCAGCTGGCACCATCTGAACATTAAAATAACGACTATTTAAACGGTCATTAAGCATAGAATATTGGTAGATTCCTTATCAATCCTAATATTTTTCCATTTTCCGGTAGTGATAGAAAGCATTATTTATCATTAATAATGCGTGTGCGTGTCATGTGATTATAAGATAGTAAAACAATAAATTTTATATCATTTTCATTCGATTTCATAAAAATCGATGCAAAATAATTCGAAAATTTTTTCTTTTAACTTTTGTTCCTTAATAGTTTTTTCTTTTTTTAAATTAACAATAGATTTAGCATGACAAAATGATTTAACCGCACATTGATAAATTGATAAGCACTGCAGTTCTTTTTCTTGTTTATCGTCTTCGCCGAGAGTGTGGTTTATGATTCCACTGACTGCTGGGATAAAGCTACTAGAAACGGTTAAGCTAATTCGCCGACTAATGGGTACCATTGGACCTTTTATTCAGGCCTTTTCAAAATATTTTTGTGAGTGGAGAAAAGCGGTATTTTAGAAAAAATTTAAGTTGTACTGCTGCCATAACATTTGTTGAATAAATAAATCCTGGATGAATGAACGTAAAATTTTTATGCAGAAATTGTCGAACTATGCAAATTAAAAAAGTTTCGAAGATCCATAATATCTACTACTTCGCATTTTCCCTAAATTCCCCTCATTTTTTTGGATCATTATTAGAATCCATAGTTTTGTACAAGTTGTTAATGATATCTTGATAATGCTTCCTCAACTGTGGCCTTTTCCCTTTCATCGTTGGCGTTAGGAGACCATTTTCGACCGAAAATGCTTCATTTGTCAAATGAATAGCTTTCACCTAGAAAACATATATTGAATAAATATAACAAATATGACTGAACTTATGCTCATGCATTTCATGTTATTTGCAAGTAACTCGAAGAAGAAAAGTTACTCGAAGAAAATTATCTTAAAAATTGATAGAATAAATCTCAGAAATCTTAAAAAGACTTTTAGAAAGTAAAAAAATAGTTTTTTTAAAACAAAACCTTTTCAAGAGAGTTGAGGTTATTTTGTATTCCAACTTTTTGCAATTCGTTTAACACATATTCTTTTACCTTAATTTGGATTAATTATTTGAGAATTTTCATTTTTTATCATTATTTATTATTATTTATTATTATATTTATTATTTATTATTATTACTATTATTATTTATTTTATTTTATTATTAAGAAATTTAAAAATTTTTATTTATATATTTTCGTTCTAAATTCTATATATTTGAAATTATCATTTGGTGCTATAAATAGGACCTTTATGTACTTAAATCAGCCTTCCTGGTAGCATAATTTATGGTAACTGAGTTAGCGATCTCATCTAACCGCTAATTACAACAATTCTTTTCTTCCAAAATGAATTCTTTTATATAACCCAAAAAGACTTGTATGATTCTCGTTGTCTTCCAAAAAAAGAGAGACCAAAGTTTTATTACAAAAGCCATAATAACTTTGGCTGGGATATGGTTCGTTCATTGGGTTCCAGAGTTCGAAAGTAAGGGGGAAAATGGAATGGAGATCAATGGAATGAACATTTTAGAGCGTCAGTGTTGGCGATTCTATTTTCAGCAGCAGAAAATCTCCCTTCGAAAAATTCGAGTGTAGTTGGTGATTGATCTGTCTGTGCTTTTATTACCAGCTGATTTCATTTGGCTGGGAAAAATCAGAGGAACGAGTCGCACCAGATGAGCGCTTTTAGCACAGGAAGATATACATCATTTAATGGGGTTACTAGTATGTTACCATAATTATTTCAAAACCACTCTCTAAGAACAAAGTCTTAGTCACCAAAAATCAGCTAAATAACGGTGAAAAAGCATTATAATATTACTGGTGAGATATGAAAAAATTTGCTACAAACTTCTTTTAAACTTAATAATTCCTCATAGGATTTTCCATCATTTTTGAAATTCTCTTCCAAATATTTTTTCATCACCATTTCGTCGGGCACAACAACGGCGACCAAAAATCTGAACTGATTTTTCAAAATTTTTTAGGTACTCTTTTTTAACACGTAGAATAACGCCGATAAAAGGTGCACCTATGTACCCTTTTATTAATCCTCTTTTTTCCTTATCACTTCCCACCTTGTCTTCTTTCTCTTCCTATTGTTCGTTTTCTTTTTCACTCTATCTTTGGATTCTTATTTTTTCATCTGTTTTCCCCATAATCTTATGATCCTATTCAAATTCTATATATTCAACTCCATTTTTATCCACACACCATGCAATAGGCAGAGTTGAAATAGAATGGCTCAGTGGATTGTTGCTCAATTCGGAGCGCCGATACTGAGGTTCTATTTCCCGCAGGCAAAACCTGTCCGAAAATTCGGGTGATTCTGGCGATTCACCTGTATTTATAGGCTCCTTGGCATATTTGCCTAGTACGACAAGCCATTGGAGCGAGTTTAAACAGTAATGGAGAGGATTTAAAAAAAATTTCATCCATACATTCACAAGATTATCGAGTTATTATTCATGTAAATAATATTTAAGTGGGCTAAATTAATTCTTCAGAGATCCTGGCTAGATCTAAGTTCGATTATTTTTATTATTTCCCATGAATTTTTAGATAACTTTTATGAAAAAAAATAAGAATAACCACCTTTCTAAAGGATTACCATCGACGAATATCTGCTGTACACATGGTGCACGTAAATAAATATTTTCAATCTTTTCAGGAGCGATATATTCACCCTAAAAAATTAGTTTAAAATTTCGAAGAAATCTATTCATAGATTTCATAAATTATACTTCTAAATATTTTATAGGGTGAAAAAAATTAGAAAAATTTAACTCACTTGTGCAAGTTTAAATATATGTTTTTTCCTATCGATTATTTGTATAGAACCATTTGGTAAAATTTGTCCTATATCACCCGTATGAAGAAATCCTTGATCATCGAAAAGTTGTGCGGTTTTCTCAGGATCCTACAAAATAATAGCAAATCCACTTAAGCCGAATAAAACAATTTCTAAAGGCCTATTAAATTTTATAATCTCTAGATTAAGTATTCATTTCTTTCAATAATTTTACCAACCAGAATAATTTTTAGATATTCAAATAAAATTTTTATGATACGATTGATCCATACCTTAAAATATCCTTTTGTTACATGGGGACCTTTCACCATTATTTCACCTTTTCCTTCATTAGAATAATAATTTAATTCTGGGACATCAATAAGCTTTAATAATGTGCATCCTGCTGGTGCTCCACCATGAACACTTTTGGTGTCATTGGGCCAAGAACTGGTAACTAGCATACATTCAGTCAATCCATATGCTGTAATAATATCACATTTTGGTTTTACTAGTTGATTGTTTCCTCTGATCTATTCGATTGGTTTTTACGTATTTATTCTATTTTAGCTGAAAAAAATCGTAGAAAAAAAGGTCTTTTTTTTATAAGGTGTGGACGTTAGTGTTTTAGATTCAACATTTTTTCCACAAACTTTCGACAATCACAGAGCCAAATATGACTCGACAAGCTTCCACTACTTTAGCGTCAATCGCAGCGGCTCCAATTGAAAGTAATCGAACTCGACCGCCGAGCGATTTCTGTAATCGGTTTTTTGGTAAATATTGTTTGCGTATGAAAAAACAAATTTGCAAATTTGGGTGAATTTTTATACTAATCATTATCTAAAATTATAATAGAAAAAATCCTAAAAAAATCATAAAAAATCCTAAACAAATCCTAAAAAATCCTAAAAAAAAAATTATTCTCAAGCTCGCTGCAAGAATTCGGCGTTCTAAGAAAATACACCGAAAAACGTACTCAGCCAATAATAAATTTCGATTTTTGCAATCAAAATTTTAAAATATCACAATTAATAAAATTTATTGATAATTTATTAATAATCAAATTTTACTTGAATTTTAGAGAAAATAATCCAATCCCATATTGTATCATTTGTTATGATACCTTGTTTAACTAGTGATAATTTTCGCTGATAAGCAAAGTTAAATAGCGCTCTAGCAATGAAATTTTTATTTTTCACAGTTTCCTATAAAATTAATAGTTGATTCTTGGAATTCCCTAAATCTCGATTTTATTTCACCATTTTTATAATTGATTAAATTATCAAAAATTTTTTACTAATTGATAATCAATTAATAATTATTTATAATTTTAAACCTGTATTTGATCATAGATTCTATTTAAAATTCGAGGAACAGCTGGAAAGACTGTAGGTCGTAAGTCCTTCATATCAGTCATTAATCCTTGAACATTACCAGTCATATATCCCACTGATGAACCGATTAAGAACATACACCAATGAGTGATTTGCTCTACCACATGAGGAAGTGGCAAATAAGAAATTTCCACCTGAACTGCATTTATAATGAAAATTTCTCGTCACTTCTTCCCTATTCTTCTTCCTTATTTTTTTAAAACTGAAAAATCAAAACGATTTATGGCCAAATATCGTTAACACTGTGAACTGAAGAAGAATTAATTAAAAAATTAGAAATCCGAATAAATGAAAATTTATCGTTCGAAATAATAGCTCTAAAATTTTACTGGACAAATCTTCAAAATATTAGTTATAATTGAAAATTGTCACCTCGTTTGGTGAGATAAGATCGGGAAAAAAAGTTAATGCCAAGAGATGAGTGGCTGCTATATTGGCAATAAAGTTTTGATGAGTGAGGATAACACCTTTCGGAATGCTTGTCGTGCCGCTCGTATAACTAAAAAAGAAACAATTTTTTTAAGCGACAAAAAATTGTAAATACTAGGCTAAGCTTTATTTTTAAGAGTTAAGACCTTATTGGTTGAGTATATTTATAGCTATAAGATTAAAGCACTTTGCTAATCTTTCGCTGGCCAGTCATTAAATTTAAATTTATGAGATCTAAATGTGCAAAATTGATATTTTACATAAAATTCCAAGGTTTTTTTTGAATTGCAAGATTTTTTAAATTTTTTGAATCCCAATTAACATCTTATCGAAGTATTATCACTGTCTTATCATATAGTATTATCATTATCTTATCATATAATTTACCATATAATATAAATGTCTTCCGGTTTTGGAAGCATCATTTTGATATGATATTCATTTCCTTCAGTGATTAGCTCATAAAATGCATGGACCTGAAAATTTTTCCATGTTGGTCATTTGGCTTTTTTTTTCAAACAATTCGATCTTCAGTAAAAAATAGTCACCTTCACTTGAGAATGCAGATTGATTACTTCATCAATGTTCGTTCTATCAATCAAAATAATATTTTCAAGAAATGAAATGTTCGCAGATAGTAATTTCTTCGCATTTTCAGAATCACTAACCACAACCGTACTAAAATAGCAAATAAAGTTGTTTGATTTGGCTCATTCCATTGATAACCACAAATGATAACTATCATCGTTATAACTATCTTTAACTTACTGTCTTTAAATTTTCAAAGAATTTTAATAAATATTAAATAGAAGGAAAAGAAACTTCAGTTCACATTGTTCTAGGATAAATTTTATAGCTTCATGTCCAAGGGTATCGTATAACGGAACGATAACTATTGAATGCTGAATACATGCAAGAGTAGTAATGAACCATTCCGGACAATTTTTGGAATATATTCCAACACGGGTTTCATTACCTATAAAATCATTCTTAATATTTCCTAATATTAATTATTCAAGCGTATTCTGCTGAATACAAACCATCTTTGAGGTTTAATTTCCCGATTAAAGCAGAACCAAATTTATATGAACGTTCAAGTACATCCGAATACTTGATGGGACGATACAAATGACGGATGGACGATCTGTGCCAAATGCATGGACCATCTCCGCTTACCTTAAAATTTTTTAAGTTGGAAAGGAGAATATTTTAATTTTCGAGCCTTAAATTTAAGCGAGAAAGATCCTGTTCAAACTGCTTAAATTTTGCTCTTTGGTTTCAAAATGCAAATTCTAAAAAATGGAAGCAAATTTAAAAAATTAGCGTCTGAAAGAATTTCACCTTGTTGGCCAACCAACTATTTCGTAAACAAAGATATTTAACATATTTTAACAATATATTTAATGTATTTGGCAATATATATTTTACATATTATGCTTTATATATATTTATATTCAATTATATATTATAAAAATGTAATAACAAATAAATACCCTAAGGCCATTTAAAAAAACTTTATAAAGTGTATCGATATCAGGCGGAATTTGATCGAATCGTGTTTGCTTATCAGCCAAATAACCGCATCCATATACTCCTCGATTGTTCTGAAAAAAAGAATATCAAAAATTTCCATAAAATAGCTGATAAGAAATAAATTAATACTAATCATTTGAAACTATCATCAATTAATGATAAACTTGATAAAGTCAAATGATTAAAATTATTCTGTAAATTCCGATTTCACCTAAATAAAAATACTAGTTCACAAACCGAAATATTCTATACATATTTTTATCATACATTAAAATAAATTATCAAAAATAAAAAAATTTATTGTTCTTAAACATAGAAAATATGTATAGAAAAAATTTCTCTTATTTTTCTATATGTAACATTTACATTGGTATATATGAGAAAAAGATAAATAATTAATGATTATCATTCGTTTTGGTACCTTTTTAGTACAATTAATGATGAAGTTTCTTACGATGTTTGCTTGATAAAATTGATAAATTATGTTCGATTTAGTGATACGTATGATACACTTTTTATATTTATGAATGTGAATCGCAACATTTAAAGAAATTTTTATTATGATTATTTAATTTAATTTTCATTTATTTGAGTAATTATTGATATAAAATTATTTGTAATTTTTAATCAACGCCAGCATTATGATTCTATTTTCACTTCTGATAAAAATAAATCTATTATTAAAAAAATCCAAGTGGTATTTATATTGTAAAGTAACTCTATGGCAAAATTGTCACTCATCTTATCAGTGGTCAATGTAGGAAACAAATGATATCCTCTAACTTATTTCCTATAACTTTCTAAGAATTTTTTTTAATAGAAAATTTTCATTCACAGAAACATTTGAAACTTAATTGACGCAGAAAATTGGATATATTAAAAGGAACTAAAATAGTGTAACTAAGGTTTATTTATCAATTTTCCACAAAATTATTCATCTTAAAAAAACTAAAATAAATAAAAATAATTAATAATTTATAAAATAATTAAGAATTACGATTTGTTCGATTCCTTGACGATTAAAATCGAATCGATCATTTTCAACGATTTTTAATGGTTTCGTTCGTCTTACTTTCAAATAAGTAGCTAATGCAGTAATCAGAACGGCAACTGCGATAAAAATTCCTATTAGCATTTTGTGGCGATTTAGAAAATATACGAATAATTAGGTTTGAAAAAAAAGAAAATAATTCTTAAATTTTTATCGTTGGAAATTCTTCGAAGCGCCGATAATATTTCACTTGAACAACTTTATATAACATTTAATGTTTGAACATTTCGTTTCAAAAACTATTAAATTTTTCTTAATTTCTCGTTTTCATAACGAGAGAAAAAAAAAGTACCAAATCGGCATCGAAATCAATCTTTTTATTTCAAATTTTAAATTAATAGGTAGTTTTTTTTTCTAGGAATGATTTTTCTAGGAAAGGAAGGAATCATTTCTTATCAGACCCGCATTAGCAATGAAACAGATAAATTTTATCAGCGAGACATTCAGCGATAGAATTACGGTTAGGCCACTAGCACTACCAAGATTTTTGAGTTTAACCTTGTTGGAAATGGAACTTCAATATCGGTACTTCGAAATGCGATCGAGACAATCTACTAAGAATTTTAGCCTATTCATGCAGAAATATAAGCTAAGAAATATTTTAAATCAAGTATCGAATAGATTTTTTTTTTTTGACAATTCTATAATTATGTTTCGTTTGAGTTCCATTAGGTCAAACCAATTATTTAATTCAACTTGAAATGAGAGTTTTTTTACCTTCTTTAAATCGTAGATCTTTCTGATGATTTATTAGCAACTTCTTAAAGCCTATGCTTATCATTCTGAAAAATATTTCTTGCGATTATTGGGATAATTGATGTGATTTTTATCATATCTGTGGTTTCACTTCATATTCTTAATATTACTTCTTTCAGATTGCTGATAAATTAATATCATTGCGTTTTTGCTATTTATTTGTGTTCAATATTGAAGAAAAGACGGAAGAAATGGCTAAAGGAAATCTGGTAAATCTTGAAGGGTAAATTTAAAAAATTTAAGTTAGTGATTAGAAAAATTAAAGAAATTTTTCTCTCTACTTGAATTCAAGAAATATCAATTTAAAAAAAAATAACCACTTAATCTTGTCACTAATAATCACTGATAATCTTAACAATAAATTTATAAATTGTCAATCACTAGTTAATTTGATGCAAAATGCAATTCTCTCTAATGAACTGATAATTCAAAATTATAGTTAAAATTACCAAAAACAAACTAAGTAAAACGTAAAATTATGAGAATATTAAACGATAAAATTATGGACTTATAAAAATTTAAGAGATAATCTTTACGGTACCAATACTCAAAATCTGCCCGGATACAATTAGAGGAGAATTTGAAACGCATAGATTGCCCAACGATAGTTGGACACAAATAGAGGAGAAAGGAATTCCTTCGTCGATTCTTCTTCCTAATAGCTCGCATATATTATTTTCATGTATCGGATTATACAATTTGAAAATGCCTCAATTTATAGTAGCAAATAGTAGAATTAAGTATATCCAGTAAGAAGATTCGGGCAATTAGAAGAAGAATAAGAGGAATTAACGATGATATGAATGGAAATGAACTGAACAAAAGAAGAGTGAAGGAATAGGAGGAAAGGAAAGGAACTCGTTGCATTGCTAACCTGTTAAATACAATAAATTTTATTCTAAAAAACTTTAAAGGTTCATTAACTCTTTGATTTCTATATGCACTAAAATAAGAAATTTCTTTCTTCAGTTTTCAAGTGATTTTCGACCGGTTTTAAATTTTTTTATTTTTGGAAAAAAACCAAAAACCTAAAATAAACCACAAAAAAATGAAATTAATTTCGAAAAATTTTCAATAAAATAAGGCGAAATTTTCAAGTGATTTTTTTAAATTCATAATTTTAAACCGTAAAAAACGAAAGATTTGAAATAGCTCAATTAGATTTTTGCTTTGAACTCGAGGCGCCAATACTGAAAAATATTTCTTTCCTTTCCGGAGCAAATTTCAAAAATCCACGCGCTGTTGGTTTCTAATCGCCTATTTCCTATCGCAAAGTGAATCCATAGCGTAAAAAACCTAGTGAGCCATTTCGCCTTTTAATTATACAATTAAAACTACTGATAAAATTGTAATTCGACAAGTCAGTGGAGCGGATTTAACCAGAAATGGTGAGCGTTTTATTAATTTTATTAAAAAAATTATGGCACCAAAAAATTCACGTATTTATTCACTTAAAAGAAAAAAAGTTAAGAAAACCAGCAGTGCTTTTCAATTTTCCTTTTTCCTTTTTTATAAAATTATTATTTTATGAAATTACTTAATAAAAATAAAATTAATAAAATCTTAAAATTTTAAATAATAAAATAAAATCTTAAACAAAATTCTTGTTAAATAATATGTTCTTTTATCTGGAAGGAAGTAATAGGAATATGGATTGGATTTCTTGCACACTGATGAGGATCGGCCTGAGGCTAAATCTTCATGAGCCTCAAGCCTATCAATCTCATTTGAAGTCTGAGTCTCAAAATAATATTAAGAGTAAAGATCAATCAAAAAAAGAATATTCCAAATAAAATAGCCTGAAATTGACGTCTATCCAGTTTTTATAAACAACTTCTTCCCACAAAATATTTGCTAAATAAATTTAGGCTCACTGCGATGGCTTACTGGACTAGGCCAATTTTCCTAGGGAGAAATACAGGTGATCGCCAACAAATAATTGATAAATTAAGAGAAAATTAAGAAATGAACATTCTAAAAATATGGAACATAAAAATTGTAATTTTTGATCACCATTCAACAACATTTTCACTCCAGTACAACCTCTAATAGAAATTCCGAAATTCTGTTTGACGCAGTGTTTAAACCAGAGACTCCATTTTAGGGTCCAAAAACCTCTTAGGAGTCCATAGATTTGCATTGTTTGGATGAGGAAAAATATTCTCATTATCAAAAAATCCAAACTGCTATGCGGCACTGCTTAAAGTTATGAATTAGCAACACCTGAAATTTCACTGCAGATCTTTTCATAACAAATTACCTTCCTCTTTCTCTCCTTCTAAATTTGTTTTTTTTTTAAAACATATGTCCTAAGGACTTCGAAACTTTGAAAAATTCGTCAGAAGAAACAATGAGCAATGTCGGAAGGAACAATGGTATCAGAAGGAACAATGGCACGAAAAAAATCTATAAATTGGATGGGAAACATTGATAATCAATGACAAAAAATGTTCTTCAAAAATGTTCAAAAATCTAAAAATTTCCTTTATTTTTTAGATCAGTTGTTGTCGAAATTTTTTAGCTTCCTTAGACGCTCAGACAATGCCATAGAAATCCATGGACCCCCTAGTGGACCAATAATTTTTTCTTCCACTCGGAACATTTTAGTAATTATGCCTACAAAAAATGCCAAATCGCAGAATGTGGTCGCAAAGAACTACGTTATGCTTCGACTGTTCTTCAGATTATCGTATTTGCCTCAGGTGAAACCCTTAGGTTCCCATCCATTTCCTAAAATTCACCGTGGGGACCAGTTTGACACTAGTCCGCTAATTTCTAGGCTGCGGCCGCAATTGTTTGTCGACAATAATTTTAAATTTTACTCAGAATTTTTTTCATTTATTTGAAGGGTTCAGACAAAGGTGGTTTATCTATTTTTTTTTTTTTGTTTTCTTGGCTAGGCTCGTTCCGTTGGCTCATTGGGTCACTAAAAGCAAAGGTGCAGTCGCCAACATCACTGGGATCACCGGGAAAAGACTCACTTCTGTTTGACGTAGAACCTCAGTATCGACCTTCAAAACTAAGCCTAAGCCATTCTTTCCCCTTAATCGTTTAAAAAATTTATTTAATCTTTCGGATAGTTGAAAATCGCATTTTTTTTGGCTTTCTCTTGATTTCAGCGCATTTCGCTTTATATTTTTTCATATTTCTATAATTATTAAATAATTTCGCTTATAAGATAATCTATCAAATCGATCAAATTAGAGATTTTCCAGCCGTTTTTTAGTACCACGCAATTTTTTTAAAAAAGCTCAATGAAAAATATGAATCTCATAAGCTAAAAGCCTATATACATAATTATAATTACAAGAAAAGGGAGCGTAGAATGAAAAACTTAGTGGGTTGTTGCCCTCAATTCGGAGGGCCGATTCTGAATAAACTCTGTCCAAAACTCTGTGCGACTGATGCTGGCGACTCAACTTACTTTTTGTCTTTACTTTTATATCTACTGTCTGTATCTGTACTTCTTTCGCCAAGAGATTTCCTGGCTATTTGTCTAGCGAATCTATCCAGTGATGGTGAGGACTCTTGAAAAAACATAGTATTACACGGAATAGATCTGTTTATATTTGAAGTATCATCATATCCTAAACCGTTGGTCCCATTATGATTTTATCTTTAAATATTATCATTATTAAATATTTAATATTAAATATTTCGAAATAGTCCACTGGAACCATCTTGAGTCTTTCTTTTTAAGTAATAGCACCATCGCATTCATATTATATTATAGTTCTTTACTCTCATCAAGCCAAACCTTAATCTTTTGGTGCATCCATAGCAAATTATCAAATGACGACAATCTGTTATTGAGGAAAAATAATGTGAATTGTAAGTACGGAAGGAACTCGTTAAGCAATAGGGATTTAATGAGTGCGAAATAGTGTTTGCAGGATTCGAAGACGCCTAAGAGAATATATCGAATTTTATGGAGATAGCAAGGGATATATACTCGTATTTCAAAGCTTTTATAATTTTTTCACAATGAATTACAAGCATAACAATAATGGATAGTAGATTTATAGATTAGATAAAAATAGAGATAGAGATAAAGAGAAAATAGAGATAAAAATTATCACTGCGATTTTTCCTTTAGTATTCTATTGATAATTCTATTGATAACAGCTAGAAAAATGCGATCCTTTCATTTTCAAGCAAAATTCAAAGAGTTAGTTCATGAAAAAAAATTCTATGAATTATTTAACAAATAACTCGGAGTGTCATGTGGATAAAGTTACAAGTGGTTCCTCAGCAGCCACTCGGATTTTTGGTGTGATAAGTTTATTTTCAAGACAAGCATAATATATTATTTTTATATTATTTATATATAAAGTGAAAGAATAATAAGAAAGATTTAAGAAAAGACAAAAGAAAAAATTTATCGTTTGAGATGCTCAAACGAAGTAATATTCGATAACCAATCAATCAAAAATCCAATAATAATATTTATTTCTATATTTTAATAGAACATAGAACGATTGGACGAACCGACCACTCATTAATTACACATCCGTGTTTCTTAGAAATTCAGTTAAAGTATCATTTTTTTTCATTCGAAAAATAATCCATTTTTATTTCAGTAAAATATTGTATGAATGGAACGACAATGGATATTTGCGATTCATGTATCAATGAACTTTCTCATAATTTAAAAAGTGATATTTATTCCTCTACCGAAATTATTGCAAATGGTGATTCCATCAATACAAAGATAATACAAATGGCATGTTCAGAAGATGAAGCATTAATTTCTTGCAAAACAAATACTGAAGGTTTGTTGGATTAAAATTCTTGAAATTATAGCTTTCAAAGTTTTGGATTTAAAATTTAGATTGAAAGATTGAAATTCAAACCTTAATTTTCTTTCCTTGCTCCTTTTTGCACCTTTTTTTAATATTTTTATATTGTAAATTTCAGTATTCTATAAATTACTTCTTATATTTTAAAAAATCAAAAATCAGTTGGAAAATTTTTGGTGGATTTTAGTTTTTCTCTAGTTTCTCTATTTTTTCTCTATTTTCTTTGACATATGTCGGACTATTTAGAAGTTTTAAGAATTTTTAGAATATTCTATATAGAATAATTTCAAATTTTTTCAATTCATTTAAGACGTTTTAATGAAAATTTTCGAGAATGTCGTGGAAAATCTAGAATTAAAAGGAAAAAATAAAAAAGCTAATGCGCTTCATCAGGTCGCTCCTATAGTGTTCATTATAATGCAAACAGCTTTGAGGAAAGCACGAATGAATGGTTGGATTTTTTCTCTACTTTCTCTTCAAAATCAAAATTTTAAATCAAATTTCTCAAGAACTCAATTATCAAAATTTTTTCAAATAGACAAAAACAAATCTTACGAATCGCATTAATTGCTAGATTTTCAGAAGAAGTTGATATTGGATTATTAGTTTTTGAACAAATTAGGAAATTGGTTGATATTGATCGAAAAAGAATGGAAAATTTGACTTTTTGTATTGATATTATATTTTATCTTGTGCAGTCAATCATTCGACGAGACGAAGATAGGCATAATTTTTTAAATTATTTTAATATAATTTTAATTTTTTTTTTAAGAATATATATAATCTCAGATCTATATACCTGTATGTGAATCTGGTTTTCGACTATCAAATCCCATAAAAGATGGATTAATAGATTTAGACAAGTTCCTGAAATATGTTATTAGTGTAAAGATTATATTCTTTTTCATTCTCCAAAATTTCTTCAAAGACATAAAGATAATTAAGAATGGGGAATAAAATGGAATTTTTTTTTGTATTCACATATTGTATTTTGTATTGTATTGTACTCACCATTTATAATCTTTTTATAACCCTTAATTTTTAAATCATTTTTTAATTTTCATTATTTTCTTTTTTAGGAGCAGAGTATCAATTAGTAATTTGGATAATGAAGTCTGTGTTCAGACGACTGTAATAAAAGCCAAAGTTGAAAATGGAAAGAACGATTCCTCGAATATAATTTCGACCGTTTATGAACCTCCATCTTCTATGGAAGTCAGTCATTCAGTTGACAGTCGAAAATCCGATTCAGATACAGGTCAGGTCTCAAATATATAGAATTAATTTGAAAATCTTAAAAAAAAGCTTAAATCTTTAAATTTTAATTCTTAATTATTAATATCGTTTAAAATTTTCGAATATTTCGAAATTTGGAAAGCAGAAGTTGTTTTTCAGATTCTACCAGTCTTTTAGATTCAAATTTTTATTTAGGTCAGGTTGAAATACGTGCAAATATTTTACTAAAAGAATTTCATGACAGTGAAATGGAAGATTTGACCAGAGCTTGTAGCACTGATCAGGTTTAATTATTATTTAATTTTCTGAATATTCAGAACACAAGAATTTTTCACGAGAATTTTTGAAATTTTATTAGACATGGTGGCCGAATTATATATTGCTCTTGTTAAGGGAGGTTCCTGGTTCCAAATTAAAAATGGAATTCTGATGAAATCAGGTTTGAAGTCAAATGTGAAACTCACTATATCCCTCTCCGTATCTATCTAGTTTACTTAAAGATTCAATTCTTCCAGTTCTTTGCCTTATTTTTTAAAATAAAAAAAGTAGAAACATCATGCTTATATCTGATTATCTGTTTTTAATAAAAATATATATTTTTATTTTACTTTTAAAGGCATTCATTCGATTAATAGCTTTTATCTTCAGATTTTGTTCGATTTACCAAATTCTGAGCTGGAGTCCATTAGTTTTTTTCAAGAAAAGGGAATTTTACCGAAAAATTGCATATGTCAATATGGTCATTCATTGGAACTATTTTTTGATCTCAATAAAAATGCTTATTTTTGGAAAGATAATCATGCATCATGTAAAAATGTGATTTGCATACGAACTGGAAATTGGTTTAGTGGTATTAATTCCATTAACTTGTCTTTTATGAAAATTATTCGTTTTATCTATGGATGGTCTCACGAGTTGACCACTATAAAGTGGTGCAAGCAGGAATTGGGATTGTATCCTACTGCTGTGGTCAAATTGAATAGGTACATGCGAAAAGTTTGTATCGAAATTTTAAGAAAAAAAGGAACTATGAAAATAGGAGGTTATGGCAAGATTGTTGAAATTGATTGCAGTTTAATTAATAATTATGGATGTCGGCAAGTATTTTTTCTTGGTGGAATTTGTCGTGAAACAAAAGAATGTTTTGTCGTAGAAGTTCCAGATCTAAATGCGTTGACGATTTGCAATTTCATTAAGGAAAATATCGAAAATAATACAATGATTTATTCTAATTGTTGGGAAAAATATGGCAAAACAGAAATGGAAAAGGCTTGCTTTTCGCAATTTATGAATGACCATGCTTATAATTTCGTTAATCCTGATACTTATTTGGATGTTGCGAATATAGATAAATTGTTTTACTCTGCGAAATGGCGTAATATTCAAGCTATGGAAATTCATCACGTTGAATCGTATTTAAATGAATTCATTTGGCGTAATCGTTTGTTGAATAAGGATCCATTTGATGAGATATTATCCAATATAAAGGAATGTCGGCCACCTCAAGTAGAATTTTGATTTTCTTGAATTCTAATATAATTCTGATAAACTTTTTGGAATTTTGATTTTCTTGTAATAAATTCTGATAAATTTTTGATTTATTCTCGAAGATTTTTGTATATTTTATTTTTTTGTAATATAAATTTTATTTTTCATATTTTTATTTTTATTTTTTACAATATAACTTTCATTATTTTTCTAGTTTTCTTTTTTTAATTTATTGATATTTTTACTTATGTTCTTTTATTTATATAATATTTCCTTAGCTATAATTAAAAATTGATGTGCACACTAATTGAAAATTATTCATTAGTAAAGATTAATAAAATGAAAATGTATGATCTCAAATCTCTCATCATTAATATTGTTATTTGAGGAAATTTTCCCAATAAACAAAATTTTACTAGAACATAAAATATGAAATGCTTTGCTGTATAATTATAGGTTTTTTTTTTGTAAAAGAAAATTTCATTTTCCGTAAAAATATTATTTCTCTCTATTATTATTAGTTTAATTTTTATTATTAGTTTATTATTATTAAATTTATTATCAGTTTAGTTTTTTATAAACAAATTTAGATGGAAATTTTTTACAATATGGAATAGATAATAGAAAATAGGCTTTTCCATCTTTTTGTATTTCGTGCGAAACGTAATATTGTATGTTGTGAATTTTGAATTTTGTAAATTTCTTCCGTTCATCTTACTTAAATAAATCTTTTAAATTATTTGAAGAGTATAAATATTCGTTGAATAAAACTGTTCTTGCTTCGCTTGCATATCGTTGATTAATGATGAAAAAAAAATTTAGTTCGTCTTTATCTTACAGGTAGTTTTTAGTGATCCGCAACCGATTGGAGTAAAGATAGCTAATAGCTTCTATTCCAATGGCGTAGAATGGAGAATGACGATGGTGTATGGAATTGTTTGCCAGAAGATGGTTTTGACGAGGATCCCTTCCTAGCTACTTTATCGAATATTTGTCCAGATGGGTTAGTAGGTTTTTTTTTTACTCGTTGTGCTTGAATTTTTTGCTAATAGTGCCGAATTTATTGGTTTAAGTGGGTGAATTAACAATTACGTTTGGATATTTCCAAATGTGCCACGCTGAAACAATTATTGAAATTGGGAGAGATTATCATTTCTTTTTCAGCTTCAATTTTTTTTTAATTTAGAAATTTTAATGAATTTTCCTTAGAGAATGCTTCAGAAATCCAAAAATCTCATTATGGAGCTTTTTCTTACTGATTTATTTTCTGTAATAGATTTTCGCTTGCGGAACTCGTTCAGATTGATTATAGTGATTGTCGATTGTAGGTAATCTGCAATTTAGAAAGCATGGTAAGCTTTAATATTCATTAGATTTTTCAAATTTTTTAATCTTGCAGTTGGCGTCATGAAAACTCGCCGAAAGCACTGCCAAGACGTTCCTTATCTGAACCTAACTTATTGAATCAAATCGGCGAAGATAATCGCACTTGTTTAACTCAGGAATATGCTTCTCTTACTCAAGTATAGCTTTTTCTATCTTTGTTTAGAGGGAATTTTTCAATGAAAACATTTTTAATGGTAATGTTTAATAGTAGATCTTTCTGGGAAAATTTTTACTTCTCTTAATTTTTAGGAATAAAAGTTAAGATTAAAAGGAATAATAATAAGGAAACCTTATTATTTTATTGCATAAATATATAAATTTATAATGTAATCCAATTAGTATTCATTAATTATTTATGCTGTTATCAATCTTTTATTATTATTTCTATTGTTATTATTATATTGTAAGTCAATTCATCAATTTTTTAGGATGAAATTCCCCTATCTTCGAATAAAACGGGTAAAAATTTGCCAGATAAGCTATGTGATGAGTTTTTCGGCGTTTATTGTCTCATTAGCAGGAGTTCTAATAAATATTATAAGGCAAGTTCAGTTGTTCATTTTGAATATATTCCAAAAAATTCCTATTCCATTTTTTAGAATCTAATCTTTTCAACTTAAAAAACAATTTGTAAAAAATTAATTTAAAAAATTGATTTAAAAAATAAGAAGCGATCCATAGAACTTTTTGTATAATATATTTTTCGTTTTATATTTCGTTTGACTATGATTTCTATGTCATTTTTTTGTTCCTCTTGAATCGTGAAATAAAAATTTATTTTGAACTTTATGCACTCTGGGAGTTTCTAATTTTTTAATGATTGATAACGATATAGCTTTCTTTTTAGAAATTTTGTGTTTCTGATGGCTTTCCTTTTGTTATTTTTTTTAATTAGCTAATTAATTTTAGAATCGTTGTTATATCGGTTATACTGTTGATCCGAATCGTCGCATTAGGCAGCATAACGCTGGTACGCAGTTTGGTGGTGCTAGTAGGACTGATCATCGTGGCCCATGGTAAGTTTTTTTTTAAAGAAATAATGTTCATAAATAGCTAGTCTATGCTTATAAATCATAAATATATAGATGTATATATTTGTCGTATATTGTATAATATTGTATCAACTTAAAAACTAACCAGTTTTGTTCTAGAATGAAAAATTGCTTACTTTAAATTTAAACAGCGCAAAAAATTATTGCAGAAGCCAAATTTCTTGAAACATTGTTGTTTGCTGATATAGTATAATTTTTTAATAGTTAGGAATATAATAGTTGCTTATATAGTATATTTTTTTAATAGTTAGAAATAGTTTGCTGACATATAATTTTAGGGACATGGTTTTGATTATTTATGGTTTTCCAAATAGCGTATCAGCTTTACGCTTTGAATGGGCTTGGCAGAATCCAGATAAATCGCGCCGTTTACGACCATTAGAATTAAAAAAATCACAAAAGGAAACTGCATTCGCATTTCGCCTTCGCATCGTTTGCTGTATGCTTAATACTGAACCTTGGAAACGGCTGTCATTGACATTAAGATGGTTAATGCCTGTATGCCTTTTAAATGATAAAATTTAAAATATTAAAATTATATAAAAACAATAATGAATATTAAAAATTCATTATTCATCCCAATATATTATAGATCATTTAGTGTTTTTTTATATTGCTTTTATATTTATAACGGTAAATTTTATTTTGGCCTGTATCAAGTTGGATCCAATTTTCTTTGAATTCTGATTTCAGGAATGTGAAATTCCTTTTAGCCATCGTTTACCTGAACATATTGCTATTGAACATGGTGTTATCAAGAAAAGTTGGATAATGGTAAAGGAATCAATGGAAAACGCCAAAGCAATTTGCAATTGCGTCATATGCGAGCAGAAAATTATCAGTGTTCGTCTTTAGATATTTTCTTAAAAACATATTAAGAGATGTTTAATTAAATATCAAATAAGTTTGGATTAAAGGAATGCTGGACATTAGAGCTTAGATAGTTTTACATGTTAGTTTCATTCTCAGAAAGGGAATTTCATGAGTTATTTTAAAATGGTGAATAACCTCATTCGCTGTAGGGAATGATTAAATCAAAAAATTGCTACGATTTTTTTTTGAAATTGTCTCAAATCCCTTCCAACTCTATCTGTTTTTTTTTCAGCTTACAGAGCTGCTTCGATGCGTAGAATGTTCATCGCATTTTCATATGGAATGCTTGGCAAAAACTGTTTTGAAAAAAAATGGCGAATACAACAATTTCTTATTTCCTGTTGGTGGATCGTGTCCAGTTTGTTTTGCTAAATTTTTGTGGGGAAATATGATTCGCGATCAGCGAGCAGTCTTAGCACTTATTAATTCTTCAAGTGGAGATAAGTTGCTAACCGAAGTTCCTGTAGGAAAACTTGTCAGAACTTGAAAATTTTCATTCTGCACATTGTCAAAATATAAACAATGGCTTTCATTTGTTCTTTAGGTTTAATTAGATTTTGTTATAGACGTTCAAACGATAATTCTGTTGTTTTATCACATATAATTTCACTGAAAAAAAATCAGTGGTCCTAACCCAGTTTCACTGATTGTTTTCATCAATCTGCAGACCCCTGGGGTACATAATGGCTCAGTGGATTGTTGCTAAATCTGGAGCGCCGATGTTCAAATGTTCAAATGATAGAAGTTCAATTCCCTGCAGGAGTAAACCTGTCCGGGCGACTCATCTGCACTTCTATCGCCAAGGGACTCTCTGGCTTATTTGTCCAATGCGACAAGCCAGCGGAGTTTAACTAGTAATGGTGAGGACTCTTTAGAAAAAAATCTGCCGATCCCTAAGAAATACCATATTTTGATGTAATATTCCTTTAGACTTGTTCAGAAAATAAAAAATAATGAGCATTTTCCCAATTATTACTGAAAAATGATTAGAAAATATTGAATGGGTAATTTTCATTTATAGGCAACCCAAATAAAAAAAAGGTACCAAATCTCCGAAATTTCATTTTTTCTATAGTTCTTCTAGTCAGCATTTCGATACGATGCATCCACTATATTCGAATTTCTTCCAAGTTCAAGGAATTTTAAAAAATTCCTTTTGCAATATTTTATTATATAATAAATAATTTTAAGATAATTATGAAACAATCGATAAATATTTAATATATAATAAAATATTTTTTGATTAATTGTTTATACGTTTGAAAAACTGTAGGGGATTGGTATTATTTCAGAGATAGCAATAAAAAGTGGTTGTTATTTCTAAAAACGAAGTACTGAGCGCTGGAAATTGTCTGTCATCCTAATTGCTTTTTGAATTTTTTAGATGATTCTTGTTCACTTCCACTAAATAGATGTCCACTAAATCATGCTATCATGTTTAATTTTTGAGTGTTCTTCGAAAAAAAGGACTAAAAATAAAAAATTTATTAGTGGTGTGAATTTTTTAGCGCTCGCCAATTCCGGTTAAGTTTATTTTATTTTCGTTAGTATTATGAGAAATTTTCTCAGAGAATCATTTGGCGATGGCAATGTATAATTGGTCACAGCTGGGATTTCATAATGGCAGATTTACTCCTGTCGTAGAGTTGACGAGAATTGAATCATTGCTTCCCAATGCGATAAACTTAATCATTATCCACTCTTTAATTTGGTTTACCGGATCGTATAAAAATATTAAAAATATTTATAAAATAAAATTAAAATTAAGGTAAATTTATGCAAATTCGCCACGGGCTATTCCCATTTGTTGATATATTACATCGCATCACAAATCAAAAAAATGCTTAGAAAGAATTGAAAATGGTCAGTGTCATGCAATGTGTCGCCAGAATCGAAAATTTCGTTATAAATATATACTAAAAAAAATGTCAGTCAAATTTCTTGTAATTTTTTCGACGATTTCAAACTTTTATATATCAATTCAGATAGAATAAAATTGTATAAAATTATTATAGCAGTTCAATTTTATATAATTTAACCAATCTATGTTAAATGGTGGAATTTATATTTTCCAGAAATTTTGCTGAAAAAAAAGCTCTCAATTGGTGCCGAAAATTATCAACCACAATTTTTTTCTTTTTAAAAACCCTCACCATTATTGGTTAGACTCGCTCTGCTGGTTTGTCGCACTGGACAAATATGCCAGGGAGTGATAGAAATATAGATGAGTTGCCAATATCACCCGATTTTTGGACAGGTTTACTCCTGCTGAGAGTAGAATCTCTGTAGCAGCGCTCCGAATTAAACAATAATTCACTGAGCCATTCTATTTTTACAAGTAAATTTCTATGATTATTGAAGCGTCGGGAAATTTGTTAATAGGAAAGGGTAAAAATTTAATAAAAAGGTAAATCTTTAAAGATTTAGTATTTAAGATTCAATACAAAATGTCGTGTATCCGACTCATATTTCATTCCTTTCACGATGAATTCGATTTCTTTTGAAAAATTATTTATTCCCATTTTCTTAATTTCCGAAAAAAAGTGCAAAAATTGTTGGCTTTCAAAATGAAGAGAAACAGTTAAGGCCTTCAAAAGCATAAATATCCTCGCGATTTTTTTGGATTTTTGCTGAGGAAAAATGAATGGTGCAGTGTTGGACTAATACCATATTCATTCCTCATCAGTGGAACCAGCCAAACCAAAAATATTTGATGAAGAAGAAAATACTTTAGTAATAATAAATTATATACTAATTATAGAAACATTTTATTTTAGGAGAAACTCATTCTAATAATTTTTAAAAGGGTAAAATTAGTTAGTTTAAAATCAAACACAATTTTGGATAGAAATGAATATAGCCGCCGAAACGATAATACAAATCGTAAACTAACTATTAAATTAAATAAAGGAATAAAACCCGAACGGATAAATGTATGGATAAAACAAAATGAACCTCAAGGCACTTGAAAGCAAAGAAATTAAATATTTTTACAAAAATTAAATATTGTCTTACAAGTGCTAAATAAATCAGTTGTGATAAATGATAAATGATAATGATAATGATAACATTCTGATGGACTTTATTATTATTATCATTATAATCTTCTATAATTAATTGATTAAAAGATAATGAAAATGTGCAGAAATCAATGGAACGATAAGGATTTTTGTTGAGAAACTATAAACTATTCGGTATTGTCGTAGCATCGAGACGACTTTTGAATTTCCTAGCCTATTTCATAGTAATAAATAATATTAACAGTATTATTGCGGTGGGCACTCTTGTACATCAATCGTATGTGTTCCAACTATAAATTGCATTGGAAGAGTATCGTCAGAGTATTTGAAGCCAAAAAGGCCCGAAAATAGCGTTTTCTTATAGTAATAAAAGCATAAACGATCTGCTTCTTGCAACATATTTTCAACAGAATTAATTCCAAAAGTAGCAAAAATGGTGTTCAACCATCGGTCGATTATTTTTCTAGCCGTCCATTTTCCTTGAGCCTAAAAAAATCATTGAATTAAAAATATGATAAAAGCATGATAATTGATAATAAGTGTGATTAAAAAATATGAAGAATTAAAATGTTAAAAAATAATTTTTTTTATTTTTTTTATAGTTCCTTTTTCAATTTTATGAAAAAGTTCGAAAGAATTATTTGCCTACCATATAGCAATCATCATATGCCTCTTTAAAAGTTGCTCCAGAAGTAACGGCGCTCGCAATTGCTTTCGCTATTAATGCGCTGAAATTTTAATAAAATTATTTGAAATTAGTAGAATATTTGACCAAATTTTTGTGGCCAGTGGGCCCCGATTCTCGGACGTATCGGAATCTATATTAATATTTCGAAAATTTCCAACTATTTTAAAGAAACGGCTAAAGTTTGCAGAAATTCTCGTCAGGCTGGTTCCACTAATTATCATTAGAGTAAGATTGTTTTACTAGCGACACACATCATCACTACTTGTAGATTTCGTCGCAATTTGTTACTGTAGCATTTCTTTTTTTAGGTCAAATGGTCAAGATCCCACCTATATAGGCGAATTCCAGTGTTGTTAAATTCTTTTATTAAATTGAAATGGTTCTTTAGATTATTCACCCAATTAAACAGGTCGACTGTTTCAAATGCTGTATGAGTTAATTGTTCGACATTTTTGCTTCGATCAATTTTCGATAAGTAACAATGACCTTTGTTGAAAAATTACTCCAACATGAAGTAAGTTATTAAGTAAATAAGTAAGATTTTCTTTTGCATAGAAGTTTCCTTTTATAATTAAAATTGCAATTAAGAGAGAGGCGCCGTATAAAATAATTTTAGAAAATAAGTTTCTAATCGAAAAGATCAGTTTGAAGGTTTTAAAAAAAAACCTTCTCTGGATCGAGTAGTTTCTCCTTGATTACATGGCGTCCACTCGTTCCACTCTAATTGTATTTTTAAATTAACGAAACGTTCAGCAAGTTTTGCGTGTGGCGTTTGTCCATGTAAGTTCCACGCTTTTGAAACATTCACATATCGATCGCTTAAAGTCTATTAAAAAATTATGAATAAAAGTACTTTTTCGAACAAAAAGATATATAAAAGATTTTTTGCATCAATCTTTATAGCTAAAATTTGATTTATTTTATAAATTTTTTTCAAGAAAATAAATTATTTAAGAAATTTACCCAATCGATACAATCTGTCCAATTTTGCGAGCAAATATCAGTTAAATCACGCATTAGTGTTGGTGGAACATGCCGAAATTTCCAGTTAGCATCGGGGAAGCCGCTAGATTCAGGACATTCTTTCTCTTTAATGGTACTTAATGACGATATTTTCGTTAGAATTCCCTCAGTAAAAAGCCTAACTAGGAAGCAATTGCTAGGAAGTAAATAGGTAAGTGCCGTTTTTAAAAATGGCGTTTGCAATTTATGGTTGGACTTACTCTATAGCTGTTAGCACAATTAGCAATTAGTTATTTGGCTAGAAGTGCAAGTAATTCTCGATTTTTTATAATGATAAGTTGATTTTTGCCTTAGGTAGGATCCCTGTTCCTTGCTTCTCAATGCGATAATCTGCACCAATATTCACTGCACCATAGAATGAGTGAAAATGAATGAGCCTTAAGGGCATGGAATTACGCCTTAAACTGGATTTACGCAAAGAATAAGCACAATTACATAAGCCAAATAACTTACCCAATTGCTCATCCAACATTTCTTTGTCTTTTCTGTAATAAATTAAGCTAATAATTTTTATTGATATTCACCTCTGTTTTGATTTATCTCTTATATCAGATTACTTTAAAGATATCCTTGTCTTTATCAATTTCAATAATCTCGTTATCATTTTTTTTTGTAGGAATCCTCACCATTACTGGTTAAACTCGCTCCACTGGCCTGTCGCACTGGACAAATGTGCCAGAGAGTCCCTCAGCGATAGAAATAAGGTGAATCGCCAACATCGCCCAGATTTTTGTACAGATTTACTCCTGCGAGGAATCGAACCTCAGCATCGACGCTCCCAAGTAAGCAACAGCCCACTGAGCCATTCTATCCCTAACCTCGTTATTATTTCTAATTCTAAAAGTGATTAAAATTTAGCGACCAAAATATTTGTGCCAACCTGTACGAAAAGAATAACGGCTGCATTGCAATAAGATAGAAGACGAAATGAAGAATATTTCTTGAAGCTTTATCAAGGCAACGATACAATCCTTCATTCTCACTTGTTGGCTGCGAATTATTAAACACATTTATAACAGTTTTTTAATGATTATTATTATTTATATCATTATTTAATTATTTATATGATTATAATTTTAATTATAATCAGATAGCTAAAAATTTGCCTCAGGGGAAAATTCCAAAAAAAAATTCAAATAAATAGTTCAAATTGCAAAATGTTGAGAGGTTGATTGAATGCTTTTAAATTACAGAAGTTTATAAAATGCAAATTTATTCTCAAATAAACACCTGTAAGATTATAAGTCGGCCTTTGCGCTGTATAAATATTGTTGATGGCCTCGGATGAGCAGTTGCCCCATCTTCTGCTGGCATAAAGCCTGAACCTTTCTTTTCTTCATTTAATATCCGTAAATCTTGGATCCAATGTTTTGATGTTCCCAACATCTGCAATGGTTTTTCTATTTTTTTTTTAAGAATTTCCTTCTCACTATGCATCAATTTTAAAAAATTCATAAATTCATAATTTTTTCGAATGAATTATGTTATAAATGAAAAGAAATTTGACGGACTTGCTTCTGTGAGAGTTCTTTCTCAACGAATTCCACTGGCATGAACCACCAGTGCTTTACTAATCCATTATAGGTGAATGCCTTCCGGCACATTATGCATCGAAGATCGATTCGCTGACCCGGCCAAAAGTACATCGGTTGAATCTATTAAATCTTTATGCACATTTATTTCGAACAAATTCACTTATTAACATATATATATATATATAAAGGAAATAATATTAACGTGTTCAGTTAAGTTGTTCAACTTTAAAATTATTAGAAATTTCTTAATTTTATGGATGAGAAATTAGCAAAAAGAACTCGCTTGTTTATGCAATTAGCAAATTTCTTTAAAAATAATGAACACTTTTCTGGTCAAAAAATTTATTCTCGATATAGGTGAATGCAACAAGAGATACATAAATATGGCATTCTCCCAGTCGAGATATTTGTAACACTACAGACGTGAACAGACGTGAGTATAAATGGGTGCATGAATATGGCATTCTCCCAGTCGAGATATTTGTAATACTACAGACGTGAGTATAAATGGGTGCATGAATATGGCATTCTCCCAGTCGAGATATTTGTAATACTACAGACGTGAACAGACGTGAGTATAAATGGGTGCATGAATATGGCATTCTCCCAGTCGAGATATTTGTAATACTACAGACGTGAACAGACGTGAGTATAAATGGGTGCATGAATATGGCGTTACGAGGAAAAAAAACGTGAATAATCAAACTTTTCAATCCACTAAATTAATTTGCTAATCCTAAATTATTAAGAATTTCTGTAGGACAAAAATCGCTGAAATGTTTCACGTATTAATGGTAGCGATTTAAATAATTGATGATTAAAGGCAATAAAACTTACAACAACATCGGCCATTTTATCACATCCTGGCTCATAAAATGAATCCATGAACAATGATTTAATATAGTTCTTTTTATTAACGTCTTTGATAAAGTCGAATTCAATTTGTTTATCAATGGATGGTGGTAAGTAAGGAAGAAAATCTGTTTCATTTACCTTAAATTACAATCATCTTACGCCAAGTTCCATCATTCAACTGACCCTCCTAGAAAATATTGTAGGAAGACTCCAATATTTCTTTTACATTTTATTTATCTGCTTATTATAGATAAATTATTTGTTGCTATTGTAATTGTAATTAAACAATCCACAAATATCGACTATAGTAGAATAGGTGAAAGAAGGACGAAGAATACTTAGAAGACTCATGAAAAGGATTTAAATTTCATAAAAATTCTATTTGCAGATTTATTGAGATAATGTCATGATGAATCTAAAAAAAAATATTGGAGAGAGGGCAAGACTGGGGAGGGTTCCACTCTCGATGTGAGTAAATTATTCATACGAGTGGGTCTTTCAAAAATCCGAATGATACTGGTGGCTCACGTTTTCTTTTATCACCCACTGGCGAAAAAATTGTCCGGTACGACAAATCCACCGAGCGACCAGAAAAGGTAAACGCTCTCAGAAAAAAATATTATATTATTATCATCACTATTATCATTATTATAATTAATTATTATTATTTTTAATGTTGTAAAACAATAATAAATAATAATAAGAAAATGATAATATTATTACAAAAGGTGATTTAAAAATTAAAAAGTGCTAACAAGACCATAGCAGTTTCCCAGGAGAAAACAAACTAAACAACTGTTTCGCAAAAATATCATATAAGAAGACCGTTTCATTTTGTTGATGAAATTTATATAATATTGTTCTTATGAAAAAATTTCCTACTTAGTAAAATAATTTGAATATTCTATTAAGGACGTTGCAAAAAAAAGAAATAATAAAAAAACAATAGAAAATAAAAATCGGTTCATAAGAAGAAGCAATTTTAATATTTTATTAGATAACAATGGCGGCTAAGTAAGCGTACTAACATTTCAACTGCACTTCTATCGCTAAATGGCTCCATGGCAAAATTTATCTGATCCGACAGGATAAGGAAATGAGTCTTATCAGAAATGATAAGCGATTATAGACAGAAGAAAAAAAATACAATGAAAATTTCAAATATTATAAACCTAAAGTTTTACAAAAATTTTGCTTGCGATATAAATTAAATATGCTTTTGTTCATAGATTTTATGATATTCTCATATTTTTGCAGATTAAAATAAGTTTCATAAATTCAAATGATTAAAAATTAAAAATATTTTAGTTGAATATACTATAACGAAGTTGGGTAGAATAGCTCAATGAATCGTTCCTCTCGTCTCAAAGCACCGATATCGATGATCAACTCCCAGTAGGAGTAAACTTGTCCTTCAAAAATCCGCTTTGCCATGGTGTATTATCTTAACGATTCGCTAATAGAATTTATATGATCCGACAAGTCAGTGGAGCGAGCCTGGCCACAGATATTGAGGGTTGAGGGTTGAATGTTCTTAGAAAAAAAAAGAAAGTGCAGCAATCAGATAAATATGCAAATCATAAAAAAAGAGAACATTAGCAATGGAAAAGATTGAAGATAAAAGCATCGATTTGTCTCAGCAAAGAATTATTTTCCTCTTTAAACTCTTAAAAATTAGAACATCACATTATATATTATTGTTATCACTACTTATATTATCAGTCAATATCAGCGCGACGATGTTAACCACGAATTTATTGCATCCAAAAGCTGTAAGTGGCATTAATTAATCATTTCATTCTTTCATTAAAATTTCATTAAAATTTTTCATTAATAATTTATAAGCCATAAATTTTTATATGTTTAATTAGAAATTTTGCATCCAGAAAAATTAGATTTATAATGAAAGATAATCAATTTTAGATATTTAAGCCTAAAAATTTTTATAAAAAACAATAAAATTTTTTGAATTATCGTCTATTTCTAGCAAAGTGAATTAAAATTATATGCCTGTATAGATTCATTTATTAATTTATTTTTTAATATTCAATTAAAAATCACTAATTTCCGATGAATGTCATTCAAAAATTTATGAAAACTTATAAACAACTAACGAATGATATGATAATGATATGGTAATGCAAAAACAGATAGAAAAATGCAAAAAAAAGGAAAAATCTAATTTATATCGATATTTCGATTATATCAATTTTCATAAATTTATATTTTCATTCCATTTTTCATTCTATTTTTCTTCCTTTTTTATAAATTAATTTTCTATTGAATTTTCATGTATTTTTTCCAATACGAACTTAACATTTCGTCTATTTTCCTTCTTTGATTTTTATCTTTGAAAAAATAATTTCGCAAAAAAAAAAAATTTATTATTCTATTATTATTATTCGATTTTTTGTTCTTTTCTTTTCTTTTCCTTCTCAATTTCGTTAAATTAACTATTTCTTTCCGCTAAAAAATCATTTGTGGATGGTTATTAATTTAGGTAATTCACAAATTTCAATGCTTCGTTAGTAATTCGGGATTTTGGATTTTGGGTTAGTGGATTTTCTCTTGCTAACGAAAAGAAAGGGCCTTTATTGCCATAGCCTCAGCCTTAAATGTGCTACCTCAAACTTTAGAGTTCGAATGGTGCTGGCGACTCACCTGTACTATAGCCTACTTCTTGGCATATTTGTCTAGTCCGGCAAGCCAGCGAGGTGTGTCTAACCGGTTATAATAAATATTCTTAAAAAAATCCTTTAGGTAAATTTCATAACTGTAAGTCGGATTCCCATTAGTGATTATTATTTTAATTGCAGATAGACTTATAACTGATAATTCTTATCTCGAAGTAAGTAAATAGTGATTATAAAATAAAAAAACCAATGAAAATAATCGGATTATGGCGATTCTTATTTTTTATTTTATTCGAATATCCGGATAAATCCGAATAAGGCAAATATGCATTTTTCGCTTAGCCACAAAATTAAACTAATCCAGTCGTAAAGCTTTGCCTGAAGGGAAGTCTAAAATTATTTGAGATATGAAATATTTTTTAATATATACATAAATTTTTTAAAATCATTTTAATATTTAAAATTTATCGGCCTCATTAAAGCCAATATTAAACGATAACCCCTTAGACTATTTACTTTACTTTTATTTATTTGTTTGTGGGTTTATTATTGATTTGTGGGTTTGTCAAAGTTATTATTAAAATTGCTAATAATATTTGAAGTGTTCTTAACCTTGATATTTTTATAGAATATTTCCATTTCTTTTCGTATCTTTTGGCTTTCGGCTAAATTTTCAATTTTCTTCAACAGAAAATTTCCTTTTTTTTAAGTTTTGAATGTAAAATGCAAAAATAATTTTTAAACTATCATTTTTCTTTCTTCTAACAGTACGCATTATTGCGGGTCAGGCTTATTCCTCCAGCTATAAGGGTAAGACGTTTCTAAGTCTTTCGATTTGTTTCTATATCTCAGATTAATAGAGTAGAGGCCACTCTTTTTTCCATCGTTTAAGCCCATATGTTACTAGGCTAACATATTACTTCAGTGATTAGTGATTAGTCCTCTACACATCCAAAATCTCATCTAACTTTATCAGTATCAGTGTAGATCTTGATCGGTCTTCCTCGCTTCTGGTATCATTTAAAAAACTAAAATTGACAAGAATCACAAAAAATAATGAAAAATTTTATGTAAATAAATTATCTCTCCACTGCAGATGCATTTAAAAAATTTAAGATGCCAACGGTGACACTAAATGTGATTTTGAAAGAAGTAAGAGTATTTGCTGGTGATGAGCTTTTCGTAAAAATTCTTCTCGATTCAGTCGATTCTGGCGCAATCGTCAATGAATTCTTTGTTGAAATCCTAGGAATTGGACGAACAGGCTGGATTAATATTCATACGGATAAGATCTATGAAAGTGAAAAAGTAAATCACTATTCGTTTTAATTCTACTAATAGTCTAGAATGAGCGAATTTCATTGCTGGTAAATAGCTTAAAATTGCAATCCCTGGGATGATCATAAAAAGCTAAAAAAGAACTAAAATGGAATTAGCGAATATCTTGCTTAGTTTCGAGGAAGGAAATTACCAAATAGGCGACTGTGGTACTACTTTTTGAGGTACCTGGTTATTTGCTGCAAAAATTAATATGGAATATTGTTTATAATAATCAAAATTTCGACTGATAAAATCACAGGAATATTTGAAAATATGTATTCCTCTAATGACGAGTGGTCAACGATTACCTATGGGAAGGCATTTATTTCCTTTACATCTAATGATTCCCGAAGATTTACCGAGTAGCTATGAAAGTGAGTATGGTAATATTCGCTACGCAATTAAAGTTTCTCTTCGTTCGAATTCGGAAAATGTAAGTATTTTTGCTTTTTATTAGGCTTGAAAATTTTCTAAAGGTTTGGCTCTTTCAAAGCAAAATATGAAAATTAGACAAATTAAAATAAAAAAAATAATAGAATATTATAAATAAATTTTAACGAATATCATATTAAGCCTTGGATTAGCTTTAATTTTTAGTTACTTATTTGTATTTAATGCACCTCGTACATTTATACTCATAATACGCATATTTCGTTAGTTGCTAAACCATGTGATGGTTGCCGTCAAAAGCGAGGTGGGCCAGTCAAGACCTGGACTGATACGGTGGGAAAAGATTTTGAACGTATAGGTGGACCAGCAATATATGGACTTAGACGATGAAAAAGGAATGGCTTGTATTACTGTCGACGATGGCATCAGACTGCAGTGCTTGGAAGCGTCGTATTCTTGTAATCGTTGGAGCCAACCTAAATAGTAATGGTGAGAGCTGTTAGAAGATGAAGAAACACCCCGTACAATGCACTAGGGAATCTTCAATTGAACTACTCCGATTTCAAAAATCGAAGGGTTTTATAACAGAATAAATAAAATAAAGTCTGAAAATTAGAAAAACAACTGGATAGTATCAGTTCGAAATGCTGAGTAGTGGAACAATATTTGACTTAAGGAAAATCGGCCCTTTTGGACGTTAAATGTGCCCTATGATGTGAATAAATATGCTCTACTTTGCTGACTTCAAACGGTTGTATAAGTGTTGCTAAGTACTCTTCTGGTGTTTTGATTTGATTCCAGCAATGAATTAACTTCTCCTTTAATGATTGGCTCATTAGCGATAATATGGCCAATAATGATATGGCCAATTCATCATGAAGTCCAAGTTTTTGCTGCACACTTCAACAAAGATTGAATCAATAAAATCGCATATTGTTCTTGCTTTTCATTTTTTTATAGCCTAAGAACTATTTTCAATATTCAAATGGATCTCCAATTGATAAATAGATATGGCGGAAAGCTTAGCGAATTTTGGAATTGTCGGAGCAGTCGTGGATCCGATCGTATAACTCTGTGAAATTTCACGATGATCAACCCATTTAAATTTTCCACATTTCTGCATATTAATTTTGATAGATAGTTGCACTAAAACTTTGGTATTTCAGTTAGATTCTATTAAATGAGGAAAGTCAATTATAAGGTAACAGTTGTTTTGCATTTTGCGACACCTCTAGCTTTGGTAGCAGCTTCGATTGAAGCTGAAGCAATTCTATCAGTGGCAAATAATTTGAACTGAAAGGCTTATGGCGGTCGATGCCATATCTTTCGATCCCTAAACTTCTATATAACTAGTTACTTTTTATAGGAGAACTGTGAGAATTATGCCTCTTATAAGGGTTTAGAAATTTCGTCCTTTATTCTTTTAGGAAAACGAGGATTTTCACTGAAATGGACCACCAAAAGAGATTTGAGTAGATTTGAGATTTTTTATAATTTTATTTTTATGCAAATATCGCTTAATTTCTTTGATCAATTTAGTCAACATGTACGGAGACATTTCCATTCATTGTCGTAGCTCGGTCATTCTTCGACGAAGTTCCAGAAACTATTATGAAAACAATCGAATTCAAGGATGAAGTCGATTTCACTTGCTGTTCATTTCCGTTCGGAACAGTGTTTTTGAAAATTGTACTATCACGTCGAGTATTTTGTATAGGCGAGGTATCTTTTGTTGATTTCATGAATAACGTATTTTTCATAATATTTCAAAAGTATCGATGATCAAATGTCATGGAACTAAAAAAAATGATCCTCCCTGAGAAAATTCTTTGCATGAATAAAGCTTATTTTCAGCTGATGCCATACAAATTCTGAGTTCACTAGTAGATTGATAGTCTTCAATCTATTAACCATAGGTCAAATGTTAGGGCTCGAGTTATGTTCACTTATATATTCAAGGCCAGGTGGTCGATTTAAATGGAATATAAATTCTTTGCGCCATTATCACCATCCACGCTATCATTCATGTTTAGAAAAATTTTAGCAATTTGTCCAGTTTTGGAAAATTTCTTAAGATTTCAATCATTTTTCTTTAAATATATTATAACATTTGATTATTATAGAATGTGAATTGCTTATTAATCGTTCGTAATCGAACAAGAAAAATTTTAAAAAATTGCTGTTTATTGGTTATGCTGAAAATACAGTGCGAAGCGTTAAGTCGTTATGAAAAAATTAACGAAAAAAAATTATCCGAAGAGATTATAGATAGTATATCTTATGATAATATCAAATCGCATAGTGAATTGGTTAGTATTCATATCAGAATTTCTGGTTAGTCACCTTCTCCCTTTTTTGTCAAACCAGATAAATTTATCGAAAAGTCAGTTGGCGATGGAAGTATAAGTGAATCACCTCGATCTTTAAAGGTTAAGTTTACTTCTAGCAGAGATTCCGCTAGCAGAATCTCAAAATTAGCACTCCGAAATCTAATTGATAATATTGATTAATAATATTGATTGACTAATAGTACATTGATAATCTTCGAATTTTGATTTGAAGTTCCAATTTTTGCTGATTTTTAGAAATTCTATGTGAAGCTATGAATAAATAAGATAATTAAAGAGAAGTTCAGATGAAATTTGAACTTAAATCTTTGAAGAGTTACTTTTATTGTGAAAATTGCTTCATTTTAATAGTAGTACGATAGAATTTTGCAGCAATTAAATAACATGCTGAAAATTCCCGAAACGTCTCCTCCATCATGGCCTTTTTATAGAAAAGCTTATGAAGCGAGCCTTATTTCCCTAAACTATGTCATTAAATTTGTTGCTGCGCCAGGTATTTATTCATTATTAAAATTATTATTAATATATTGTCTTTTGTTTGGAATTCTTAAATGAAATCCTTTTTTTTCTAATAAATTTCTTTTAAGCTAAAATAAAAAATTAGCGGCACAACTGGTAAAATTATCCTTTTCAATTAGAGTTTGGCTTTGCTCCTTTGATTTTTATGCTTAAGTTCGGTCTTATAGAAATAATTAGATATAAAGAAAAGTAAAATGAACTGAAATGAAAAGGAACTGATCAAAATTTGCCCTAAAATGGACCTTTTTCAAGCGAAAGCCATTATTTGTATTCTTCATTTCGTGTAATATTTTTGTATTTTTTTATTCCTTCTTGCTAGAAATAATTCAATTCTATAGCATCATCCACGGCTTACTCCACTGGCTTTCTGGACTACGCAAATTTTACTAGGAATGCCAGAAGAACACTCAGTGATAGAAGTAAGCCGCCAGTATCATCTGAATGTTTGACGTCGACATCTACCATGAATAAAATTCCAACATTGGCGTTTCGAAATGAGAGCAAACCAAGCCACTAAGCTCTTCTACCTTACTTAAGTACCAAATAGAACTTTTCGATCGATATTTAATGAAACATTAAACTGTTTGAAATATTTACTGATGAAATTAATGTTGAAAATTGCAGGAATCGATCTAGAAGCACCGTTAATCATTACTGCTCGTGGCTTCAGAAATCAAACTGTTCCATCTGAGTGAAAAAAAAAAATTTATCGAAATAAGAACCGAAATTTCTTTTTAAAAAAAATTTTTTTTTTGCATAATAAGATCTATTAATTTTGTTGTTTTGAAAAAAACTAAAATATTTATCCTTAAAACTTTTTCTTTTTAAAACGTTACTGCCTGAGGCGATATTTGCTTTTCACAAAAATTTGAAAAATTATAAAATTAAAATAAATTCATTCTTTTGAAAATTTAATACATTAATTAAAAATGATTATTATTACGTTTAATCGATACGATTATTTAAGAAATAAAATTATTGTTTTACTAAGTTAAAAATTTGTTGACAAATGAAATGTAACCAATCCGGTTGTTATTGTTTATGTTGCAAATTCTGAGAATCTCAATTAAATCTGTATAAAAACAAATGAAAATCTAAAAATTCATTTAAGCCTCAATTCTCTTCGAAACGATGATACTTTCGCATTTAATGTTAGTCAATTTTTTTATTTTACAAATTTAAATTTATTAGAAAAATATTAAAATTGAAATTTTTATAATAAACTATATTAATATGTATTTTTTAATTAAAAAAAGCGATTGATTAATTTTAAGATAATTGATTAATTTTTTAAGATAATTTCTTTAAAAATTTTCAATATTTCTCAAAATTTGCCTCAGTTTTTAAGAAAATTTAATATTTAAAGCAGTTTTAGTTCAACATTAGTCAGTTGACTATAGGATGCTTATATTCCTCCCTTATCATAAATAAACTATTGAAAAATTAATCACTTGCAGTTTCCTCACTGCGATACTGATTGCATTCTGCAATGCGCAAAATATGCCATTCAGTCTTGGAATGCCATTTCTAGGAGGAATGGGCAGTTTTCCTGGAAGTTTTGGCTTTGGTGGAAGTGGCTATAGTGGCGCTGGTTATGGCGCAGGCGGCTTTGGAAGTGCAATGGGCCCAGTTGGTATGCCTGGGCAAGGCTTTGGGCAAGGCTTTGGACAAGGCTATGGATCTTCGTTCTCGGGTTATCCAGGTTATCCGGGATACCCATACAATACTCGCTGCTGTAATAATCAAGGTTACATAGGGAATTGTTGCTCGCAATTCGGTTCGTGCTGCTATGGCTATGGAGGCGGTGGTTATGGCAGCTCAGCGAGTGGTGCATCACCAATGTTTACTGGCAGTGCTCCAGGTTTGTCATCTATGCCACAAAGCGTTCCTGGAACATCGAATTTGAACACATCGCAGAAAAAATAAAATAATCTATGTAATAATATGTTTTTTTAATTTTTATTTCCAATATGATAAAGATTTTCTGATCGAAATTAAGTGATGATAATAAATAATAATGTGAACTTTATTAGATTAGAATGTGAAGTTAATGAGGCCTAAAAACGAGTAATTTTCTGGTAATTTTCTTCGATATTCCATAAAATGAGATCTATTTTCATAAAATTGTAAATCTTTGGTACCGCATACGTTTTTTATCGAGTTAATTTTGATTTTAAGTAATATGTTCAGACGAATTTCAAATTAATTTTTTATGACTTTTATTGGATATATTATTTTATCTTATAAATCTTACCATTCGTGATAAATCTGATAAATCGTTATGATTATGATTATTAACTAACTAATTATGCAAGAAAATTAAAATAAAATAAAAACTCTAAAAAATCATAAAAACTCTAATGCACGAAAAATAGTCCATAAATGTTTAGAAATTGCTTTTATAATAAGCTGATAAATTCAAATAATTATCTCTTTATCAGTTAAGAATGAGCAATTAAAAATTTTAAAAATATCTATCATCAAATATAGTTAAAAATAAGGATTGGAATGTAACATTCAATAAGTTTTTACCATAATATATAGTAGTAAGCAATTTCAATTTGCACCAACTTCGACTTTAATAAAATAATGAACCAAATTATGAAATTATGTTCTAATTCTAATTTATTCCGGTAATGTAACGCACTTAAAGATAAAGCCACTGATAATATCTTTTAGCATCCTTAAGGATGAAGCTAATGATAAGACCTTTCAGCTCAATATGTCTGAAATCTCTGAACGTTTAGTTTGAAAAAACTTTTTTCAACTAAAATTGATAAAAATTCGAAGAGTTTTAAAGAAATATAAAAATAAAAATAAAATCATATAGGCAAAAAATAAATTTCTGAACATAGCAAATATTTCCTTTCTCATATAAAAATCAAATTATAGTACATTATATTGTTTGCTATTGAACAGTTGCATTTGCAACCTAACTGTTTGCACTAAACGTTTACTTTACTGGTTTATGCGTAGATAAGTATTTACTTTTCGAAGCCTTAAATCTTACGCGATAGCATTAAAAACAAAAATATCGTTACAAATAAATTATAATCTGCGAATTGAACACATTTACATAACCATGTCGATTAAATTTAAAATTCATAAAATTCTTAAAGCATATGTAAGGTAAAATATTTTTATTAAATTCTTTAAATGCAATACACAAGTAAGTAAGTAGTTAGCACTAAATTATTTGGTTATTCTACTTGAAATTCAGTAATTTTTTAGAAATTTTATGAGATCATTCGGTGGCCGAAAATACGAATCTGGTCGCTGAGTACCACTCGGACTTCTTTAACGATAGGTTTTTTTTTCGATTATCTACCACAGCTACCAAATTCTTACCGTTCAATCTGATAATCTGAGACATTAATCATGATGAAGTTATTATATTACGAAGAAAATTTTATGAAGAAATTAATTTTGACCATAAGAAAATATTAATTAGATTTTTTGGGTAAATTTTAAATTCGAATTGAATTATTTACATATTATTATCAAATATCAATTATTAATTAACAATTATCTCTCTTCAATCGTCTATTTATAATGATTTTAATTATATTTTTTTTTCTAAGAATCTTCACCATTACTGATTAAACTCGCTTCTCTGGCTTGTCGCACTGGACAAATATACCAGAGAGTCGTTTGACGATAGAAATATAGTTGAATTCCCAGCATCATTCGGATTTTTGTACAGGCTTACTCCTGCGAGGAATCAAACCTCAGCATCGGCATTCCCAATTGAGCAACAACCCATTGAGCCATACTAACGCCAATTTTAATTATATATATATATATATTTATATATTTATTTATTTATTTGTTTATTTAGTCAAGCAAGCCAAATGTGCTTATTTAAAAAAATAAGAAACGAACAAAATCTATCTAAAATCTATATCTAAATCTAAATCTAAAATAAAAAATGACGAAAATGAAGGAAAACTTCTCATTGCTAAGAGAGAAGAATTAAAGTTGTTTCTACCTTTTTTTCATTTATTTATTATTATTCTGTCCACTTTTTTCCAAGATTCAGATGAGCTTTATTCTGAATTTCTTCATGGAATAATTTTTTGTAGAATTTAAATTTTTGCAAGAATTATCTCTCTGAAAAGTAATGTGAATTGAAAAAAAATACATAATTCCCTTTTATTTTGGCCTTCGCCAAAAATTCAAAATTTCCAACTTGGCTGGCTTCATTAAATATTGAAGTGAATCCTTCTTTGTCACGAATAGAAATGAATATATACAAATATGCAGCATCGCTCTCGATGGCTGAAAGCCTATCGTTAAAAGTGAAATTCCGGATACACTTTGCGGAATCTATTTCCGTCTATTTCCGCCACATCTATTTCCGTTTCGGAATGTTTTCTCTGGTAAATCGTTCCATTCATCAATCAAAATAAACTAGAAATTATGCACGTTTTCAGGAAAAATGTTCGGCAGCATACCGCTTATAATAAAATTACTATTTAGCACTTTGACGTGTGAAATATAATGTATTTACATTAAAAAAATTAGCTACTTCACCAACTGCTTTCCACTTTTAACCCAAACATATAATAGGATTTTAAAATATAATAGGCAAATTCCTAAGCCAATTTTAAAGAATCCCATACTTACTTGCGTAATTTTTGAATTTTTACAATGGTCTTACAGGTGTTTCTTACGATTAATGCATTAAATTTAATTAAATTTATTATACGAAATCGATTGGTACCACTGATCATTTATCATATCTCCATTCTCTCATAGATGCTGCTTTATATTTTTATTGTAATTTTGATATTTTGACGCTATTACGCATCATGTGGTGCTTTAATATATTTTATAGTTTTGTGAGGATAGTCGGATTTTTCCCTTATGACGAATTTTCTAATGGATTAGTGGATTTGATTTCCTATCCCTAAGAGGATATTTTTCCATTGTCTTTATCCTTTATCGTTATCTTTTTCCTTTATCTGTATGGTAGAAAGAATATATCTCATATAAGAAGTGAAGTTATGATCATTTATATAACTTCGTTTTTTATGGCATGGCACTCAATATTTCTGGTTAGGTTACACCGCTGGCTTTAAAACCTAGGGAAATTTCCCCAAGGAATCAGCGCTGGAAGTATATATTGGTTACCAACACAGTCCGGTTTTTCAAAGGACGAGAAAATTTTTTTTGCAAATCCTTGCATAATAATTCAATAAATATGTCTCAGTACCACAATTTTAATTGTTTATCCTATTCAAAAAAGGAAACGATAATTTTTGCCAACGATTTAAATAATCGAAAAGAAAAATAATTTCTTTTTATATCTTTATTTTATAAAATAATTTTCTATTTTTTAATTTCTTTAAAATAATGTTCCATTTTCCATTTTAATAATTTTTAATTTTTAATAATTTAATAATTTTCCATTTTTTAATTTTTCTATGAAAAAGAAGAAAATCGGTTGGAATAAAAATGAGGGACACTTGTGCTTTATGAATATATAAATTTTTCTATGCAAATTTTTAAATGCAAAACTTAAATAATTGATTATCAATAAAGCAAAATAATAAAATGACAAAGTTAGTAGACTTAGGTCGCAAATAGTGTTATTATTTGGCACAAGATAATTCTCTAAATTTAGCAGCGCATAAATGCATGAATGCAAAATGGACCAAATTCTTATAAATATCTATATAGGTCCATTCAAATGCACACCATTTCCATATATTTTCGTTTATCTTATATTAGTACCAATTTTTTGCCACCTCATAGATATATTTCTGTCCGACTAACCATTGATTAATATAATATAATCTATATAATTATCACAGAAAACGAGTGAAGCTGAAGATAAATTATAAAAATAAAATATATATAAAAAAAATAAAATAAATATAAAAATTTATGTGGCGTCTATGTGAAGCATTTTACCATAATACCAAAATACCAAAAGTGTTACCATATTGCCTAATGGCGTTACCACGACATCAAAAGCTATTATAATATTAAAAGGTTAAATCAATGGATTAATCAATGGACGAATTCCATCCATAATCGAAATAATCGTTTCGTTTTTATAACACAAAAAAGAAGAACGTTGTTTCTATTGTTTCTATTAATAAATTACGCATTAATTAATTTTAATGTTGATTTGTTAGTAATAAAACAAATTAACACAACGATGGCAATCTATGGCAAATATGTGCATCCAAAAAATTATAATAATTATTTCTCTTCTTTTAATAGAGCTTAGTTTAGCGCAAAACAGTGCAATGCAATTGGCTGAGAAAGATGAACTCAGCGTTGAAAATATATCTTAAAAGTGATAAAATGATTGATTATTTCTGTAAATAAAAATATAAAAGATAAACGAAACAAAAAAGATATCAGATAAAACAGATAAAAAGTAATGAATATTGATAAAATCTTTCAATTTCATTTTTTTTGCTCCATTACCATCCAACAAATAATAAATAATATATGGTTAATAAGTATATTCAAAGCCTTCAAATCTTCAACAATAATTATAATAAAAATGAGATAGCTTATCGAGTATAGAAGACAATAATTAATCTAAATAAAGTGGCCAAGTGGTTAGCTTAAAGTGATAAGTCGTGGAATACTCGATGGTGAACGCCGTCCTTCGATTTTCGCTCGAACTATTAGCCAATATTGAGTATTTGGGATAAAATTTTTCGACGCGATTTTTAATGCAATCATTGCATTCATCTGAAGAATTTATTTCGATCAAATTATATATATTTTTTTTTCCAAAAAATGGTTTATCAGAATTTTGGAGAATTTTGAGGAATCGGTATGTTTCAGAATTTTGGTAAGATGAAAAGGCTTTTACTAATAACGAAATGGATTCCAATGGACCCAAATTGGGTCATTTAAGGCCCAATTCGATCACATAAATTCGAGATTAAAAATCTCAATTATGAATGCATATAAGGGTCGTAAAATTAAGAACAAACTAAAATAAGGTACACATACGTTAAGTTATGTAGGCATCCACTAATTTGAAGTAGAAAAAAAACGAATCCAATAGAGGATAAATGACCGAAGGATTTGGTGGATTTGTAAAAATTTGAATAAAATGGATTGAAGCAAATAACCAACATTATTGAAAAATTTGTCAGTAACTGGAACTGATAAGAATTGAGCAGCAAATGCGTCAGTAGAAGGTGATATAGAAACTTCATAATCCTAAATTTTAAAGTATGAGCAAAAAAAATCTCTATCTTCTATCACTTTTATCACTCTTATCTCTTTATCACACATCTGTTAGTATTAAAATTGGTAATATTAAAATCTGTTCTATTCAAATGAAGCAAAAACTCATTAATACAAATAAATGAAGGATTATGAAGGTTATAGAATCCATTCTAAAAAATCTAAAATCTAAAATCCATTGGCAGTATGGTTGATTGTTCAATGTGGAAACTCACCTCGACATAAAGTGAGCGATTAATTGAATTTCTTACAGCGGTGAAAAAAATAGTAACCGAACTGTCGTTATTAACATGCACTTGAACATCAGTCGGAACTGGTAATTCTAGAACAAACAATTTTTTTTGATTTTTAACAACTATAATAAATAATCGCCAAATTAAGAACCATTGCAGCGAAAAGTAGAAATCCCACTTTTTGCCAAACGAATAATCAAAATTTCTATATTCATTTGGGCTCTACAATTTGTTATTACTTGCAAAATAATAAAAATAACCATGTGAAGCCGTCTCGAATTCGAAAACTTCACTGGGTAAACTTTCTCCAATATTATTTGAGGCTGTTATACGCATTCGATATAAAGTTTTAGGTCGAAACAAAACATGATCGCTCATTCGATAGTTCGTCTGATTTGAGCTTACGTTAACGGATATCCATTCTTTGTAATTTTCATCAGTTAATCCTGGATCTCTCGTAAAATATATTGTATATCGCTAAAGAATTTAATGTTAAATCAAAAAAAGCGAAGTATTTAATAGAAAATGCTTTTCTTTATCGTTGAAAAGTGATCGGTCATAAAACATAGATCAGTGGTACTTTTTAATATTAAGGATACAGTAGGTTAAAACTAAAATATGTATTGAGATTTCGACTTCTTCATTTTAAAATTTTTTAATTAAGGATATTAAACAATTCTCCAAGGCCAGAGATCCTTCAAATGGTTCATCATAGGTGATACCACGGGTGTTATAGGGTGCAAAAAATCAGATTTCTTGTAAAATGCTACAAAAAATATTAGAAAATATAAAATATTATAAAGCTAATAAGGCTACCATGCATATATTCTCTATTGATTCTCTACTGATTTCGAAGATTCCATTCATAAAAAATATGCAGAATCGTAGATTACTTACTAAAACTGAATAATTGCTGGCCCATTCTGGTTCCTTCCAGTTACATACAATAACATTTGCTTCATTGATCTTAATTTCGATATCTTGCGGTGGTCCTAATTTACCTACAAAATTATTTATATTTATTGGTTATGAATAGATTATCAGTCCATTTGCTGTAATTCTGCTAAAATATTGAAATATTAAAGAATATAAAAAACTATTCAAAATTTCTTTCAATTTCGAAATCGTTATCATTCTTTTTTTGGATTTTCGACACAAACGAAAAATTTAATCGCTTTTTTTATTAAAAATACCTGAATTGGCACTTTGCTAAATCTTGAGGAAACTGAAAACTGTCAACTGAAAACTTTTGATAAACCAATTTAAGAATTTGCAAAAACATTTTTTATTTTATTTCATCAAAACATAAAATTTATTTGTAAATTAACATTACATTATTTTATATAATTAAATTAACATACAATTACAATTAATTATCGTAAATATTTGTCATATAAACAGGAAAGAATTTCCTATAATAATAACAATAATAATCATAATCGTAATGATAATAGAATCCATAATAATAATATTAATAAATAATAATGGCAATAAAATAACAAGTTTGTTATTTATAATAACATACTATTATAATATTATTATTAACAATAATAATGGTAATAATAATTATAATTATTGTAATTATAAATATAAGTAGCAGTAATGAAGTTAGGCAACACAGGAATTATCAGGAATTTCAACGAAATCTATTAAATTTCAGTGCATACTCTGAAAGCTATAGGAATTTGGTTTCCGTTTATAAATATATGTAATTTTATTTCATATGTGTTTATATATCGTGCAATAATAGTAATTCTAAAAATAATTTTAAAATAAAAAATAGATAAAATTAAAATCATAAAAATCATGGTAATACGATTAAAAAAAAAAATCATACATATTCCTTATTATTTATTAATATTTATTAATAAAAAATACACTTATAGAAAAGATAGATTTAATATTTTTCTAGTACGATCTAAATAATTTAATTCCTAATAAAAAAATTAATAAATAATATTTAATTAATTAATTGATAATATTGAGAATAAGAAGGTAAAAGTAATTCAGAGTAATTTTGTTGCAAAATTACAATATTATAATAATGTAAATAATTTTCGAATCCAAATTTTTTACGAGAAAAAAACTATTAATTTTTAATTTCTTTTAACTTACTTTCATCTTTCGTCATTGTAAATGATGGAAAAGCATTGCAAATGAATTCATAGCTCAGCAAGAGAAGCAATAATATAAATAACATTTTTTTTTTATTGCCAATATTTATTAGAAAAATTACTGTAAAATTATTTTTCAGAATTTTTATAATAGTTTTTTATTAATAATATTCAGTAGTTTTCAGAGGTCTTTAAGAATTAATTAGTCGCATTTTAAAGAATATTTCATTTTAGCAGAACGCAATAGTTCTTCTAAATCATCCCCTTAGATGATTGTTTAGTCAGCAATGAAGCAAACCTCTATCTTACTCGAAAGTGGTTTTCTAACAAAAGTCCTCAAGTGTTAATTACCAGTGAAGCGAGCTTAACCCAAAAATATTGAATCCAAAAATTTGACAAAAAAAGAAGAATCTATAGCGATGAAAATTTATAACTATAAACTGAGAGTTGTATAAAATAAAGAATGAATAGATTTCCAATTAAAATTAAACAAATTTTTGATTTTGAAGCAATGAAGCTTCTTTTTTTTTCTTTTCGTCATCCATTAATTATCATCATTGTCAGTGATTATTTATTATCAGTGATTATCAGTGATAAAACATTTGGATTATGAAATAAAAAATTCCCAATCTAAGTTTTTTTTTTTTTATATAATAAACATTAAGAAAGAAATTATTTTAGAAGGTTGCTCGTCACTTAGACAAAAGCGATTAATAGTAGCGAATTCGAAATATATTATACGAAAACTGAACATATGATACTAAGCGCTGAACATAAATTAACTCCTGAACTTTCATAAATCAGTTGTAAATTCATAAAACATTTGTCTTATAAATGATCCAACTTGCATCGGCCAAATTATTCAACTGATTTTGCGAGAGTCGATCATTCGAAAAATTTAAAATATTTAATATTTTTTGATTTGAATTAGCGTAGATTAGAAGTATTTTTTAAATTATTTATCTTTATTTATATTTTATTTTTGAAATTTTGTATTTTTTTCTTATTTTTTTTTTAAAATTATTTTTGTGAAGAAAAAATCATTTAAATTTTTAAAAGTATAAAATTACTCAAAAATTAATTCAACTATTCAAAAATTTTTCGATGATTTCTTTCCGCCTTTTTTCAATATTCAAAATAAATTTAAAATTTTGCTTAATTTTGCCTTAATTTAATTTCTATTCGTTGTATATTTTGCCATTTAGAATCGAACATTTGCTGATCGCTTAAAAACGATTTTATCAGTGATTGGCTATAGCATCCATCATTTCTCGTTAGGCTTATTGGTAAGAATAGAAATTTTTGCTAAATTATCAGTTAGCGATAAGAGTACAAGAGTAGTTCTCCAACACTATCCGGAACAAACTCTCTCCTTGCAGAACATTTTTCTCTTAATATAATGTTTTGAACTATTCATTCGGAGACAAAATTCGTTAAAATACATAAATCCGAATTTTATTTAGATTTATTGAAGAAATCTATAGATTGAAGAAAGAAATAGCAAATCATATGGATTCATCTGATGGATGATAATCATTTGATAACTGATCATTGGTTATTTAACTTTCATATGATGAATAAATAACCTTCAAGACTTGCCATCAAATAAATAAATAAATAATAAAATTCTAAATAATTCTATTTACATCCAAATTTTGATAATCAAAAATCATATTTATTATCACAAGTACCATTCAACGATAGCTTTTGGTACCTTAAGTACCAATTGTCCTATTAATCTTTTAGTACTCAAATGGAAATAAAGAAATTGAAATCATCTTTTTTTTTAAATTTATAATTTTTCACGATTTTTTACGATATAAAAAATCGCAATTAAATTTAAAACCCCAAAAATTGAAGACATCTCAAAGAAAAACTGGATTTCTTGCAATTTTTTTTTTTAGTTGATTGAATTTACGGAATTTTAAAAAAAATTTTTCATATTTACGAAATTACAAAAATTTTATTGCTAAATAAAAAAAAAATTATTTATGAAATATTGCATTCTCTCTCGCAAATTTTAAATAATTTTATTGTAATTCGAGAAAAAAAATAAATTTATTAACGACAAATGAGATTCAATAAATTGGGTAATAATTCGGGTAATTAGTTTCCTTTTGCTGAAATCCATTTATTTTGCTTTTGTTTTGAAATAAGTTGATAAGATACGAAGATTTAATAAAGATTATTCAACAAATCACAATTATCAATTTGTAATTCAACTCATTTTTTTTTAGATTTTTAGAAATTCAAGAAACGCACAAAAAAACAATTAGTTAAACGATAAAATAATAAAAATAATGGCGAAAAAATGATAGATGATAAAAATTCATCGAAGAAAGAAGTAATCGGAAATTCATAGAAAAAAATTATTTGTCAAATTTAGTTAAAATATAGATTTTTCCGTTATTCTATACATTTCAAATTGATCTCGGATTTCACTTTTAATAACAGGTTTATTCTTTCCTAAAGTACCACAAATCAAATTCATATTGTTCTTCGACTGAGGCGATTATCTTGCGATTTATGATAGGATAAATTTTCGTATCAGTTTATAGGAGAATTGAGAATTAAGGAAAAATTTTGAAAAAATTTATCGCCTATTTTCAACAATAAATTGCCACTTTTCGCGCATAATTCGTTCGCTTATTTGTTTGAATTCGTTATATCGATAACGATTCAACCATGATGCAACTGTTTTTCTTGGTCGTATTCCTGGCATATTGGTATCAATCATTGGTGAAGCTTTTTTCACTATTTCGTTTGTCGATTGACTTAAACTGAATTGATTTGCTCGAATTTGTTGTGGCTTAATTGTAGAGACTCTCTCCATTGGTGATAAGACTGATGCGATCTCATTTGTAGGTCGTTCTGAAGTAAGTGAAGTGATTTCTGTGCGCAAAGAATGATTTGATTCATTCATTTCGATCCTTAGCGAATTATTCCACCAAATTACTTCAAAACATTTCATTTTCCTTATCGGACTGTTCGGAGGTATTTGCGTTTGAGCCTGTGATAGAACTCGAACATTCTCATCTTCCCTTGGCGTTTCTCGACTGCTGTTGACTTTTCTAATACCCAAAGATATTTCAGGCGTCTTTTGGTTCAATGATTGCGGCACAGAAGGAACGTGAGGTGCAGTGGTTGTGGTCTTTCTTCTCGCTAAAAATTTTTTAGGTTTTTTTCTGTGAAAAAGTTCAGATAATGTTCATAAGTAAATGATATGGTCTCAGGAAAGGTGGCAATTTTTTTTTCGCATTTTTTGTTTCTAAGAGCACTCATCAACTCGTCATTTCTGGCCGAGCGCACTCAATTGGCTTGTCGGACCAAGCAAATTTTGCTAGATGACATTTGATGATAGCTGAGTAACTCGAATTTTTAAAAAATACCTAAAGGTGATGAAATAACCTAAGCTGTTTTCATTATAAAATAAGTTACTGTTAAACTGAATAATTAAAAATGCAATACCTGAAAAAATTGATGTCTTATCATTGAGAAGTCTAAAATAATTTTAGCATTAAAAATTGCTTTTTATCATTTCCTCCATATAAGAAAAATGAAAATGATAGAGATTATTTATCTCATGCAAGATTGGCTTGTCAGTAGTAATGTTCGAAGAAGAAAATTGAAAGGATATTATTTTGTTTATCACTCTTAACACGCACATTGCTTTTGACTTGGTCGGCAGAAATTACCAACGATGAGATTTTCTTCCACAAAGCTCTTTTTTATGATTAGAAAAGTTCAGAAGCTTCAAATGCTTATCATCAATGAATGCTTATCAACCATCTAGTATTATTTATCCTTCTATAATCGAAATCGACTTGTAAAAAATTTGTAAAAGAAGTTTTAACCTTTCTCGATAGGAACGATTTTGAACTTCCACAAATGGCAAATAAGAAGTTAGCAATAAAAATTGCAATAAATTTCTGCTATTCATTTTCCAATATTCGCTCTAAAATAAATAGCGAAAAATGAAAATTTAGCAAAAAAATTGAAATAAAATTAACCGTTCCACTACGATTTATATGTTGTTTAAATCATTAGCATTAAATATTAAATAAATTTTTGGTGCATAAAATTGCTCAATGGGGAGCACCAAAGATGACTTTTTATTTTCCGTAAGCCCTCAAAAATCCGGATAGGCGATGTTGGCTGCTCACCTGAACTTCTATCGCCAAAGGGATTCCCTGGCATATTTGCCTAGTGCTGCGATAAGTTCCACTAAGAAATGAATCTAACCAACAATACTGAGGGCTCTTTAATTATTCCAAAATTATTTAACTATGAAAAATTCATTCATAAATTTACTATGGCGAAAATCTTCAAGGTGAATCCATAAATAAATAAAAACACGTAATTTTTTATTTTGATTCCTTTATTTTTGCTACAAATCTGCAAGTAAATAATCGCCTCGGGCGATTTCGATTCTCTTCAGATTTCATTTATCCTCCATTAGAGGCGAAATTAATTTCAGGTTAGAAGGAATAGGAAATTACGCAATAAATGAAGACGATTAGACGAAAAAGAGACCGTTTTACGTTAATTTTAAACGACGTAAAGAAATTCCAAATGAAATTATACAACAACAAAAATTTCTTGTTTTTTTTTTTTTTTTTTTTTACAAAAAGAATAAGGATGAATGATTATTTATTTTTGCTTAATTGAGAAACCGTTGAAAAAATAATTAAAAGTGGAAGTAATATGCGGAATTGAGGGAACTTTTCGCGGATTTTCGACGTGGTTTTTCGTTTTTCGCCAATAAATTTTCGTAAAAATTCAAAAAATCTTTAAAAAATTTACTGTAAAAATATTGCATACAATTTTCTTTCACTTCTCTTAAAAGCCCTCACCGTTACTAGTTGGATTCGCACCGCTGGTTTATCGTGCAAGTCAAATGTGCCAGGGTATCTCTTAGCGATAGAAGTACAGGTGAGTCGCCAGCAGCATCCAGATTTTTCGACAGGTTCATTCTTGCAGAGAGCAGAACATCAGCAACGATGCTCCAAATAGAGCAACAATCCACTGAGCCATTCTACTCCCCAACAATTGCATACAGTTAATTCTGCCAGTATGTTTTAGGCATGTTAAGTTATTTATTTGATTTTTAATATATTTATTACATCCAATAAGCTTACATACTACATAGTAAAAGTCAGCCAATGATAAAAAGATAAGGTATGCTTATCAGATATCCTATGAATTTGCTGCTTCTTAGCGCATTATTGCTGAAGTTGGTTCTTCTGGCTACAAAAATGGAATATTTCTATATCTCACGAGGTACTATCCCTGAAAAAAGTAGAAGACACTTTTCCATTTTCTCAGCCAATATATATTGCTGATAATCTGTCACGTTAGTTTTCTGTCCAAAGACTTCGAAATCGCCCCCATAAACCAAGTGGTTCTACAAATGCTCCGTTAAACTATTATATTCCGCGTCTTCACAAACCTTTTTCATATCTGCTTTGTACTTTAGCACATTTCCTGATAATGTGCTTCGTTAGCAAGCTTTTCTTGCCGCTATAACAATTACCTCCCGAAATCCAAATTCTAACTCTGTTAATTCCGAGTTCACAATTTAGCAAACAATGCGAATTCATATTTTGTGATAGGCGATGTGGCCTAAAACATAGCACAACTAGGATGGTACTCTGTGACGATATGATTGACGCATCTAATTTGCGGACTGAAATGGATGCAATCGTGTACGATTCTATCCACTCGACGGCTATATAAAATTGCCTTAAGAAAGAGTAGCCAAAGGCGATTTCTTGACATTGCGTCTTCACATTGGCTAATTCTCTAAACTGGAGCTTAGTACACTTGTTAATTTCACTGCGATTCCACAAGAATTTGGCAAAATAAAAGAAAGCGATTGATTGATAACTGTGGCTATACGATCTGAATTTTCATCTTTTGCTTAGCCCTTTGGTACTAAATTAGATACCAAAGAACTTTATGGTCTTTTTTTCTCCAGCGGTGGAGGAATTAAGCTTTCACTGTGCACCTCATTAAAATGATTTCCTTCTTTCTTAAATCCCATCCAATGTTAGTCCACAGCATCAAATAACATGTAAAGCACATATAAAAATTACTTGAAGATTTATTAATTATTTTAATTATTAATCATTAATTATTTTATAAAAATATATTAGTTATTTTATTTTATAAAATATTTTCAAATGTCTAAATATAAATATAAATATTTATTTTAATAATATTTTTTATTTAACGTTAAATATTTTAATTTTATTATTTCTCTGATAATAAAATATTAATAAATAGAATACTTTATTTAAGGCAAAGTCGCAACAATAAAAATAACTTAAAATTGATATAATATAAAAAATTGATATATAAAAATGAAAAAGATTTCTAAACAAATAATTTAAAAAATCCATTTTTATTTCTTTGATAATAATAATTGTAAATACCAATAACGAAATTGAAAACTAAAATTTAATACTAAAGCCCATTCCTTAAACATATTTAAATATTTTTCTTCATAGAATCATTTGGACTCATTTGGAACCTTTCGTAGAATCAATTGGACTCGAAAATACAAATAAACTTTTTCAGCAACAAATAAATTTACTTTCATTCAGAGAGAAGTATCGAACCTACTTAAGGGTCCAACTTTCTTCAGTCGAAGGTGAAATTCAACAATCCTGTAACCTGTACACTAAAAGTTAAATTCCAATCGTAAATAATTGTCAATGCTTATTTCTTGTGTGTCGAAAATATTTAAAATAAATAATATTAAAAATACAAAGAATAAGAAGTACAAAAAATAAGAAATTAATAAAGAAAAATGGATGCATAATCATTTAAAATCATTTAAATTACCGAAAACCACAAAAACATAATAAAATAAGAAAATAAGTCGTAAAATAAACGAAGAATTTTTATAACTTAACAGAATAACTTAAGAAAAAAATTATTTTCGAGCTGATTCGTAATTTTCAATAAACCACTGAACGGATTCATCAATGGCCGTTTGAAAAGGGGTGAATTTAAAATCGGGCAAATATTTACGAAGTTTTGCATTCGATGCTGTTTTTTTATATTGGCCATCTGCTTTTGTAATATCCTGGATTATTTCACCCTGAAAGTCATCAAATTATTAACCATAGTGATAAGGTTGATAATGACTATAACTAGCAACTGTAAAGAAGTAAATAGGTCTGTGGCTTAAACAATTACAGACAATGCAGTTTAAACTGTTTCCTAACCAATTAATTGGCAAAAAAAACTAAAAAAAATGCAATTATTGAAAAAAGATACCAACAATATGAACAAAAATGAGAAAAAATAGAAAAAATTTAAATAAAAACATTTTTTTCATGTCCGAACTCTTTTCACAAGGGTAAAATTTTTAAAAATTATGGATCAATTGGGATTTTAAACTTAAAGTAACTTCTATAAGAAAAGTGAGTAAGCAACTTGAAGTAAATTTAAAGTTCATTATAATTCTATTTATTGTAAAAATATCACCAAACACTGAAAGAAAATAAGAACGATTCTTTTTATTTCAAAAATTGCTTTTTGACATTATAGCTTAAAAAAGAGGTTTATTTAGATGGCTCTAGATAGTGTAAATATAACTCTCTCCAAACTCCAAGAAACCGCCACTCAAATTAATTTCTCTTTTCAAGTATCTTTTTTACGAAAATAAATGGTTCTTTCTTTTTTTTATTTAAAATAAAAATATTGGAGAATTAAAAAATTGTCAACATACTTTAAAATCGAAAGCTTTTACAACAGCTTTTAGTGCATCCATAATTGAAACTTCGTCTTCTTCTCCAACTGATAATATTATAGGGTCGATTTCCTGAACAATTTCGCAAAATATTAGCGTAAAATTATTGCTTGACCAAAATTTTTGATTATTTTCGAAGAACAATAAGAAATAATATTGGGAATAATTTTTTGCGAAAAGTAAAGCTCTCATTAGAACCACAATTTAAAGTAATCAAGCCATGGGCAACCACGCAAATGACTGATGTGAATAAAAACTTTTGGAAATTACGACTATAAAGGTGCGTTTACCGTGATTTCAAATATGAAATGAACGAATTGGAATTAATTAAATGTATTCAAAACATACCTCATAATTTCTTACCACCCAAATAAATAAGCGAGCCAAATCAAGTGAATAGATAAACTGTCTCAAAGGTTTACCACTTCCAAACATCTGTAGTTATTAAAATAAGCAAAAAATTATAATAAATCAGAGCCCTACCTTAATTATTGGGGAATAGCAATAAAGATTTTAATATTTAAAAAAATTTTTTAAAAAAAATTTAGATTGAACGAAATATGAATATTTATAACTGCATTATTGCTATTTATCAAAATTAAATAAAATTTCACTGAATTATTGAATTTTTAATTTCAACAGGGCAATGCATAGATAATTTTTTAATAACATTTTTAATTTTCTAATTACATTTAATTTTTACTTGATTACATTAAAATTTATAAATTAAATAAATTAATAAAATGAATTAAGAATTATAATTTATAAATTATTAATAAATATTAATAAATCTATCGACAAATTATAATGAGTATTATTTTAAAAAAATTATTTCAACAATAAAAGCTAATTATAAAAAAACTGAAAGCAAAAATTAATTGCCTGCAAAGGAGTATTACTCTTCTTCGCCAGATATGTTTTATGAATAAATGCTGGAATAACATGACTATTTTCCAAGTTGTAATTGTCATAAGGCCCGAAAACGTTGCATGGTATTACTGCCGTATATTTTCTGTAATATTATTAAGGAATAGAATGTAAAAGTTTAAGTAGAACGATAATAAAAATAGCGGCAGTTAAATAATCAGTTATCAATACCTCCCATATTCTTGAGCATATCCTTTATTTAATACATCAATCATTCGCTTAGCGTATGAATATCCAAAATTGCTTTCATGAGGTGGCCCATTGTGAATCTGGAAATTTTTACAGTTCATGAGTAATAAAAATCAGACAAATTCCTTTCTGAAGAAAAAATGCGATATGAAATAAAAAACTTCAATGAAAAAAATAAACAAAAAATGAAAAAATTAAAATGGGATAAAGCCACAAAAAAAAATTTGACAAATGTGCAAAAACTTCTTAAATAATTTTTCCTTTAAATTATTTAAAAATAATTATAAAAAATAAATTATCTAATCAAAAATTATGTAAAAATATTAATAAAAAATATCAAAAATTAAATCATTATCAGTCATAATCCAAACAAAAAATTAACCATGGTTTCATCAATCGGATACGATGTTTTATCTGGAAATATACAAGTCGAAAGACAAGAAACACATTTTTGAACATTGAATTCATTGCAAGCTGACAAAACATTCTCATTTATTTTCTAAAAAGATATATTTTTTTGAAATTTCTTATTTGTAATTTTTTGTAATTTTTTATTAAATATTATTACAATCGTAAATATTAAAATAACTTTTTTCCAAGATTCCATTAAAATTTTTCGTCGAATATTATATATGAATAAATACAAAAATAAAGAAATTAATTATTTATAAGATATTTATACGAATTTACCATATTTGTGAGGAAAAACTTAAGATTGTTTCGAAGATTATGAAAAAGGCCACCGACCATTGCTGCCAAATGAATAATGTGTGTTGGATGATATTTTTGAAAAATTTTACGAACTGATTCTATATCAGTAAGATCAGCTTCTTTTGAACCAATAAAAATCCAATTTTCATCTGACCTTGATTCTTCGTTTGTAACAATCTACAAAATTCACTTAAAAAATTTAAAATCGCAACTATTCGTTGATAATCTTTTGGAAAAGCATAAGCTTAATTAAAAAATAATCGCAGAAAAAAATAAAATTTCCATTGAAATTTTAATCGAAAACTTATCAGAAAATTTATCAGTTATCTCGAAAGAAATAAAAGTTATCAGTTGTACTCAGTAATAAAGTTTCATATATTAAAGTTACGACTAAATTTTATAAATCATAAATCATTAGCAATTCTTCCTAAAATTCCTATTTGTATGAAGCAACAAAGCCTTTTTTCAAATGATTATTAATCTATGCAATTTATACTACTGAAATGTAATTATAATCAATAACACCAAATTCAAATTTTCAATGCAATTTTCAATTTTCAAAATTTTTTCAATTTTCTAAAATTTTTTTGAGAAAATATTTCACCACCAATTTTACTTCACTAATTTTTGATTCGCATTTTTCAATAAAGTATGAAGTTTTTATTCAAATTATTTATGAATATAGCGAATATAGTGGTACTGAAGAATTTGTATTGGCATCTGTTTCATCAGAGATTCTAACTAACTGCAAAGTTAATTTAATGCTGGATTATTGGAGAATTTGCGTTAAATACTTCATGAAAATGCGATACAAGTTAAATAAATTGCTTTACCTTATTTTTAGAATCTTCAAAGTTGGTGTTTTAAACGTCGAAAAATCAAACAAACACTCTATTATTTCGCAGCTCATTGTGGTCATAAATAATTTGAATAATTATTTTTAAAAAAAACCTTTTGAATAGCTCTTCCAACGAGCCCCGTTCCACCTGTCACCAAAATTGTTCGCATATTCTGAAACAAATTAAAGAAAAATTATCATTAAAAAATGAAATCTACAAAAAATCTGGAATTTTCCATTAAACCTAGAACAATTTAAAAATCATAACACTGGCTGATAATTGATAATAATTCTATATTGTAAATGAGATGAAGCCAATAACCTCGTCTTATAGCCGCAGCACCCTCCTTCATTTTCTATATCCTCTAATATTCCCTCCGATAGTCAACGAACCCCTATGCCTTTAAACTTCGCTGCAATATTTTCCTCGTAACCTTTCAACTCTTAATGTTGAACCTTACCAAAACTAAAATATTATTCCATTGAAAAGCTTCTCTTGCTTTTTCTGCGCCATAATAAATCTCGAGAAGCTCAGTGGGTCATTTCTTGAGGCCCCTAAATTTCTTCTTTGTAAATCCCTCCGTTTTAAATTCACCGTAGAAAATTTGTGGATAATTAACATGCAACGCAATCGATTTCGTGTTGCTTGGTGACTAGTTACGAATATACAAATTAAATGAAATGAAACTAAATTTCAATTCGTTTTGAAGATTTTTGCACCTTAAATTCTAACTTTCTGGACTTCCAAACGATCACCATTCCCCTCGTTATATATAGAAATGCACCTTCCAAATAAAATCTTTTAGACCTCCAATTTCTAAGAATAACCTCTGATATATTTATCTACTAAAATAAGTAAATAAATAAATAAAATAAAATAAGTTTAAATTTGAATTGAATGAAAATACATAAAAGGCTTTCTAGCAATAATCGATAAAAAGGTGTACAAATTAATAAAATTTATTGAATACCATCAAATTAAAACCAATAAATAAATAAGCAGCGATACAAGTGATTAATACTAAACTTTATCAAAAAACTACTTTCCCATAAGAATTACTCAATAATTTTTATTTGCAATTTAATAAAAAGCAAAAAATAAAAAAATAAAAATTTCCTAATAAAATGAAAAATACTGATTAATAAGAATATTCATATAGAAAAAAATTAAAGACGACATTTAAAAAATTATTTTAAGCTTGACTTCTGCAGCAAGTTCTTTTAGTTTTATACAAGATGAAATTTGAATGTATATATAAAATATCATAAAGTAAAAAAGAATCAAGAATCAGGCCGCTTCAAAGCATATTTTTTCGTGAATTCTTCCGCATTCTTATAGAATTTTTTCCTATCCTTTATAAATTCCTCACCAAGATCGCCGCGAAGTGGATGATCCGGTTCCGGTTCTGTTATAAGCCCTAATAACGCATTCATCACTGAAATAACTTTCATTAAATCAAAATTACTTTAAGTTGTTACTTTAACTGCAAAAATTGATTCATTTCCATAATTAATAATCCAAAATAAATTATTAAATTGCATTAACAATAAATTTTTATTACAATAAATAAATTTTTAGGAATTCAGAAATCGGCTTCAAATAATTTTTTCTTGCATTCATAGCGGATCTTGCAAAAAATGCCATGTAAAAATGAAAAAATAATGAGATTAATGCCAACCTTGCTCCGTTTTTGTTGCAGGTTTCCAATTCTCGGGAGAAATAATCGGCAAGCAAATTTGTCCTTTTTCATCGACATTAGGGTGATAAATTTTTGTTAAAAATGTAATTTTTGGTGGTTTGAATGGATATTCCACGGGAAAATCAATGGACACTTTAAAAGCACCTTTATTATACGGCTCTTTATCCTGCAGACATCACATTAGATTCATTTTATAGAAACAATTGTTATCAACCATTTTTCATAAAAAGATAAAAAGATTCTTGTTATCTGCACAACGGATTCCTCGTCTTTCAAACAATAAAAGTGCATTTGGAGTCTTACTATTCAACTCTTTAAATATAATATCAAAATAAACATAAATATGAAATATAAATAAAATTTATTTTGCAATTAAACTGAAATTTCCTTTTTAATTTTCTCAAATATAAATTGTCAAACAAGCGAACTGGAAAACAAGCAGAAAAAATTTAAAAATACTGGAATCAAAAGACCGGTCCAATGCAATAAATTACTATCGTCGTATTCGATATGGCAAAACGCCTTTGAATCAGAATTTTGTATATCAACCAATTCCTGCAATCAAACATCCAATTAAAATTATCATAACGAATTTCTATTCAATATCACTATAAGCTTTTTCAGCTCAAATTAAATCATCACATGAATCATCACATACTTTCTTTTTTTTTGAAAAATTTCTGCAAATTTCAAACCATTAATAATCTTTCTGACATCAAACAAAAATAAATTAATAAAAGTAAAAGAGAGGCAAAAAATAAGAAAAATAATTACACCATCGCTTTAAAAAGACAAAGGTAAAATATCAAATAAAAAACTGAATAGCAGTAGAAAAAATTTTTTCACCAAATTTCACTGAATTCTAATTAATTAAAAGAAAGCTTTAGTTTCTCTCGGATTATTCCATAATTTTCTATAAAAATATTTGATTAAAAATTTGATATTTTGGCAACACAAAAAAAAAAAAAATTACGAAAAAACCTTTTTAAGACGACGAGATGAAGAAGCCATTATGGTGCGTTAGGCGATGAATAATCCTAAAATACAATTCAATTAATATTTTCTGTAATTTAAAAAGCAAACTGTATCGGAAAAAAACGCAAAAATAACAATAAAAAAACCATTTCAAATATAAAAAAAAACTCCGCGATAAGGCAAATTTCTAGAATCTACAACGAATGAAATTTTGATGGAATTTATGCAAATTATTTTCTCATTTTTGTAATTATTTTTATCTTATTATCACCAGTTTTATCAATTCAAGAAAATTTTAAGAGAAAATAAGAAAAAAAATAAAAATCACAAATGAAAATCGCTGAGTGGCTTGGTGCGCTCATTTCGAAATAGCGATGCGAAAATTTCGCTCGTAGTAGCGAATAAACCAATCTGTCTTTTTGAAAAATCCCACTAATGCTAGCAATTCACTTAAATTTATTAATTACGTCGCTAAGTTTTTTTTCCCTAGCAAAATTTCTCAGATCCGACAAAATAGCGCAGCGAGCTTCGCCATTATGAGCAAAAATAAATTGCGCACATTTTTGGAGGAAAAAAGATTTAAAAAATAAAAAAATTATAAAAATGAAAATAAAAATGTGCAATAAAATTGAAATTAATGAAAAAAAAATTATTTTCAAAAGAGGTGCAATATTATAAAATAAGAGAAATGTCGATGCTATTTCATTATTTTCCTCTAAAAAAGCACTCCATTAATTTATTTCCAACAAAAACAAATCATTCATTCATCCAAAATAAAAACAAAACAAAACACCGCGCTATGTCAATCAGCAAGCATAACAATCCAGGTGAAAAAAAAAAATTATTCTCCAACCACTAACACTCAGCTATGAATTAATGCTAATAATATTTATTACTAAATCTCAGCTTCCAAAGAAAATTAGTAACAGTAGAAATTTTTTAGAAAAATGGAAAATAATAAAAAATAAGTGAAAAAATAAATAGAATAAAAAATAGGAGAAATGAAAAAAATTATTTAAATCGCATTCATTATTTAACCATAAAGGCATTGAACTAAATAGTTTTATAAAAAATTTCATTTCAGTCAGAAAATAAAGAGATAAAATAATAATAAACAGTGAAAATAAAACCAAATGTGAGGCCAAAGATATTCAACTAAATTAAACGATGAAAGGCTAAATGTCACCAATGTCGCATTAAATGTCATCCAAGGACGACAAATCTACTTCTGAGCCCGTCCGCCTCTTCTCGTTGGATTCATGCGACACGAATCCTTTTTTTTAGCCGTCAAAGATCATTGTGGCTTTCTGGTCTCTTATTCTTCACTGGCCATTCCGATGACTCTTATCTCGCGTGGGATTAGGCCGTGGACCTAAGATACCTGCAAAGGGCCTTTAAAGGACTAAGGACCTTTCATACACAGAGATTTAAAAAAATTCACATCTAAAACTTTTTTGGCATATTACTGGCACTAAAAATTTACAGATGGAAGGGTTAAAGGAATTGCTTATTTCACCACTGAATTCTCACCACTGTTCGCTTGACTCGTTCCACTAATGAGTATGGTAAGACGATTCTAAGCCTTTTCGGACGGATCTGATGGTATTCCCGAAAGTAATTGAAGATACTGCCATCAATGTGGAAAGCCCTTATATCACTAGGCCGCTTCCGCTTTTATGGTCTTTCCTAATTATCACCAGTCAAGATCTTGACTGGTCCTCGTCTCTTTTGACGTCCATCCATCACAGATGTTGACAAATAGCGAAATATGTGTCAATTCTTGTGATTTTATACTACTAAGGCTGTCCGTTTGGCAGACGTATCTTAGGCACGTACAGTTAAAAATTTTTCTTCTTCCATATTCCCGTTTTGCTAAAATATGTTTTGCGGCTGCATAATTTAAGTCTCTCCGTATTAAAGTCAGATAGATGCGAATTTTTTGTTTTCAGGCGATTTTGCAGCAATTCCAAAGAGACTCTGTCAGAGAAAAGAAGGTATCTTTAGCTGCAACCAGCAATTTGAATTTTGAAATAAAATCTTTCTCCTATCAATTAGATTTGAAAGTGGATCCAAAATATTAAAAGTCTGATATTTTCTGAACCGTTAATGAATTCATAAAGATTATTTTTTATCAAGGAGGGTATATAAGAAGAGGTGATTGCTCGAAACCTATCAAGGGGAACAGTTCTCTGCCTTCTAAATAGTATCAGTTATTTTCGGTTTTGGCTGGCTGCTTACAAGATTACAAGATTAAAGATGTCGAGATCGCATAGCTAGAGAATTACTACTGGATAAAATACGAGTGGATTCTTAATAAAATCCTTAATTCATTATTAGCTACTGGTAGACTCAGAAATTTAGTAACAGTAATAATAATAAATAAGTAAAACTTAATAATAATAGTAATACCATAAAAACGAAAGACCTCATCTATAGCCGTGATTCGTTCGATCTTGCTATATAGCTCTGAGGCATGGCCAATGAGAGAGGAGGATGTTAAGAAGTTATATGCTTTAACCATTCTTGTCTAAGGTACATTTTACGGATCCGTTGAGCTGATAAAATATCGTATGATCGCATCTATCTTTGTTCAAATAATGTTCCTTCGGTGGTTAGATTGTTCTCCGACGTCCAACACAGGAGTTGACGCATATTTCGTTATTGGCTAAATCGTGTGATGGTTGGCGTCGAAAGCGAGGTGGACCAGCAATATATGGACTTAGACGATGGAAAAAGGAATGGCTTCTATTGCTATCGACGATGGCATCAGACCGCACCTTGTAGCCGTTGGAGCCAGACTAACCAGTAATGTCAGAGCTGTTAGAAGAAGAAGAAGAAGAAGACGAAGAGTTTTTTCGCCGTGCATTGATCTAATAAATTTTCACTGCTCTGCTGATAACTCCTGGTACGACAGTTTCTGTCATAGTTCATTGTAACTAACTATCAGCGAAAAGTGTCATCGGCTATATTATCGAAGATCCAAAGAAATGAAAAAAGTTGAATTCTTGTCATCATACTTAATTTCTTCAAATAGCTCGTTCCATTATTGGTCTGGATCTGCTGGATAAAAAACTGGATATCAAGTATTTCATTAGGTCCTATCTTATCATATCTAGAAAAAGCATAAACGGTTTTCATAAATTGTTTTTCTAAATATTACATATTTCTGAGGCTGCCTAATATATCCAAAATCTCTCCTGGTTCTATAAAAAGCGATTAATTCATGCTTGATCATTCATCTTGATATTCATGCTTCTTACTTTTAGGGGTCATACTTGATAAAAAGCGATATTATGCTTCAATTCATACTTCGGAAGGTTCAACTTCCGATGATTGGAAAGAACGCATTCCGTCTAATTTATATTTCTTATTTCGATGGGTTCTATCAGTTCCCCGAACAGATGGACTTGTGAACAAGGAATTCAATAGTCTTCAAAGAACTTATTTATAATAAGCAATTAATTTCAAAAGTATTTTAGTGAAAAATGAAAAAAGTTAAAAAAAATTTAATTTAAATACAATTTAATATAATATACATATCACACCACTAAAATCCATTGTTATAAAATACTTTAATAATTTAACTTATAATAATAAGAAAATGATAACAATGATAACGGAATGGTTTCTACTACTACCAGCGATGGTGCCAGATCGTACAGCTTGGAAACCTTTTTGCCTTGGTAGCTAGCGGAACCAGCCTAATCAATAATGGTTGGAGCTGTTAGAAGAAGAAGAACAATGATAATAATGGTGATGTTAATGATAATAATAATAATATTAATATAATAATAATCTCATAACTATTTTCCACAAATGCAGTATAATCATTTACTATTTTTAACAGTGAATTAAAAAATTCGGTGATCCATCGCATTTCGTTGAGAATGATATAAATGATAGCATTTTTATTAACGCGGGCAAAGGGAGGAGGAAATCCTAAAAATCATAAAGAAAATAAATATTTCTTTGGAATTAAGTAAAACCTTCAAGAAGACCTTTGGATTCCCAGGACTGGATCTGGTCCTAAATTTGCTTTCTTAGGCGTACTTCTTCTCCTTCGGCTAACAGCTCTCAGCATTACTGGTTGGGCTCGCTCGCTGGCTCCAAGCCTGTTCTCTAACCAGCGAAAGCGACGCTCCTCGTGATGGCACCATTAATGAATATTTATAAGCCTTTTGGTTTTTCTTCCTCATGCAACTATCGAGAGGCACCGCGAAAATTTTCTACTCTTTAAACATCGCTCTATTAATATAAAAGCGATGAACGTTGAGAAGTATGTTTATTGAACTGTGAAGTCGTTTGGCAAATATTATTTGTCCAAAAATTTTGTTCCTTCTTCTTTCATTTTTTTTTTTTTAAAAAAAAAGAACCAAACAAAATTTTTGGGAGTCCGTGGAATTTTGTGGTATTGTTTAAAGGATTAGTGAAAAAAAGGCCAAATGGCTGCTAATTTAAAAAAAAAAGCCATCAAAGCCAAGAGTGGCCAAAGGATCGCTTCAATTGGTTTCATGTGGGCCAACTGATCAAAGGATTTACAATTCATTGCACCATTAGTGGCCAGTGAAATCATTCTAAGTGATATAAATATTTCTTTAGAAGAGTTTTTTTTCCAGTGTTCGCTAAAAATATTTCTCATTTGTAGGTCTCTAATGACGCTCACCATTCCTAATTAGGCTCGTTCCACTGATTTGTCACCTCAGTGCTTTTGAGCTGCAAGAGAAAATATCTCTTGAATGGTCTTAAAGCGAATATTTATATTTAGATTTCTCAGTTTTGCTTAAATCTATGAATTTGCTTTTTCAGTCCTTTAAGGTTCGGTGTGGTTTGCCCATTTTTCCATCTCAGCGAGGTTGGTTCCTTTTTTTTTTTATTAATTTTGAATTATTTTAATTTTTCTATAAAAATTCTTTTTTAATTTTCAGGAATTTCTGCAGCAACAATCGGAAAAATATAAAATTAAATAAAATCTTTTCAAAACTTATTCATTGTTTCGAATTCGATAATGATTAACAGCGATAACTATGGCGATGATAAAATTGAAATTGTTAATTTTTAATCTTTTATTTCAAATTTTGCCACTTCAAAAATGAAGGCTTTGCAAAGTGCTTAAGTGCTCGGATGGGATTGAATGGCTCATTTGGTTGTTCGCCTTGGAGCATCGATGCGCGCCGCCCATCTGTCGCTAAGTGAAAATTTCTCTGGCGAAACCTTTTAAGTCAGTGAGAATGAGTGGAAGTAGGAATGAGGAGCGTTCGTTAGGGAAGAAAAAAGTTGAAGGCAAAACCCATTTTAGATTTTATATTTATTTAATTAAAGTATTTAAATTTGAATAAATAAATTGAATTGAAAATGATTTTGGTAATTAATGAATGATCAAATAAGCGATAATTGCTGTTGTTTTCCTTAGAATTTTTTTTAAATATTTGTCTTATTTAATTTTAATTCCCATGAAATTTTTTTTAAAGACTTATTGGTCTGTTTTTCTTTTTGTTTTCAAATTTTTTCATTCTTTTATAAATTTAAATAAGTCCATTAATTACGAAAATTTTAAGTTTTTATCTTTTAATTTATAAAAAAAGAATAGTTACTTATTTTTTAATATTTGAAGAGAAATCTTTTCAGTTAAATCCGGACGCATTAAAAAAAGATCCGACAAACTTAACAGTGATTTTGCACGGTGAAGATCATACGATTGGAAACTCGCTAAAGCATATTCTTTGTAAAATGTAAATTCGAAACTTTAATATATTGATTTCACTTTACATATTTATTTTTGACTATTTATTTTGATATATTTTTACCTAACTGCTTGTTTAGCTTTTGAGATGACATATATTGCAGGGAAAATGTTGAATTCTGTGGCTATAATGTTCCACATCCGCTTGAAGATAGTATATTAATTCGATTACAAACAAAGAATGGCGTTGATGCAGTTGATTTATTCTTTGAATCTTTGCAAAATTTACAGTATATTTTTGCATCAATTAGGCAGAAATTTGAAAAGGCTATTTCTGATTTTCATTCTTCATAATTTTTTTCGTATCGTATTGCTATTCTTAAATTTTTTTAATGATATTTTTTATGGCATTTTTGAAAATATTTCAGCGAGATAGTCATGTTTTTTTCGCTTATTCTTTCATTTATATTTTTTATCCATGAAATAGATTCAGATGTTACGTCTTATTTTTATTGGTAATTTAAATTCATAAATTTTGTAGGTTTCTTTTATCATATGTCCCTTTGTGTTTTATTAATCTTGTGGAATTCAGTCATAAATTGTTCATTATTTTTATTGACAAGATTTACTGGCTTAACAAGGTAGAACTAAAAAGTTGATTTGTTAAAGAGTATGGTGAAAATTCAATGCATCGAAGAATTTAAAAATCTTAAATGAATATAATGGGGATTTCAGCATAAAAAAAATCAAAGATTTAAGGCGAAATTTTCGAGGATGGCGAAATATGAGTATATTGTGATATATTTGGAAATCAACTGAGTAGAATGGTAGTTAATTTCATTGTTAATAATTTTGTTTTAGTAGAGAATCTCTTCACGTAGAATGGTAATTTTTCTTCTATAATAGCTCAGATCGCGTTTGGCCCTATAAAAGTGAGGCGGTTTCAAATTCATATTCCCATGCCATATAATTGCGATAAATGTTTATTTATCTTTTATATAATTATATTGTTCTTTAATATAATTTTTGTGAATCTTATTTTAATATAGGATAATTTCTAATAAAATAAGTTTATTCTAATAGAATAAGTTTTAGCCGTTTGTAATGTGAATATACAGTAAAAAATAATTGTGGAGTACCAGTAAAAATACTCGATTAAAACGTGGCTTCCGTTTTTAAGGATAAGTAGAATCGCCTTTCGTTTAATAAATCCGTTGACTTAGAACTCGGTATATTCCCTCAATATTCCTTTGAAATCTGTTGAATCATTTTGGTACTAAAAGTACCTAAATTAATTGGTTACTGCCCGATTACTGTTGAATACTCGATTTCTCCGATGTATAATTTCCAATTTTTTGAGCTGAATGTTTTAAAATTTTGAGATTATAAACTTGACTGCGAGAGAAAATAAATTATTGGAATAAAAATTTTTTTAAATTTTTTCATTTTTCGCTAATTCGTGAAATCAAAATTATATAAAAGGGTTGCAGAAATTAGTCAGAAATATTTCAAATGCTCACCAAATATATAAAATGAAACGAGGCTGTGGAATGAAACGAGTAACACTAAAGCTGACGACGTAAATCGACGGCTTAGAGCATAAAACTTAGGCATAGACTTATTAATAATTAGTAATAGTGATTATGTAATTAATCTATTAATTAGAAATATTGCATATATTTATTATTTTGTTAATTAATTGTGTTACATATGTAATTATATACATATGTAATAACATATTTATTATAGTTGTTTTCATCACTGATTATTTATAGTTGTCAATTATTGACTATTAACTGATTATTAATTATTATCACTTAATTATTGATTTATATTCGTTGATTTATATTGATTTTATTAATTAACGACAATCATTTTCTTTTAAATATTAGTATTAATTGCTTATTAATCATTAATTTTTCACTATTATTAAAATTAATCAACTGAAATTAATTGTTTTTAGCTATGAATAATTAATTAATTAAATTGTAAACAATTAGTTAACTACTATCAATTCAATTCTTTTTCTTTCGAGAGGTTAGACTCATTCCGCGATAGGTGAAATTTCGTTGAAGAATTAGTTAATTAAAGATAGAGAGAGGTATGGATAGGTCGACGGCAAGCACCACCGCCCAGATTTTTGAAAAAATTACGGAGATTTACCGAGGGTAGAACCACAGCGCCGGAGACAAGACCAACAATCCACTGACACTTCAAAAATCCTCTTATCAAAAAATTATGAAAAACTGGTGTGGCGTTGAAAACTCGAAGCTGAGTTTTAGGTATTTCTGATTGTCAGCTTATTCGCGGTAAATATTCAGTTTAATTTTAATATTTCAGTTTATGATTAATTTTGACATATGGTCCGGTAATTTTTCATGATAAGATCTTATCATTGATTATGAATTGTAGTGATTATTTGACTGTTCTTTTCTGGTTGGATCTCGCTTTGGTCCATTTGTTTATGTTCTGGTGTGGCCATCTGGCCAAATAGTACCAAGAGGACTTGGCAAGATTTTTCGCAATCAGACAGATTTTAATGGATAATATTAAGTTTGCCGTTCACGAATTTCGTAAGTAGCATCGTGAATTTTCAAGGAGTGGATTGTGACAAAGGGTTTTAAAACAGATTAGAATACTGTTGTCTCTCTTTGCTGTGACTGTCGTCAAAAAATAGCAAATGGCGGTATTTTGTGATTCCCCGTGATTCTCAGCCATTAAGGGTCCAAATATATATTAATAGCGTGTTGGAAGAGAAAAAGCATGGAGCATGAAGAATAAATGAGGTATTAAGGGAGGAACAATAGGAAATAAGAGAATGTTAGGAGGGTATTTATTAACGGGGATTGAGGAGAATTTCCGCAAACTCTGGTAGATTTGGGAGGATGAATTTTTTGCGAGGGTATACATCCACATCTACACCTCGTCACTATTTGCGCATATTTTATAGAAATTTGGCGAAATTTTTTGGACTAGGATAAGTCTTTTGGGTAGTTGTAACCTATGCAAATGGTACTTTTATTCATAAACAGATAGGGGTAGTCGAGAGATATGATTTGCTTTGATTCGTGCTAAGTATCACAAATTTGATTCTCTCTCTCGAAATACCATTAAAAAACCCGGGTGATGGTGATGTTTTAATTCACATATTTCTATCGCTAAATGAGAAAAAAAATTTTAGCAAAAATTTTTAACCATACGTAAAGCCAGAAGGGCTGATCTAACCAGGATTAATGGATCACTTCCACTTTCCTATCCTATAATAAGTGGTTTTAGCTTTTTCACGATTCTGGAAAAATTGCGTGGAAAAATTTTTGCGTGCCATGAAACTACACTGATATAGCAGTACAGATGGGCTATCAGTAGTAGTAGTAATCAGTATTTGATTTGTGTAGCCTAGTTTATTTAAAATTAGCCAAGTTTTTCTTACTTAACACTCTTATCAAATTTTATTATACTTCTTAAATATCACATTATCATTATTATCTTTTAACAGGATTTGTTTTTATCTCTTCTGTTTTTGTTTTTGAATTCGAAATTTATTGTGCTTAAATTCATATTTTTGTTTCCAAAAGATCGTTATTGAGATATTTGCAAAATATTTTTCACTTTACGAAGACAAGCTTTTCCATATTTTTTATTTCTATATTTTTATTTTTATAATTTTTATTTACATATTATTATGTCGTGTTCGATATAATTTGAATATTTGAGGAGAAGTAATGCCAAATGAACTTATCACTGTACAGTTCGGACAATGTGGCAATCAAATAGGTGATGCTTTTTGGCGTTCGCTATGTGCCGAACATGGCATCGCACCTAATGGTACTCTTATTAAACCTGAGCTAGATGCTCAAGATCTCAAAAGAGTGTTTTTTTATCAGGTTTGTCGAATTAAAAATTTTTAAAATATGAGAAATTCAGTTTTAAAATATAAATGCAGGCTGATACAGGCTGATGATGCTCATTATGTGCCTCGTGCAGTTTTGGTTGATTTGGAACCGCGTGTGATAAATAGCATTATCAACTCGGAATATCGTTCCTTTTATAATGCAGAAAACATTTTCCAATCGAAAAGTGGTGGCGGTGCTGGCAATAATTGGGCTTCAGGTTATATTCAGGGAAGGTGCGTTTCTCATTTTAAGGCACTATTCCATGATAATTCAATGGTGATGATAACGTGCAGAATGATAATAGGTTTTTTAGGTTGAAGATTTGATAATAAGATTTGAGTCGAATACATTGTTTGCCAATGTGTGAATTGTTGATCTGTGGTTTAAAATGGCTCATAAATGATCCAAAATTTTTTGTTTTCTATTTTTTTTATATTATTGTTTTATATTTTATTTCTATTGTTATTTCTATTTTTTTATATGATTTTACTTTATGGATTATTTTCATTTCAGAGAAGCACAAGAAGCGTTGTTTGATATGTTAGAGCGTGAAGCAGAAAATAGTGATTATTTGGAAGGATTCATGTTATGTCATTCCATTGCTGGTGGAACTGGTTCGGGGATGGGATCTTTTACGCTTGAAAAAATCAGTGATAGGTAAAATTCAGATTCTTGTTAAAGTAGTAATATTCTTGTTTTAAATGAACTAATGTTGATAAGATTTTATTTTATTTAGAGAATTTGATATTTTAATATCTGATCTTATTTTAATTTTAAGATTTCCTAAGAAGCTGGTACAGACTTATTCTGTTTTTCCTGTGATACGGAAAGGCGAAGCGAGTGATGTGGTTGTTCAGCCTTACAATTCTATTTTAACATTGGCAAGATTAATTGATCATCCTAATTGTGTTGTTGTACTCGACAATACTGCTTTACACCGTATTGCCACTGAGAATGCTCCAAATAGTATTTCAGCGTCATCGTTCGCTTTGATTAATTCACTTGTTAGTCATTTCTATTTTATTCATAATGATTAGTTTTTTACAAAAAAAAAACTGGTACTTATTAGAACTATTGTAGCTAAAACAATGATATTTCTACCAAAAAAGATTGAAAGAATACAGATTTGAAATGGTGAAATAAATTATCCGAGAGGAGGTGCAGTAATATAGTTAAAAATAGGTGTTTAAAATTCTAATTTTTTTTAAGGAAATTTAGGTTAACATGGATTTTATTGAGATTATTTAGCGGTAGTTGATGCTATACTTCGTTTTCTTTATAAATAACAGGAGACCTTTAACCGAATTCATCTTATAATCTAATTTTGATTTTTTCTTCTCGCACAGTTATAGAAATGTTTCATTGTATTTAGTAATTTTACTGAGGTTTAGATGAAATAAATGAAAGAAGAAAAGACGGAAGATGAGGAAATGGAGGGAAAGGATGATGGAAATATCTCCATCGAGAACCTTTTCGTTGAGAATGACTAATAATATATAACGAATTACGTAGCAAGCGTATTTTTTAAAAAAAATCACTACATGTTTAATGTCAGGTATCTCGAATTATGTGTGCTTCAACAGCTACCATACGGTTTCCTGGTGCTATGAATACTCGTTTAATCAATCTTATAGCGCCATTAGTTGCTTATCCGCCGATGAGATTCATTCAAACAGGTGAAAAATCTTTTCATTTTTGTTCTATTTTCAGTTCTGTCTTCTTTTATTTTGACATATTTCCCGTGTTTTATCATTGTTTTATCAACCTCGCTGTAAAATTTTTTTGTCTAAAATTTAAAAAATATTGTTGAAAATTTATGTGACAGTTGAATTTATTGCTTCTCTTAATAATATAAAAATATACAATTATTTAATTTTAAAATTTTTATAGGGTTTACTCCACTGCGTGATGGTGAAGCGTGTGTTACAAAAACATCCGTAGGGGATGTTTTACGACGCCTCCTTCAACCGAAAAGTATGATGAGTAGTGCCACTATGGAAGATGATGTAGAACACTGTGTGCTTTCAGCCATTGCTATTCTCCAGGGACGAATTGATCCAAGCGAGATATATGTGTCACTTGGAAAAATAAAGGAGAAGAACCAAATAAAGTTGGTGTTTACGACAGAATTCTTAGCAAGATAAATGTAAATGTTAAATGTATTAAATGTTAAAACCATGGTCATATTACATTTCACAAATTTTTTCATGAATTAACCCATTTTATAGGTGATAATTCAAAATGACAAGATGAAATTATCTAGAAACAAGTTTGGCAAAAAAAAAAAATATAGTTTAATTTTTAGATTTGCTCCATGGGGCTCTGGTTCTTTAAATATAACACAGTGCAGGCTGTCACCATATCTTCCATTGACAAATCGTGTTTCTGGCCTTATGCTTTGCAACCATACAAATACTGCAAGCTTATTTCAAGAAAGTTTAACGCACTGTGAAACTCTTTTCAAAAAAAAAGCCTATTTGGAGCAATTTTTGAAAGTATTTTGATTCTTTTTTTCCAGATTATTTTTAATTATTTTAACGATTTTATAGCAAGAAGTCATATATAGCAAGAAATTTTCATTCTTTTTTTCAATGTTTTGTTTAATATATTTTTGTTGTTAAAGAATTTTCTGAAAGAATGCGAAATTTTCCAGGAGGACCCGGATATCTTACAAACGTTAGGCGATTCTGTTGAATGTGTGCGAGAGATGATTGATACCTATCGGTCGGCAACTAAAGCAAATTTCATCGATTTTGAATAAACAGTTCGATAGTGTTTATGAAAAAGAAATGTGCTGAACAATAAGTTTTAGTGACTTATATTTGATTCAAATTTAAAACAAAGAAATTGATTATATCGTTATAATTTTTTTTCTTAATTTCTTACTTATTTCTTCACCTAAAACGGGTTTTTTTGTTTTGAAAAAAAGTGCTCTTCGATTTTTTTTGAATATTTGTCTATTAATTATATATATAAATCTTTAAACAATATTATCAGTTTTGTGGTTGCGTTATGATTATTTCATAGCAAATTGTTCAGGGTATGGCATTGCGCATTATTTGCTTTCTTTATAAATTACTTAATCGAAATTTTACGAGGAAATAATTAATCGAAATCAAAAATTGGATTTTTTCTTTTTTATTTGGTTCATTTGTGGGCAAGAAATTTTTTTCTAAGAGCACCTACAGGAAGAGAACTCCAGTATCACCGCTTCTAAATAAGCAACAATTCACTGAGCCGTTCGCCTACAAGTTTCGGTTCCGACGAAATGTGAAAATTGGAATACATCGTAGATAAATCGAAAATATACAAAAACAATTAGATGGCGGAGAATTTCTATGAGAAAAATTTCAAAAATTTTCTTTCACCAGCAAAAATAAATTATAACTGGTAAGAGAGACTGGTTTTTTTTAAATTGAAGGAATAGAAAAGTAAGTGCGAGCCGAGGTCGACCTTTAACCTTTCTCGGTTTGACACGATTATAGATGATAAAACTTGCGAATATCTCAAAACCTCTTAATAATATCAAAAAATGGTGCGAAAACACTGGGTAAAAAAAGAATCTGCGCCGATAGTTGGAAATCGGGAGCCGATTTCGGCTGCGACTGCCTTACCGTATGGGCTTAGGTCTCGAAACGAAAACAACCATAATAAATGTAATTTTTGAGCTTTTGAAGTTCGCGGGTTGTACACGCCTTTTAAATTTTAAATATTTGAATATGTTTTTTTTTAGCTAATTTGCTATGAAGTTTTTTTTGTCAGTTCACGTAAAGGCCACGTAAGGGTTGGGTGGAAGTGACGTGAAGGCTGCGTCATTACTAATTGCAATTCGCAAAACTCACGTGACGAATAACTAAGGTGCAAAAAATTTTTACATGGTTTATTTCTTTACTCTTTTTGTTTTTTTTTGGCCAATTTGCGCGACGAACGTGTTTGGATTTTTTTAAATTGTGGATTTAGCTTTTCGTTGACCTTTTGAACTCCGTTTTGTAGCCTCTTTTAAATGTATTTGATGGCTTTTTGAAACGAATCGAACGATTTAATTTTTTACAATAATCGATAATTGAAAAAATAAATTCTTGGCGTGTATTTCGAAATATATTGAACAAAATATAGAACTAAAAATTACTGAAATTTCAACGATTAAGAATTCACTTTTGAAAATGCAAAAGTGCAAACAAAAAAAATTTTGAATAAGAAAGAATATCCAAGTATCAGAGTGGAAATTTAGTTATTCTAGTAATTTTTCTGTGTTAACCTAAATCAAGTACCACTGGTGGGGAATAATAGCGCCATTAAAGAGTGTATACAGGCTTAAGAGGAAAGGCTTAAGAGCAGTGATTTCGAATAGTTATTGCAATTCTGGATGAGAAAATAGCGTTGCAGTGCGAGAGAACTTTAGATAAAATCGTGACGGAGTAATATTGTAACAAGAAAGGTAGCAAATATTGCTATGTAAAGTTAGTGGCATCTTAACGGGCATATGCTTATAAAGTCATTTCTACAGACTTTTGCTGTCATTTTGATTCAGTTTTCAAACTAAAATATAGCAACAATGCAAGGGAAGCATGAAAAAGTACTCTTCCGAAAAGGTTTGGTGAGTTTATACGGAAATTCAGTGAATTATTTGAGCCTGTGAGTACTGAACTTTTTTTTCTTTTGATTTTCAGTACAGATCTCTAGGAAAAGTTCTGCTATTTTCCGAATGTTGGTTGACATCTTTGACTGTTCGCTCCTTACTAATCAGAATCGACTTGATTGGCTAAACGTTTTAATATTGTTTCAAAAATTGTTGCTGCGATTTATCGTGCATTTCTTTTTAGAATCGATTCGCTAGTTTTAATCGTTGTTATTGTCACTAACGTTTATTTAATGAAAATGCGAAAAATTCCTCAAAATGCAAACGAATCACCGTATCGCTTACGAGATCATTCAAAACCACCGCCACGATTTCGAGACTATGTCGAGAAAGACGAAACATTTGATGATTCACCGAATGCACGCTCAAAGCGGTTATTTTTTTTTCAATTTTACTATTTTTGAAAAATTTGCATTAATTTATTTTACGATATTTATTATTCAGCTGAAATGCTAAACGAATTGAGCTTACTCATTTAGCCATTTTTTTCTTTTTGATTAAAGATTTTGATATTTTTAATTCTTTAATTTCAAATTTTTTTCTAAGAACACTCATTTATGGTTTCCTTTCGGACAGCGTTGGCATATCGAACCAGATAAATTTTGTCAGGGAGTCATTTGGTAATAAATATATAGGTGAGTTTACGGCACCTTCCGAATTTCTGAAAAACAGGTTTACTCCTGTTTGCAATAGAAGCCCGACATCACAGCTTCGAAATGAAAACAACAACCCACTAAGCCATTTTTAATTCTGTATTCTTACAAACAGTATTTTTAAAAATTTATGTTGGATAACGATTTTCTTCAATAAAATTTGCAAAATTTATTTTTAGTAATCGTAGTCGATCAAATACTTTGACTATGTCTCGTCCTTCAGTTAAAAATCCAGCTGATTCAAAAATCCAACTGGGCAGTGAATCGCCAAATACAATTATGCAAATGGACGATGAAAATGGTAGTAGTTCTTCGAATATGTTGAAAATTAAAACTGCTAAAACTAATATCAGCTCCATCAACACTATGAATGTTGTATGTTACAATTTTTTTCAATTATAAAGAAAGTAATTATTATGAGAATGAAAATTTACGTATATAATTTGATATACAGTAATAATAAATCTATTAAATCGTAAATAAGTCGTTTTCAAAAACAATTATAAATTTTTTTGGCTTTTTTTTCATTCCACTGCTCAGTATAAATAGATATAAATAGAGAAATCAGTATTGGGTTTTTGGATTCTGACGTTTGAGTTTTCAAAGATATTTGTACATTAATAGTGGAAATTAGATAGCCTATCTAAAAGGTAGGAGTATTTTTTTTTTTTAATAAACCAATGTTCAGTAATAAAAAAGCTTTTTTTTTCATTATGAACCGAGCAATATTGCCTTTAAACTACGCACAAATTCAAATGCGCCCACAGAATTTCTCCTTTGCAGTGGCGATTTATCTATCAGACCGCAGCATATACATTTGTTATATTAGCCTGACTACATTGTCAGGTAGTGGGACAGCGAGTGGGCAAAAATTAGGTTATCACATTGGGAGGCATTTCTTGCTCCAATAAAGAAACCTGTTAAAAGATAAAAGTTGTGCTGATGATATGACCCACTCGTACTTTCATCACTTGTTTGGCTTTTTTTTTCAATAAAAATTTTTTTGGCCAAGACAGCGGAATTTGACCTGAATTAGTAAGAACTAACCACTCACTTTAGGCGAACCAAAGATCAGTTGAAAGGGAAGTATCGACTACTCCACTTAAACGTATTGGTCGGCCACGATCAAATCACATGGATATTCCCGAACCTGTGCGAGAAAATCTTTTACGATTAAAAAATGTCTTAAAATTACCCAAGGTATGTAGTTTTTTATAACTGAACTGAATTTATTGCATTGTTTATTATTATTTTCTACCTTATAATTGTGAAATAATTTGCTGTCTTTTAGTCCTTTAGATACTTTAAGTTCCTTATATAATTACAATCTCTTGAATCATTGAATTTATCCGACTGAATTCGTCACTCATAAAATTCCTTTCATCCATTGTATTAAATCGAAACATTTTTTTTTTAAGCTATCAATTAAATTCTTATATTAGTTCCTTGAGCAGTTATTATATCCTATTCTATTTGTTTTGCCAAGCCCTTTCCAATCTTTCCTTTTTTATCTCCCATTCTTCCCTTTTCATATTGCTAATATATTTTTAAAATCTGCCTGTGGAATTTCGATCCACTTCACTAGAATTCTCCAAAATTTTCTCTGTCTTGAAAAACCTACCGAGGCTCCCAGAGACATCTAAAATCCATAATTCCTTAGAAAAACAATTTTTCCTTGATTATATTATTCCTTACGCCATACCTCCCATTTTTGACTTCCTTTAATCCCTATCAGTTGTAGTCTTTTAATATTAACTTTTCTTTTATGTTCTTTTTTACCTTAATGTGATCTCTCTGCGACTTGGCCATAGCCTTAATGATATTCGCAAGTTTACAAAATGCATCACAATGAGTTAAAGAAGTGAGTGGTGAAAGAGTATAGCGGAATCTGGAGGTTGACCAGAATCAGGGAGAATTATAACGATTCGGCTGTTGTGAAAGCAGTGCATCGGGGTTATTAAGAGGTAATAACGGGTTTTTTAAATAAATCGCCTGGACATTCCGGTATTTCTAGAAATTGTAACGGGCAATTTTTTTATTCTTAGCATTCACTGTTGGTTTTATATTTTTTGATTGTAATTTTTTTATTTCTTTATTTTATTTCTTCTTCCTCTTCATTTATTTTATGCTTCGTTTTGTATTCCGTTTATATTCTTTTTATTAAAGGAGCATAGTTAGCATTAGCCTGTTCTGCTTAGCGTTTTTGATTTGATTTTTTGGCAAAGTGATAAAAGTGATAAAAAATCGAATATTTTTATTTGTTTTGAGGCGAGAAGATGGGTATATTGTGAATTTTTTTATTCGGGAGTCGATCAACAACTTTTTCTTGGTGATAGTGATTTTATTACACTTGTACATGATGCATTTCCTAATTTACGTTGCAAAAAGTTACGTCGACCAGAATGGCGAGTTATTAGAAAATGCATCGGTAAACCTCGTCGTTTTTCTCAAGCATTTTTGGATGAAGAACGCATAGCTCTTCAAACTAAGCGGTATTTTTTACCACTTTTGCGTCAATTTGGTGAAATTACATCTGAAATTAGCACTAAACATTTTACCTTAAAAGCTGAAGTTTGCAGTCATTCATTATCAGAAATTAAAAGAATTGAGATTTGTTTCTCTCAAGTATTTTTTTCATGTTTAATATTTATTAAATATTATTTCAGGACGAGGATACGTCAAATTTATGAAGGTTCTATAGTAGATTTGCCTGCTGATTCGATGGACCTTCCACTGAAATTACCTCGACCTCTTGCAGTTGGTGTGAAAATTTATGCCCGAGTTAGACAACCAAAGGATGGCATATATGCGGGCACAATTGATGCTGTCCTTCCTGATTCTTATAGAGTAGTTTTCGATAAAGAAGAAATGATCCCGCCTATGATAGTTAAAGATTATGAAGTGATGTCTGAACAAAAGGTATTGCATTAATTTCTTAAATCGTATAATGAAACAATGTCCTAAATTTGTATTTAAATTTAAATCGTTAAGGTGGAACTGCTTCCTTTGAATTACTTCTTGGAACAAAATAGAGCAGCCGTTCCAACTGCCTATATGAAATATGGCACCACTACGCCTCATTTTTTGCCTGCACAAAAAAATAATGATTCTCGGTTTTCCTTTAAACCAGATTTGAAATTACCACCAGGAAGGCGAGCGCCTATAAATAGTAACCTTTTAAATTTTAAAATTCTTTTTACAAATTTTGCTTAAATTTTTGAAAAAAATTTCTTTTATTCTTAAGAATTGATGGTAGCGAAATCCCAGCTGTTTTAAGATCATCGAATGCACATGAGATCTTTTTCGAAACAAATAAGCTATAAAGAAACGATGTTTTCAAGTTAAAAGTGATTTATTTAGTTCGTGATGAAAAAGTTGGAAATTTCCCAGTGCGTATGTTAGTTGTGCTGGTTAAATTATCAAAGCTAATTGATGCGAAGAAAAAATTGGTGAGGCAAATTACTGATTTAAATACCGAAGCAGAAAAAATGAATCTCTTTTCTGATTGTTATCCTCTCGCATTTCAGGTTTGTATTTTTTTTATTTTATTTATTACTGGAAACGTAAGTCTAATATCCGTTCACTTATTGCTATTTTTATGAGCTGTGATGTGATTGGTTTAATGAACACTTGTTTGTGTAATAAAAATGCACTGTAAAGCATCAGACGTTTTCTCTACTGTTGTATAAAAATATTGTCTTTGACTCATGTCAAATACTAAATATTATAATCATAAATTATGTCAAGAATATTGTATTAATTAGTAATTATGGTGGCATGAAAAGGTTATATCCATGCAAGACCATTTTTTTAAGACAATTTTTGAACATTTCATTTTTGCTGTGGAGATTAGTATTTCTGATTAGTATTAGTATTAGTATTTCCATTGTTTTTTCTTTGTTTATCCATTGTTTTTTGTCTTATATTTTATTTTTTATAGTGCGATTTGTTATAGACTTTCTAAAATTTTAAAATTTTAGAATTTAATAAGATTTAAGTTCTATGAACCCTTAATCTTTTTATCGTTAGTCTGTGATGTTATTATTTTAGATAAGAAAACGTTTCATTAATTTTAATTAAATTAATTTTTGTCCTTAAAACTTTTTATACTGACAGCCTCTCATTTATATAGGATAGCAAATATATTTTCAGGAAAAATATGCCATAGTTTGTATGGATTTGGAAGCATTAAATAAGCAGATGCACTCTTATTTGCAAGCTGTCAATGATTATAATTCTACTTTGCTACCTCAGTTGAGTGATGTACGATAAAATTTCATTTCATTATATTGCTTTTGACAATCAATATTTACTTTTTTTGGTTTTCTCCTTTTTTTGTTATGGATGATTTTCTTTTGAATTCATTAAATAGATTTATTGAAGCTGCTTTTTAATATTTAAAGTTTGATAAGATTTATTATTCTTTTATCAGGTATCTTTAATATCACGACCCGAAGCCCTTCGTAAATTGTGCCATACTCATGCTGTACAAATTGTCAAACATTGCAACAACGGATTAAATGTGCAGAACAAACGCTGCATTAGTCTTATAACATCTTTGGCTGGACTTCTTTTACAGGTTTCCTCATGGAATTGATACATTTTACGCAATAAATTCAGAAGTGTTGGTCGATATTTGGACGATATTTTTTTCTTCGGTGGAATCAACATATTATTATTTCTATATTTCCTGTTAATATGGAAGCAGTATAGAAATTAGAAATTAATTTTTGATTGTATTTCATCGAGTTCTTTTCTAATAAAAATTTACTTTCAGATTCGCGCTCTTTGCCAGCAAAAATGTACTCCACTCGACCTTCAAACTTTATCGGAATCACTTTGTAATATTCGTAAGCATATTTATCCATCAAATAGAGCGGCTTTCCAGGATTACGTAGAAATTCATTTGAAAGAAGTAAATTTTATAATGCTTAATGGTGGTAAAAACAATGCGCCACGCCACTGATTATATGTTTTCGAAGTTCTCTGTTCAAAATGGCATCGCTATCTTCTGTTACAATAGAATTAGGAATTTAGTATTTTCATAAAAAATTTCTCCATTAAAACCATTCACTTTGACTTATTCTGTTTGTTTGTTTATATGATGTTAAGTGGTAAGCTAATTAGAAAAACAACTTTTGATTTTTTTGGAAGGCTTCTAAAACTATTTTATCATCAACACCAAATGCTTTAAACTTTTCAAAAATTTAGACATTTTTTATGCTTGTACTTTTATTGTACAATTTGTATTGTGCAGCGAGAGTTTGTAAGTTGCCAGTCTTTATATTTTTGCATTTAGAGGAAAATATATATTTAGAAAAAATTACTTTTTGTCAATTTTGAAAATGGGAAACAAATTTTATTTTATTTTATAAATATATTTTTTTCGCAATATTTATCCATTTATAATTTCCTTCTAATTAGCTATGTTTAATTTATCAGTTTTTTTTGAGGCCTCATTTTGACAAATTAATATATATATATATACAATGAATTATGACGAAATCAACTAAAATTATCCTAGACAATAAAATTAATTTTTACATCTTTATGTTCATATTCATTGTGCGTTACAATTTATATAGTTATTAGGAAAGGAGATGTAGAAAAATTAATTATGAAACAAAGAAAAATCCTACGTGGAATAGGATTTTATTGAGGAATGGAATATTCGAGAAATCGAATGCTTCTGTATCAAAGCCAATTAAGCCAAATTTTTTCGTATAATATGCCCGCGAGATTTTATTTCGATTTTTTACAAATATTTTTCTTTTTTGTAGTATTAATTTTATGAGCAAATTTCAAAAAATTTGAAATCTTTTATAAAAGGGATTTTTTAATTTTCAATTTAATTGAACTATTAATTAGCTTCAGTAGTTTTCTGTAGCAATATGTCTATTGTAAAAAGGATGCGATTTTAGAGCCGAAAATTGAACGTTTATTTATTTTTTCTATTTTTTGTATCAAAATTTTGTATTTTATGTATTTATATTGTATTCCTGAATTAAACAAATTATGATTATACAATTTCCCACAAATTAAATTTGCTGCCTTAGAATTTTTGAATATATAAGGATTCAAGAAAAAAGTAATGGATAAAAAGTTTTCCCCTTATACAATTATAGAGAATGGTAAATCGTAAAAGTTTATGTGAATGAGTTGGTCATTCAAAAAGAAAAAAACAACACCGTTAAGTCATTTATTAAAAGTGGAAAATATTGCAAGTAAATTTGCATAAATTCCCGCTCCGGCAAATGAAAAACCGAGTAGTATTACAATGACGTTGAAAAATATTTTGAAAAAACGATATTCACGCGACAATAAAATCTAAAACGAGTTGATACAATAAACATGTTTTTGTCTTGTAAAATTTACTATAAATTTTTTCTACTCACATCGTTCACGAATTTTCTTTAGGCTTGGCGAACGAGAAATTTTGCTAGGAAGTCACTTTATCGATAGAAGTGTAGATGAGTTGCCAGCATGACGCCGGATTTTTGAAAGACAAATTTACTCATACTTCCATCAACGTAAAAATGGAACTCCAATATTGGTGCTCCAGGATGAGAGCAGCCGAGCCATTCCACCTCCATTTATTTAATAATTTTCAAGATTTTTGAAAAAACGCTAAAAACAACCGAAAAATAAATTAGAAATTCTAATAAAAGCTAAGAAATTCACCTTCCAGTCGGTCCAAAACGTAATCATTTCAAATAATGGCGGATACACGAGAGCACATAATGCACCGCTCGTCGTTCCAACCAGTGGAATCATAATCTCCAAATGTGGAATACTTGTCGCCATCACAAATGTTACCATTACCCAAAATACCCTAAAAATTAAAATAAATGTGTGGGAATAACATAAACCTTAAGGCTTAAATATTAAGGCTTTTAATATATTTTACCAATCTGCGTCCAAGAAAACCAAAATCTTAGATTCATCAAAATTTTTCAGATATCTTATGATTATGAGGTGACAGATGGCGCCAAAAATGAAGAAGACGGATCAAAAGCTGGTCTGACACAATAATTAGAAGAAATTTTGAACATATTAAGCTGGCGCAAACAAAACGGCTTAGACGATGGAAAAGAAGTGATTTCCACCAATTTATGGCATCGAATTGCTTTCATGTACACAGTTTGTATACGCTTTACAATCTACGAAGCCAATCTAACCAATAATGGTACCGCCTGTTAAATTGCTAAGCATTATGCAATATATTTAAAAATTATTTCAGCTTATACAGCTTATATAATGAATGAATATTTCACAAATATATTAAATGTTTTTTCATAAATTTACCTGAAGCCTTTGTCAATAGCAATCTTTGGAACATTCGGAAAACGATTCATAAACTTTCTAGAAAACCCGTTAAAAAACATATCAATGACAACATACATTGCAATTGAATGGCCAAGCATTGATTGAAGCATTAGGAAGACATTGATGGTTGAATATAAACTAAAATATTATTTTAATTTTAATATAATAAAACTTATCAAAATTCACAATAATCAGTTTAAAGTATAAAATGGCTTAAGGATTTGTTGCTCTTGTTTTGGAGCGCTGATCATTAGAGAATGGACTTCTCGCAATAGGAATAGGTTGGTCTTTAAAAAACCAGGGATATGCCGGTGACTCACCTGTACCCTATCGATTCCCTAAGGAAATTCGCTTTATCCTGAAAGCCAACGAAATAACTAGAAATGGTGTGCATTCTTAGAAAAAAATGAAATGAAAGAAATAGCAACACCCATTTCTTGGAACATTCATAGTTATAGTTGGCTTTGTATCGTCGCCAAAAGCAGTATATCCATAAAAACCAATTGCAGTCATAAATACTGAGCAAATCATCATTGTAGTCGGTAATACACCAAAGTTGCTTAAAAAATCTTCGGGATTCTCCAATTTATTTTCAACCGGTAATATCTGTAAATTATCTAAATTATTCTAATAAATTATCTAAAAAATCGCACAAATTGAAATATTTTTTACGAGAAGCGAAATGAAATTCACCAACACAATAGTGCACATCAATTTAAACTTAATAAAAATTATAGTTATAATTATGCAAAAATTATATTTATTACATACAATAACAGTATTATTTATATGTTATATTTATTGCATATAATTAGTAATATTTACATTGCAAAACTACAATTCCAAGAAAAAAATAACATTGTATAATAATAATAATTAAAACAATAATAACAATAAAAAATATTTTGTGATAATAATCAAATTAATAATTTATAAAAATAGAAATAATATAAATAATAGAAAAAAAATGATAAAACTCACCATAGTTTGACCTTCAAACGAATACATAGCCATTCCAATAAACATAATAGCACCGGTAAAATTAGTTGATGCTGGTAAACTACTCCACTTGCTAGGTTGCCTAATTGAAAACTGCATTATAACCAATGTACCAAGTAAAAAAAATATGGATGAGATAACAGCAAAAAGGCTGATAATACGCATTTCCGTAAACATATTCGTTATCAGAATAATTACTAAAAAAGTTATAACTTAACAAGGTTATAACTTAATAAGAAAGCTGTCAATTTCCATAATTCCATAATAAAAATATTAAGAAACCTAAAATTTATAGCAACATGATGTTTATTAACATTACGCTTCACTGGACCGCATTTCAAGACTTCTATCTTTTCGAATAAAGCTTTTTCATATAAATTCTCTTGACAACAATAATTAAGTCAAATTTAAACCTAAAATAAGGCTAATGATATTGGCTAATGAAGAATGAAATACCTATGGTGATCAATGCGGTCGTTTTTGTTCCACCGGATATATATCCTTCAAGCAAGTGATACATATTATCAGCAATAAATAAAATAGCAACACTGCACATTCCTAACTGATAAAATAATATTGTGATATTTACAGCATACCTGAAAGAAAATGGCCATCTAATTGAACTAAAAAAATAAGAAAACATAAAGAAAGCCAGTTTAAAATTAAAATAACTTACGAAAAGGATTCGCTCCTACAATTTTTGCATATTGCCTTAAGCAATATACTGAAGATTAGCTAGCGCAGAGCCATTCAGAAATAATAAATAAAAATATAAATCATAAAAAACAATTTGATAAATTAATAAAAAAAGACAAGACGAGAACCACTAACATAATAGCCTTACTATTATTGCGTAAGAATCGAATTTCGCTATAATCGCAGACTTTCTTCGTGAAATGGCCATAATCGAGAGCTGTTCGCTCGGATTTTTTCGCTAAATGTTGCGATGATTTAACCAATATGTGATTGCCGTACCAATTAAAACCAGCAATTAAAAAACTTAAAACAAAAGATACCTAAAAAAAATTATAATAACACAACATGCATTAATAATTATAAGAAAAAACAATGAACTTATCTTATCCAATATTTTGCGCGAAAAACATCAAAATCCATAAAAATTTTACTGCATAACTCACATAAAAGGCTTATAGAAAAGATTTGAAACTGCTAAGAGATGTGATTCGTAAGAGATAAACTTTTTTTTTGCCGGACACTTTACCAAAGGCACCAAAACTGGTCCGGTTTAGGTCCTTCAAATTGAATTATCATTTGAATTATCATTTTGTTTCTTTATTTTGTTACAACTATCTCTAGCGTTCGGAGACTCTTGATTTCCCATTAAATAAGCGCGATGCCTCGTTTTTAAGCTCGTGAGTGCCATGAAAATAGATCACGTGTGGCGGAATGCAGATCCGAAACAAAATCACGCATCCTCGGAATCAGCTTTATGCGCCCCAGTCAGTTCATCTGCGATATCGACATTCGTAATTTAATACGACGAAATAATTCATCTATGAAAAATAAGAAAATATTTACCCAAAGCCCACCAAGCTTCCATGCATAAGGCAACGAGAAACAACCAGCGTTGAACATGCTTTTCGATAAAGTCAAAACAGCTCGATGACAACTAAAAACCTTTTTACGTTAAAAAATACTGAAAGAAATGGAAATCTATGCCAATAGAAACCAAAAGAATATATAGAAGCTATCATTTTTCTATGGATAAAATTTAAAAATTTATCTATCGTTTTAGCATAAAAATTTTTCCAACAGATAAGCAGTGATAAAATAATGATATGATAACGTGGATATCTGAAATTTCCTCTGTATTTCGGCGAAAGATTTAAGAACTAAACTGTTGATGAATGAATTATTTTCGCCATTTCTAAAGTAAAAATGGTAAAAAATTTATAAAATCGAATAAAATAATGGGGAAAAACTTACGAAATAACGTCTCCTTTACGTGCTTCTCGTTTAATAAGTTGACGACCATCATTTGTTCCTTCTTCGGTCATTTCTTATTACTTTATCTAAGAAATATTTGAAATAAAAATTAACTGCAAAATTATCAAAAATATAAAATATTTAAACAATAACGATAATTCATCCTGAAAAACAAATAAATTATGAGGCAAGAAGAGATTTTTGAACCTTTATGAGCAGTCCAGTACGATGTATGGTTTCCGACGGTGAAAAAACCTTAATTTAATTTCAAACCGAATCGGGATACTCGCAAATACGAAATTCAAAATAGTCAGCGAATAAGGATTGCTGTTAATGGTTCAGTTCCCTACCAGGACGATGTGCTCCCTTACAACCTCGATATAATGTCTGGAAGAAACAGAATTCTTCCTTTTTCCCAGTGACTAAATCCATACATCGCTAGGCCACCTATATATTCAAAATCTCTCCTAATCATAAATCCAGGTCTTGACTCATCATCCTTCTCGCTTTTTACACCATCGCAGAGCTTAGCAAGTGCTGAGGTATGCATCACGCGAAGAACATGAGACGTGAGACGCTCTATGATGGTGTTGCAATGCATGCATATGATAATACACGGTTGATTACGTACTTAAGGCAAGAATAAGCAAAGTTGAACGGCTGACATCTTCCGTTCGCCATATTTCACAACCGTATAGTAGAAGGAGTGTGAGCAATTAACAGGACTTTCATTTCGACAGTGATGTCGCGACCATTCCACAAATCGCTATGGCTAAGTTTCATCCTTCGTTTAGCCATTCGATAAAAGAGTGGATCGACTGTACCGAGAATCTGACAATGGGAACATTCATATATTATTCATATATATAACGTCTGGCAAATATGATTACGAAAAGATTTTCGTCTTCGCTGTAATAGTTCTACAACAGATAGCGCAGCATTTGCTGAGCTTCCTCGTTACACGCTGAAACCCAATATTTGGGAGGCCACTGCTGTCCATTTTGGTCGCCTAAAAATTCGTATACCGTCAACCTTCCGTCAACCACTGTAGATCTCTCTAGGTCTCCTCCTAATATACTCTCACTTTTCTCACGAGACAAGTTCCTCAAGTTTGAGAATATCCCCAGTGGACCTTGAAAATATTCTAGGGAGGGGAGGGAAGCTGGATTTTTACAATGCAAATGGAATAAATATTTGTCTTTCTACGAAAAATGCGTACAAATATATATTAAAAATATTGGTACCTATTTTAAATAATAATTTTAAATGTGGTCTCGCAAAAACAATCATTTTATAATTATCACAATTGCAAAATTATTTGCCTTTAAAGCGAAATACGAGAAAGCTTAGCACTCATTTGTAAGTGACTCTATGGTGAAAGGTGCAACAAATTCTCAATAAGCAGCCGCGTATTGTCATGTGTACGACATTTCGGTCGTAAATGCGACATATATGCGAACCTGGCACGGAAATGAGTAAAAAGAAAAAGAATAAGCAAATCGTTTTCCAATTTGAAAAACGGATCGATCGGGGAACATATCTTCTCGCGACCAGCTCCAGGAAATCGTGCGATAATACCCACACTTTAAACAAGTATCCAGCGGACATGGCTTGTCTTTTGAAAAACCCCGTATTTCCAATTCTGGAACCAGCCTATCAAAACAAAATTCACTATTTTCTTTAACGGCCGAGAAACATGATCGATGACTATGGACGACAAGCTATCTGCTTTTGATCTTTGATCAACGATAACTCCTAAGGCAAATTTCACGTATTCAACGTGAGTTGGTTCACCGACAGGAATGAAAATCTCGAACTTTAATCTCATTTTTTTGATCAATTTTTACAAATATAGAAATACTCCGAAAAATTAATTTTTAACGACAATCTAACGGAAAATAAACAATTCAACTTTAATCAATCAAATATTATGAATCGACAAAAATGCAATCAAATTTTTCGTCACAAACAGCTAAACGATCCATAAAAACAAACAAAGAAAGCTAGCTAGCTTCATTAGCAAATCGATGTGTCACGTCGGATAGGTCATAGGTCATCCAATCGATAGGCCGTTGACGGACCCCAGCAAAATTCCTATCCATTATTACTAATAATTACGCCAAAATGGGCGTATTTCTCTTTAAATCCACCTTACCTCGACGAAGAACTCAAAAAAAATTAATTTTATTTGAAGAACATAAATGATAATAAATGACAAATTGGAAGATAAGCTGTATTCGATAGGCCAATTAACCAATTTAAAATAAATGAATGTTCAAATATGCTTTAAAAGAATATTTATTGAAATATTTCATAAATATTTTTAGAATGAAAAAATCTTTTGTTGTCATCAACTAATTTTAGTCAAGCTTATTTATTTTTTCCACGCTAATAAAAGAAAAAATGATAAAAGATTGATAATAAAACGATTTTTATAATACAATAACGATGGTATGTGGATAAGTAAAAATAATGTTGAAAACAATTTCTTTGAAAATTCTATTCTGAAAGGAAATCGAATAAGCAAAAATAAAAATAAGGCATTTGTCCAAAATTGATGATAACATCTGATAACTGATAATGAAACGTTAATGAGATGCAAAAAAATGCTAATAATATTTTTTTTGAGATTCACTGATAGGCAATCAATCAGTAATATAAAAAATACTAAATTAAGTATGAGAAGAGATCGAATAAAAAAAATTTTTTTAAATTTAAACGTTAAGAAGGAAAAAATGAACAGTTAGTTTAAAAATTGAAAAATAAAAATTTATTTAAAATTTAAATATCAGAGATATATATCAATGATATATCTTCCTTTATCAAAATTGTTTAAAGATAAGCAATCGAATTTGAATTAGTAAAGCAAAAAAAAATCGGCCGAATGCTAAAAGCAAAAAACTAAGGTGTGAAAAAAACGGAAAAACGCACATTTTAAGAAAAAAGGAAGAATTTATAAAGCCAAATATGAAAGTTTCGCACCAACGAATGTTGCATGCACACTGATATCGTCATCGATTAATATCAAATCTGCGAAACAACCAAAAGAAAGTGAACCACGTTCTTTTTCGATTCCCAAAAGTCGAGCTATAATTTAATTTTTTTTTCTTCTGCAAAATGCGAAAATTGATGGATTTGAACTCAATGATTCAATAATTTTCTATCGCTAGAATAATGCTATGCTGAAAGTATAGATGATGAGCTGGATTTTGAAGGTGGTGGAGACAGGGGAAGAGGGAGATGGGGAAAGGATGATGCTGATTCAACGAGAACAAAAATATTCAATATTCAAACGAATATTAAATTATGACTTTTGAAGAGGTATCAAGAGAAGAGCCAGCGCTTGAAGGTGCTTTTGATGGTTATTCGTAGAATGGATCCCATCACCAACAAAAAGATAAGAAATAAGGTGAAAATGTGTACCAGGCCTAGCTGTTGCGCAGTAGATGGCTTCTGCTAGCGAACAACCAGTAACTTTTTTAAAATAGCGAACACAGTGATCCATGGAAGCAATGCTGAAAAATGAAAAATATATCTTTCAAAAGGATTCTGCTTAAGTTTAATCCTTGTTTTAAGAAATATTTCTGATAAAATAAACTTAAGCTCAACAGTAAAATCATAAAAAATTTTTCTTTCAATCTGATTATTATTTGCGATTTGTTAATGGTACTTACTCGCCTCGAAATCAAAAAAAATTATGAAATTATAAAGTCACCTGCCAGCTATTGTATTAGTTCCATCGACAGTAGCTTTCATGCCTTTACAACGAACTTTCTGATCACCTAATCGATGAATACCATCACCCATACCAAACGCAGCTATAGCATCCGTAATAAGAATAAGTCCATCTGGATGAACACTATGTGCGATACGAAGTATTGCTTCGTCACAGTGAATTCCATCTGATATTATACCAAAATATAAAGGCGAAGAGTGCTTCATAGTGATCAATCCAATTATGCCGGGGTCGCGATGATGCAACTGAAATTAATTTTTATTTTTTAAAAGAAATTCTCTTATTGCAATTTCGCAAAAAATTTATATAAACAGCAATAAATCTAAGTTTCCGATATTTTTTATAAATTTTTATTTTTTATTATTTACAAGAAATTTATAAGCATTTTTTTTTGAAGCTCTCATAAGATTTGAAATTTTCTAAAAAGAGAAAACACTTAAGAAATTAAATTAAAATTTACAGGTCTCATAGCATTGAAAAGATGCGTTAAAGCAGTGGCACCGGCATGCAAACCAGCTAAGCCATCTTCCAAATGTGCATTTGTATGACCGAGTGAGACGACAATGTTTTTGCGTTTTAAAAATTCGATAGCTTTTTCTACTCCATTAAGTTCGGGTGCAACTGTCACCTAAAAGCATATAAGAAAAGAAAAAAAATAACTGAACAAATCCTAAATTTTTTGGCTCAAATATTGATAGTTTTTGTAAAATTTAATACATCTACCAAAGCTTTCGGTTTTTTCATTCAAAAAATTGGTAAAAATGGCACATAAAAACAAACTATCGAAACATTTTCCAGCGATCCATAAACTGATTTGATAGTTAAAACTGGATCATCGCCAAAATCTTCACAAATATTTGCTTCAGGATGTGCGCCTTTTTTTGTTTTCGCGATGAATGGTCCTTCTAGATGAGCTCCTGCAAAAATAAACCATAATTATTATTGGTCTATCAAAGCTGAAAATTTGTTGGAAACCAATAAAACTTAAAGTTATCAATAAAAATAAGATTTTAAATGTCAAATAAAGTGGAAATATTGAGAAAAAACATCCGACAAATGGAGGATTAAGAAATCTTCATTAATTCCACTAGTCACCAAAATCGTATCAACAATATGCTCTTATTAATTATCAATTAAGAAGCCAAAGTAAAGTAACCAAAAAAAAATTACGAATTTGAATTGCAGAGTTTAAGATTGCAACGTCAATAATATATTTGCACTTATTTCACCTAATTTAACCCAATTAAACAACTCAAAGTTCCATCAAAAAAAACCAACCAAGAACAGTTGCACCTTTACCACTTTCTTTAATGCGATCTATCAGCGGAACCACCTAAAAATGATAAAAAAATAAAGCTTTTTTTAAAAGGAATTTTTATAGATTATCATTTTAAATTTTTATAGATTATCATTAGATCATCATTTTAAAATATTTTACTTCTACATTTTCTCTGAAAGTAAATTTGGGATTAAAAACAAAATTCGGATAAAAATTCGGTGCTGAGGACCCACATTCACCTCTGCCCATTCTAATTCCTTTACGAAAAAAGAAATAAAAATTCCCCACCTACAGAAAAATGAATCGGTAACGAAAATCCGGACCAGATGGTGTTGATAATTTACCTACAATTCTATCGCCAAATGACTTTTTAGTGAAATTTTCGCTCAACCAGTTAACACCAGGCGCGGAAAGCCTAACCAAAAGTGATAAGCATTGCTAACTATTCCATTACTTACCTTTTACTCTGGAGAAAGAGCCTTCACTGCGAAATCAAAAATACTATATGTGTGTCACTAGAGGAATAAAACGAACCTTATGATAAATTTCCGGTCGAGAAGAAATAAATGTAGGGCAATAGGCTGTACAGCCATAACGAAGAATAGACTGCGAGAACTCCTCCACTTTTTCAACGAAGTCCTCAGCTGCTACCGATGAGAAATCCGTCCCAAAACCACCTAAAACAACTATATCATATTATCGTTTTCTCTCCTCCTCTATCAGTAAATTATCAGTAAATTCAGTAAATTTAAACAGTAGATTTATCAGTAAATTTTTCTACAAAAATAGCTGAATTGGTCAAAAACTCAAGGCGTCAACAATTTGCACAAATTATGATCCTACAACCCTCGGGTCCCGCAGTCCTGGGGTCCCAGCGTCTTAGGCTCCTAAGGTCCTAGAAAAGTCATATTTTGTGAAAATTTATCTAAATTCAAAATAATTCAGATATAATGTATTTTAAGATTTTATTTATACAATTCGTTGATTTTTTGACCATTTATTACAAATTTCATCTGAGAAGGAACAAAAACGATTACTATTTTATGCAAATCACGAATTTTTTGTTGATTCTACGAGAATCAAAAAACAGGTTTTGAAAGATGGAAAATCTTATTTTTGTAAATTGTAAAATAAATAACAATAATTTATAAAAATAAATATAACAATAATAGTAATATTAATAATAATAATAGTTTTATAATAATAATTGTAAAGTGCACTCTACTGTACTGTCGCATACTATTCAACAAGAAGGAGACGAAAAAGTCGTCTACGGAGAGCATAGTTTATCCAGTGGGTTGATTCGTCGACACCCCGAGCCAAGAGGCCCTAGCCAGTTTACTTTTTCTTCATATTTTCCAAATTTCCAAGCACAGAAAGTTAATTCTACTGCTTTTGATTGATCGCGCAACAGGTTTTCGGATAAGTATTTTTCTAAAAATGTCGCCTTTAACTAGATTTCGCTCCGATGGCATATCGGCCCAAATGGCAAATTCTGCTGGGGAGGCTTGGCGATGGAATTACAAGTGGATTAACACCATCATTCAGACTTTTTGAAGGACTGGTTTACCGGAAAACCCAATATCGGAGCACCAGCACCAAAATGCGAGCAACAGCCCACTGATTTATTCTTCCTCTAAGAGAGCACCATCCGACCACCAAGGCTGCACTGAGGAGCAAACTTTACTCATCGGCCAAAGCCGAAGATTCTCCAAGGATGAAGCAAGGATGTTTATGTCTGTAAAACTATTCAACGAAAACAAAAGTTAGAAGTGTATGGAATACTAAGGGGAACTGACGAGATCCTGAGGGGTATTAAAAAAATATTCCATGGTGTATTTTCACCAAATATAGCAGATTTATGAAGGAGAATCAGTTTACCTTCCATAATATATATAAATACAAATATCTAACATAGCAAATCGTACGAATATGGCTTTCTTTGCTTATGGCTATTGGCATTTAAATTTCATTTTATTTTTTATTTTTATATCAAAAATTAAAAACGAATTAATATAATATTAATAATCACTGATAAAAATGATAACGATGATAAGAAATGATAAAACAATAACCATTAATTTGTATATCAATAAATCCCGGTGCGATAATTAAACCACAACAATCGACTTGTAAATCGGCATTGCATTTTTCATCATAAAAAATTTTTTTCCCATCAATAATTCGTCCATTTTTTATCCAAATTTCACCATTTTCAACGATTGAATAATAATTTTCCAAAATATTTATTAAACGACAATTAACGAATTGAATAAGCGTTTCACGTAAATTCTCACGTAAAATTTCGCAATCGTAACGTATTTTCTTCATTATTTAAAATTTTTCAAAATCTTTTGCAATAAATTGCAAAACGATAAAGCTTAAAGCGACTAAGCAAGACGAATAGCAAACGAATGTTTCCTCTAAACAAATCGATTCGACCCTCAATTATTTCGAGTCCATTGAGTCTATTATTAATGTGTCGATTTTCTCTAGAAAAGGACCCAAACGAGGACAATCGTCACCGAGGTTGTCCGATCGATGCCCTCTCCACTGCACCAAAACTATTTTCGCATCCTCATTGAAACGCTCCATAAACAATGACCTAAGCTAAGCTAATTAGACACTATTCTTACGAGAAACTGATAAGAGATCAAACATCGGATTAGAAGATCGGTGTTGTAGATTAATTTTTAAAAAACAATACAACGGGTAGTTTTAATGGCGATTATTTCTACTACAGTTTCTTGTCTTCCCTCTCGTTTTCTTTATATTTTTTTGTTATTCTCTACGATAGACGTGCAATGATTGACGTGTGGTACCGAAGAATCAGTAGGGTTTACTTTGACTAGCATTTCATAATTAGTTGCTTGAACTGTTGTTAGTTTAGATCGATGGATTATAAATCAGCTGCATATTAATTTTTTCAAAAATACATATGATAGGCAAACGAAATGATCAAATAAAATAAAAAAATAATGAAAAGAACTGATAAGACGAGATGAGGTCAACTGATAAAACTTGATAAATTTTTTGAATGTGACTAATTGATTGAATTATTTAATCAGCTCAAGTCTATCATGTCATGTCATGTCTTATCCATGACCGAATCAAAGTCAAGTTCACATGAATGTTATATTGGATAGATGACCAGTGCCACATGCATTTAATATGAACAGCTAGCCAATCGCATGTGAATAGTCGTGTCACGCGGCCGATGCACTGCCGCACTTACAAGTGGCCGCGACCGCAATTTTTCGAGAGGTTGACGTCGGGCGTTGAAACGTTTTTTCTAATATTTTTCAGGAATTGCAAGTCGGCATTCGGGTTTGTTGATCACCGGCTGATTGTAAAGGAGAGCAAGTCGTGGAGACCAAGTTTAGAGTGGTTTCAATTTTTTGAAAATTTTTGAATTATGAATTCTTTTTCTAGGGAGTGAAATTATGGGGATGGAAGGTGATGCGTATATTGCTACAGAACCAAGCAGTGAGTACCATGGTGAAGACGATATGCAACGCGCATCCACCTCCTTAACTACTGAAGATCAATCAATGAAAATTTTTAGTGAAACTTTCGGTTCTTATAAATCTCCATTTATGACGAAAACGAGTATTTGCGCCACTAAAACAGGTTTTATTACTACCTATCTGCGTTTTTTAAGCAACATTTTTTGCATCAATTCTTTTAAAAAAACAAAAGTCGCATAATGCTGGAAGCTTTGGCCATATCATTGATTTTTCCCTGGCGCGGCCCGCGGCCTACGATTTTGGACTTTGCATACTTTCTGTTTTGGTTGTGTGGAATGGTCTTTACTTATAATGCTAGGCTTATTAATGCTAGGCTATGATTTCGTAACCTTTGTATATACAGCTTTGAGATATATAAGAGTGATATGTTCCTGCAAAATGTTGAAAGTGCGAAATGAATTAAACACTTCTGAATTTTTGAATTAAAGATAAGGAAGAGAAAAATAAAATCTATGGTTATTTAACCAAAAATCAAAATCAATTATTAAATCAAAATTCTTCTAATAGCTGTCGTCATTGCTGGTTAGCTGGCTGCGCCTGCTGGCTGGTAAGACGTTTCCAAGCTGCGCGATCTAATGACATCGTCGATAGTAATAGAAACCATTCCTTTTTCTGTCGTCAAAGTTCATTATATTATTGGTCTACCTATATATTCAAAATTTTTCCTGGTTGTGTCAGTCCAGGTCTTCATTGGTCTCTCGCTTTTAGCGTCACCTTTTTATCTATTTGGCGGATTTGTAAAATATGCCTTAGAATGGTCAGGAATGGTCATAATTTCTTACTCTCCTTTACTCTTATCGGCCATGTCTCGCAGACGTATAGCAAATTTCAGCTATGTGGACTTTCAGTTTCATAGTGACGATTGCACAAAAATTTCATCAACCAGAAGAACACATTTCAAGCTACCATTATTCGGATTATAATCGGGTCATCTTTCGCTTGGCCGTTTGAGATTAGAGTGGATCCAAGATATTCAAAGTTTCCTCTGGGATTTATGTTGTACGTAATGTTGTATATAAAAGGAGTGAGCTGCAAAGGTTGAGAAGCTGCATGATAAACCCTGTATTAGCAAATTATAAAAGAAATCATGGAGTACCACCTGATATGCATGATGATTAGTAATAATAATTGTACAGAATTACGCAGAATTGCTCAAATTAGATTAAAATACGAAAGTCGATCAAGGCAGAATAGGCTCCCTTCAAATTGAATTTTTGCTAATTTTTTAATTTTTCTGTTGTGCTAATCGAGAAATTTATCTGTTTCGTAATACATGGTCAATTAATTTTAAAATAAACTAGATTTAAAGTAAAAATTTATTCTGATTGCAATTTATTAACCTTTAAAATCAAATTCTTTGATATTTGAATTCAGGTCAATTGGCGGAAATGTTGTGGACTGCAGTAGAAAATTTAGAATGGGAAGGAAAAACTAAAAAAGCGATTTCATTGAAGAAAATGGCGACTTTAGTGTTAAATATGATGCAAAGAGCCTATATTAAGACCCAATCAAATGGTGAATTTTCGATTCAGAAAAATTCTTTAAAATTTATTAAAATTAAAAATTTTTTGAAAAAATCGATTATATGCGTTTAACGAAATTTATTTCGCTGAATTTTTTTACTGTAAAGTTAAACTTTAGAAGAGGTTAATATTGATTCACTGATTACTGAACAAATTAATAAATTGCTTTATACGGATCGAAATGGAATGGAAATGTTAACTTCATGTATTGATGCTGTTATCCCTCTTTTGCAGTCGATTATTCAACAAAATCATGACAAATCTAGAATTACTTATTGTTCTAAAAGACTATTTACTAAGGTTAGGATGATATTTATGGATTCTATAAGATACATATTTGAAAGAAAAAATATATCTTCCAAAAATTATGTTTCATGAAATTATGTTTCATGAACACTTTTCTCGATTCTTTAAATGCCTTTGCCCATCCTCTTAAATTCTAGCAATTTCCTTTCTAGCAATTCTGCTCTCCACAATGTTCTCTTTTACCTTTTTAAAAAGTCGTATTGCGCATAGTCTTTATTCAACTACAGCTCCTATAAACTTTCTTGGAATCTGCTTCGGATTGTCATACCACTTATATAAAAATTCTGTAAATTTGCTAGTATGGCGTGAATTGCTTAGATATTCTATCAAATTTTTCAGTAAATTATTATAAAACTCTGCAATTCCTAATTTTTTTCAATTTTAACAGCACTGATCTCAGACCGTTAATCGCACAGATAATTTTAACCTCACAGATACGATTGCCTAATAAAGGTTCAGTAGAAGGTTACCGATTACCACGGAGGTATTAAAGATAGTTTTTAGGTTCAAAATTTTTCAAAAAATAATTTTATTGAAGAAGATGTACGATGTATCAAAGAATCAATAAAAATAATGTTTAAGATTCAAGAAATTGGAGATTATGGTACTTCAAAGAAAAAAAAGAAAGAAAACGTTAATGAAGAACTAGGAAATTCGAATCCAATGTCAAAAACGTTTCACGATAAAATCCCAAACCCTCAGGTACCATCATTTTTATCTGTTTTTAAGTCTGAAGGTCCAGATTTATTTATTTTTTGGTTTTTCAAAGCATTTTTAATTAGCTCGTTAAATTTGATCATCTGGTTTGGTTTGCTGGCAGTTATTTTTTGAATGTTCGAAATTTATTCTCTAAAAAAGGTGTCGCACCTCTTTAAAAATTTCAATGGAATGCAGGAAGGATATAGAAAAATAACAATTTTTTATTCATATTTGTTCATAATTTACAAATAACAAGAAGAAATGTCGTGCAAAGTAACAGAAACAACAAAGTAACAGCGTTTTTAATAAGCTTTAGGAAAAGATTAGGACACGAAAAATTTAAAGACTTTTCTGGTATTAGAGAGTTCATAAGATTGTTAAGACATTTCTCTCCTGACCGTGGTAATACAACTCGGCAGTTCCAGAAGACGAAGGAAAACGTCTCTTGCTGTTGTTTTAACTGAGATTTCGTCTTTCTACCCATTCCGTAGGAGAGTGGGTCTAATAGACCGATGAATGAAAAATGAAGATCTTTTTTGTATGCATTTTTTTTTATGTTAGACGAAAAAGGCTCGTCTGTGTTGAGGGTTAATTTTATTCTTAATATTTTGTTATCTTACTCTTGTTACTCTTAACATTTTGTTTATTATGTTCATAACTATCTGTGAAATGAGAAATGAGAATATCATAAGCATATGGTGATAAATGAGGAAAACACTTTTAAACACTCAAACATATGGCGATCTATTCATTTCGAATAATTTACTGTGGTTAGTTATTAACATTGCATTTTTGACAGCACAGCTGCCACTCCACTTCAAGTTTTATCCTCATGAGAATTTTTTCGAGGAATTTTCCTTTATCGATCGACACTATTTTTGCTACAATAATGTTGCAAAGAACTTATTTTCTAGCTTTATTTTTAGTGCGTAAGGCGTGAGCACCCTTTTCTCTCATTTCGAAGGTTTTTTTTACTAATTGCTTTGCAGAACAACGGTTTCCTCATCATTTTACCATTTCCGTGCCAAGTTTTGTATTAGGCTACTAAATTGAAACTATTAAATTCAATTCCTTTTTCTTTATTTCAAGATATTTAATTATGTTGTCCATCCAACTTGCAAATGCTGTATTACCTTACTTGCTCCATCGTTTTTATCTATTATCTTAAATTTTTTATATAAAGAAACAAAAATAAAAATTATCATTGTGTCTTATGATCTTATTTTGTTATAATTTAGCCATAATATCACATTCTCTTATTTTAGCATTTACTCAATAATGGTGTGATTGTAAAGCAAGAATTACAAGATAATGAATCAGGAAGTCAAGTTGAAGAAATCGGTCTGTCGAATTATTGGCCAGAGCAGGATATCGAGTGGGATGTATCACAAGCATTTAATACTAAAGGTATTATTTGTTTATATTTGTTATTTATATTATTTTATATTATGTTTATTATATTTTTTATATTATTTATTATGTTATATTTATTTATCTATTTAAACAAGATATATTATCAATAGTCTTTTGTGCTGAATTGTAAAAAAAAGCTTGAATTATAAACAAAAAGCAAAATTAAAAATTATAAAAAAAAAGTTCGTTAAAACAAAAATGTTAATAAAAATGTTAATAATACATGGTTAATTCGATGAAATTATTCTTTTCCTCTTCTTTTTCATAAATTTTTATTTAAAAAAATTAAATTTTAAATTAAATTAAAAATTAAATTTTTATTATTCTGTTCCATAACCTTAGTAAGCAAAACATGTTGCCTTCAACTTTTTAAAAATTTTGAAGACCTTAATTAAAAAACTTAAACTTAAAAAAACTTAAAAAACTTAAAAAAACTTGGCTTTCATTCGTTCATTGTTGATAATATTATGTTTAATATTCTCATAATTACCATGGATATTATTATTCTTATCATTAAGCAACATAATATGTCATGAAAAAAAGAAAAATGCTGAAACACCGATGTAAATAGATAGAGAAAATCATTATTAAATAACCGTTAAGTAAAGAAGAGATGGTTAATATCATACTATCTTTGTCACCGCGTTTGAGCCACGTGAGGTTTAAGTTTTCCGACAAATCAGTTTTGTACTGTATCGGTATTGGCCAAAAAGTTGACGCAGCCTTAAAGTTGCTTAAATTATCTGAAGCGGCTTGGATCCGAATTTGAACCGTGTTTTTGACAAAAGTGAACCATTCATTATATTCAAGTGATACCGATCCGCTTAATTTCTTTTATTCTTTGGCGAAAACAATTTTAATCTAACATTCAGGGAGTAAGCTTATCATGAAATGATACCACATTCCTCTTAAATGTTAAAAGCCGTAGTTTTTTTAAGTTAACGAGATCGGTCCGGTTCGCGCTGAAGATTTAGTTGAAACAAAGGATATTGAAACGGCTTATCAGGTTAGATCTATACTTTTACTATATACTATATAAAAAACTTATTTGGGAAGATTGGAATATGGCTGTGGATTTTTCTAGCCTAAACATTGGCTAGTGAAATTTAACTATTTGATCATCGAAGATCAAAAGTGGATTCGAAATTTTTACCATTTAAAAAGTAGAATATAATTTTTTCTCATTCATATGAGAAAATATTTCATTAAAATAAAAATATGGATTATTTCTTTCTTTTGGTCTACAATTTGTTATAATTTGAATTATTTCCGATATTCAAATTTTACTATATTTGTTACTGATTTTTTTTTCAGAAATCACGAAAAAATCAAGCCTTTCAGAAATCAGGTTTTTTTGATGCTGATTTTAAACCAGAAAGGCCATTATTTACTTTGCCTGATTCTACAATTGTTGAGGAAGTAAGTTCATCCACTCGACAAATAATTTAATTTCATTTAAAATATATTGATAAATAGTTCATATGTTGATCAAAAAAGTCACTGCTTATTTGCATATTTTTCAATATATTTATTCAATATATTCATACTTTTTTTGTTTCATTAATTTTTCAGCATATAAAAAATACATTTAAAAAAATATTAAAAAAGCCTTAAGCCTTCAGTCCAATATTTATTTTTTTGAACATTTTCAGATGCTTTTGTTGAAATTTCCTGGTTTTCCATGTAACGAGGATTCTGCTATCGAAATCTTTCAACAACGTGGAATTTTACCAGTGGAATGTAAGTGTCGTCAATATGGGCATTCAATGCGGCTTTATAAAAAAGACAGATTTTACTGGAGAGATAGTCATTCCACTTGTGATAAAAAAATACCTATTCGTGAAGGTACTTGGTTCTCTGGGACTTTACTGCCATTTCATATGGCGCTTCGCTTCATTTGTGGTTGGGCATATGAATTAACGTCAATTGAATGGTGTAAACGAGCGCTCAATATCGGCAAAACCTTGGCTGTTAAAATGAACAGGAATTTGCGTGAAATTTGCATGGAAGCTATGAAAGAAGAACGAAGTAAAAAAATCGGTGGTAATAATAAAATTGTGGAAATTGCTGAAAGTCATTTTACAAATCATAAAAAGAATGGTAGACGTCAACTTCATGAACTCTGGGTTTTTGGTGGATTTTGCGCTGAAACGGACGAATGTTTTATTGTACAAGTCCCCGATCGAAACGCAAAAACATTACTAGAAATCATTCATAGAAATGTTAAAAGTGGATCCATAATTTTTTCAGAATGTTTTCGCCGATATAAACTGTTAGAGCTGGAAGAAGTTGGTTTTACTGACTTCAAAATCAAGCATAGTTATACTGTAATTGACTCTGAAGCTCGGCAACTTGGTGATCGTACTGAAAAATTATGGGATTTTGTGAAAAAACGCAATCATATACAACGTGGCACAGTTCGTCAGTATTTTGAATCCTATTTAATAGAATTTTTGTGGCGTAATCGTATAGGCTGTAGCGATCCATTTGATGCGATATTAACGAGTATAAAAAATCATTCCCCTCCACAAATGGAATTTTGAAATTTGCTATTTTCTTTTTTTCTCGCTATATTTATTTATTTTTGCTATTTTTCTGTATATTTTGTGAATGAAGTAATTTGTCCTCTTTGACCTTATTTTTTTTTTTACTAAGTGTCTTAGAAATATAACCAAAAAATCTTATATATTTTAAAATGTAAAAAGAATTTCTTGATTAATTTCTTAAGGAAGATGATGAAGGAAAATTTGTAAAATTTTTGATTTGTCCATTACAAAATTAATTTTTATACTTAAAAAATGGTATTATCTATATATATATATATATATATAATTGCACAACAAGTATAATTTTCCTTATATCGTGTTTTTAACAACATACAAGCAAAGGTTTTTATTGTGGTTCCGATTCACCGCAAGGAATAAGGAGTGATGCGAATTTTTTGGTTTCTCCAGACATAAAAAAGTAATATTTGCAACTACAGTATAGTATGTGTAGAAAAGCATTGAACTTAAAAGCAATAAGCACCAGCCACTATTTGAGCCTTCAGCTTGTTCAGTTCACAACTCGTTAATGGAGCATCTGAGTTTCTTTTGGAGCCATAATTCTAAATTTTCGATTTATGCAAAACATTTAATTAAGCAAAAAATAAATAACATTGGGCACATGGCGTGGACTTTCACCAATGGAACCGATGGGTGGTTCCACTCTATCGGTCGGAATATTCCATACTTATTTTCCAGCTTATATTTGTCTATGGTTAGCACTAAAATGGCGTGTCAGCTTCTGAAATTGAAGTGAAGCATACGGCTTGGGTTTTTGGCCTAAGATTTTCGTGCGGTATGCTTTTATTCCATACCAAATACCAGTGCAAAAAACCAACTGACCAACAATACCCGTTCTATTCAGAAATATTTGTAAAAAAATTAAATAATTATATAAAAAAAGCTAAGGAGAAAATTACATGCTTCTGTTGCATATCATAAATAAATCATAAAAAAGGTGTATTATATTTTCAATTATATACAAGTATTGTATTGTATACAAGTTGATTATATTTTCCAATATATTGTTGATTGCATAACGTTTAGCTGGAAGGCCTAGGATAGAGTTTTTGGCTGGAGAGATCTAGGATTTCCGCAGCTTCCATTCCAGGAAACTTTCTAGATTTTCAATTTTTTAATTTGTGATTTCAGGGGTATTTAGTTGTTTGTTTATTTACTGACAACGACAACAACAAGCCAAAATTAATAGAGAGATATGAGATACAAAAACATATGCAGCAGATTGGTACAATACTGGGTCGATGTAATTTAAATTTGATTGGTCCTCATAGTCAATTCTTGCATATAACTGTATCACTTTACTTAATCCTGCAATTCAACCATTAATCACAGAATTTACTCCATCGGTTCCGTTTTGCTAAAAAAGAATAAAAGCCATCGAGAATTCGAATAATTCGAATAATGATAATGATTAACATATAGGAATACACTGATTTGCACTATTTTTAGCACAATTTCATTAAATTTGGGAGTCCTGTGGACCTCGGTTATTTGTGGGTTTGTAAATAAAAATTATTCAGTCGGTTTATGCTGAATGATGAGCGATGGTACGAAGTGCTACAATCTAGGTTATCCAAATTATGAGGGCCTTCACGGTTTTCAACCAACTTTTAGCACATTTGGGGATCCTGTAGATTAGTTTCTATCCTTGTTCTTAAGTTGACGAATTTTACAAATCCGAAGCGTTCTTGAAATTTGAAGCTGGACTCATTATCTATAGTGAACTGCTTGCGGATTAAAATAAAGTATCATTTTTATCAATAATAAATATTTTATAGATATGTACTTTTGCCAGTCGAGCAACAAAAAAATTTGTTATTTTCCACCATGGAAAATTGGCCACACTTATAAATCCTCAACTTTCTTTCTAATATATATATATATATATATCTTGATAAATATTATATCATATTATATTACCTTATCATCTTCATGATAAGATAATTTTCAAGATAATTAATTATAATTAATTATCTTGAAAATAATAATTAATAAGATAATTAATAAGACAAGATAATTAATGATAAGATAATTAATTTTTTTTCTAAGAATTCACTATTTCTGAGCCATAAGCTCGCTCGACTGGCTTGACAAGTTCTAGGCAAATTTTATCGCTAACTCTTGAAAATTCGCCAAAATAAAGGGATATATTCCATAAATAAATAAATTTTAGCCAATGAAATAGAATATTTTAGGAAGGCATCGATAAATAAGCGAGGAATTCTTACCTATAAATTCAGTTATAATCGTAACCAACAGCATAAAGAGATATGCTAATGCGGCCATAAGCGCGAAAAAAATAAATAATCCCGATTTTCGACCGTGTCTTATAGATATTTTCGTTGCTGAGTAGGTCGCTGCAAAGATCACTGCCAATGTTAGCTGCATGCTACCTATAAATTTTCCTGACACTTATTGCTTGTAGTTTCGTTAGTACCACTAATTATCAGAGTGAGAGCTCTTTGCCTAAGAGCCATTTGTAGACTGAAGTACATAACTAGTTTACTGCTGATAAAGGGCGGCAACTGATATGTTATTACTAGAATATTTCTACCCCTTAATTAAATGTTGATTAACTGCTTTCAGCTGCAATCTCATTATGCCAGTGCGAGTTATAATGTTTGTTCCTATAATAACGAATAGGACGTCTATGAGCGTTCTCCTCCTAAAGAAAAATCTATTCAGTTATCCAGTTTCTTATTCTTTTTAATATAGGAATCAAATTCCAGCGAAAAGCAAATCGAAATAGATTCAGCTTAGGATAAATATTTAAAATTTAGTTAAGTGAAAAATACTAATATAAAGATTGTGGCTTGTTTTTAAGCTTTTCTCCTTATCACCATTCTTAATCACAGTGTTATCACTCACTTATCACTCGATTAAACTAAACTAAAAAGTTATCGTTTCCTACAGTTGATAACAATATCCGCTGTATTATCTCTCTTATTGTCCTAAATAATAGAAATCTTTGATTTATTATTTTATTAAAATTGCAAAATTTCACCGTAAATAATTAAAAATGTCATTAAAGAATATGCATTCGTATGCTTCGCACCATAATTGAAGCTATCCGTGTTTCTGAAATGACCGATGTATAAACAATAAACACCAAGGATTGCACTGATCGTTGACATAAATATATGACGACGATTCACTAAAAATTAGTTTTTAGATTTCCCTTCAAAGAAATCCCTCTCTCCTTCCTTATTTCTTCGAATTTATCAAAAATGGCGAGTGATACGGTCGACTTATATGAATAAATAGAATTGCATAGCACTGTATAAAAGCTGCCACTATATTTTTTTCCTTCAAGTTTTTAGCAAAATTCTGAGTTGAATTAACTTTCGAAATTTATTAATATTGTTACTATTAACATTATTTATATTATATATTTATAATATCATATTTATTAATATTTATAATGTTATTTACAGTATTAATACTTGTCGTTGCGAGCAGCAAGCTGGCTTCAACTTTTAAGATTTCAAGAATAACCTCAGAGATCTCATTCTAAAGGAGTGCAGTACTAGAAACAACTAAAGTACTATGTAGGATCGTCAAACTTTCAGGCCTTTATTTGGCAGAGTACTTGAGGAAGAGCCATAACACGCTCAGGCTATGGGAAAGAAAAATCTTTATGTATTCCTATTATAATAATAAATATGATATAACAGATTATAACAACATTAATTTTACAAAAATCACGAAAGAATCATTTTACTCATTTGTCGAAAGAGTTTGACGAAGCTAAAAATTATCGTTTCCTTATCAATATCATCGTTTGTTCCATCATTATTTCCTTTTTCTCTATTCTCTTCACATAGGTCAATCGTAGTTCTTTCAATAACAAATGTCGGCTAAAGAATTATGAAAGAAAAAAAGATTTAAAATTATTAAAAATTATTTTTACAAAGCTTTTGTAAAGAAATTAGAAGTAGATTTTTATATTTTTATTATTTAAAACGTTTATTTTTTGCAGAAAATAAAAGGAAATTTTAAAATTACCAGCATATAGAATAAATTATTATCATTATCTGCTATATTATTTATTATTTTTTACCTATTATTATTATTTTATTGTAATTATTGTTACATTATTACTATCGTTTAGATTGAGAAAACAATTAATTCAGACAAATAATCAGTCATTTGGTGATATAAACGCATAGATGATTCGCCAGCATCATTTTCTGAAAACAGGTTTATTCTTGCTGGAGGAAGCCCAGCACCAACAATAAATGCAACAATCTACCGCGCCATTCCATATTATTTCGAAATTAAAACTGCATACCTCTGACATTTTCTTCTGTGCTGATCGTATATGTTTCTTGTTGTCTCTTACTATTGGATCCATCTGCAAAAACTATTTTATCTTATAGATTTTTTTAAGAAAACTTTAAAACTTCAAAAAAAATTTAAGTATTCGTTGAACTCATCTAATTTTATATTGGCTGTGAAAAAATTTGGTGATTTAGTGCAAAAATAATGATAATTAAATGATAACTAAAATGGTGCATCCTTAAATTCGTTTGGAAAATACGTCTTTTTACTGCTTAAAATCTGGGAAACAAACTGTGGTACCTTCACATATAATTATTTATCAAATTGTGTCAAAAAGTGCCATAGATTATCATCAATGGTTTCTAAATGAACATTTCGGAGATACATTTAGCTTATTTTAGAATGAAGAATGCATGAATATTATTATTATTAATACGTGAAGTTGAAGCGAAAAAAGTTCAAAAAAAGTTGTCTCAAAGCTTCAAAAGCAAAAAGACTACTATGGGGCTTAAAAAAATGGAAAAATGGATTGAAAGCTCGGCGAGTCTTGAATGAATGGAAGCGGCCAAAGTAGACTTTTTGCTTTTTCCATTTCTGCGCCCAGTAAAAAATGGCTTAAAGATAAAAGTACAGATAAAGGTAGTCACTATCATCATTCGGATTTTTGAAGTATAGGTCCTAGAAATCCTAGAAGTAGA